AGGAGATTCTTTTTGCAGCATTGAAGATGGAAAGTGAGCTCAGCGTAGGGAACGATGGGAGTAAGAGCTGAAGCACCGTATATCAGCGGTGACCCACAGCTGCCAGGCCCGTCCAGCTGACATGTCTTTTTCCCCATTCATTCCAAGGTTTCTTTTCTTTCTTTTCTTTCTTCTCTTACCTTCTCTACCAACTCCCCATAAATCCAGCAAACATCAGCTTTTCTACTGTTCTTCTTTTCTTTTCTTTTCTTTTCTTTTCTTTTCTTTTCTTTTCTTTTCTTTTCTTTTCTTTTCTTTTCTTTTCTTTTCTTTTCTCTTCCTTTTTGGCCCCCCTACATCCATATATGGTCGTGACGCGGTGAGGAGTGGCGGCTTCCATTTGGTCCTTATGGACATCCAGCTGCCCGGCATGAATGGACTAGAAGCCACGAGAGAGACTCGCCGACTGGGGCGCGTCAACGGTATTGGCGTCTTTTCCAATGCGGAATTTGGACTTTTTTCCGTTGGTAGCGTTGTGTTGGGATGATGGCTCGCCAGTCGATGCGTGTTCATGTCAGCAAGAATCCTCCATCTTCTTTACGCGGGTGTGTTCATCTGCTTATATGGCTAGTACAGAAGAAAAACAAGCAGTCATACATCCAGAAGCACTTAAAGAGAAATTTGGCCGCGCGTTGAACCACAATCAGATTCGATACATCGGGATTTGCTTTTTAAGTTGACGCCCATGATTTTTTGGAACGGCTTCTTCATACTGGACGAGCGGCCCCTTGCATATCACCAAATCATCAGTTTGGGACCTTCCAGCCGCTTCCTCCTCCCTCCCTGTCATTGTCAGACGAGTCTGAGAAAAAGGAGTTCACATGGTAAAATTGCAGCCGAGTTCCTTGTTGCTTTAATTCGATGCGCTAACGATGCCTTATAGAAATCACTGGGCGAACAATGCGGGATCTATTCCCCAAGCATTATCGTGGCACCAGGAGACGAAGCCCATAGCGACCCAACAAGCAAACCGTCCTCCGTCAACTCGAATAGCTGCCCACTACAACTCTTCAAGCGCCATCATGGAGGGACGGGCTGGTCGACTTTCCTCATGTTGGCAGCCTGCACCCAGTACGCACGTAGAGCTCGCTCTGATTGAATCCTATGCTCCTGGACTAAGGATGCCGCTAGGATATCGCTAAACTCAGACCTAGTCTATGGAATATGAGGGTTTGGGCATGGATTGGCCGATGCCATCGATTTGCTCATCGAGAGCATCATGTTGGCAAGAGGCAGTTGGCGGTGATAGACTCTGATAGAGGAGCGGAAGATCTGATAGAAAGACGCAAAGGAGAAGTCCTTGGATGTGGTGACGGACTTTGAAGAATGTAGAAGAGAAGTGGCAAGGAGCGTGATGAAAGAAGGATGTGTCTATAGAAAGCAGACAAACCGTCTTCCTTTCACTGGAGTAACCAACCACTACAACGTTCAAGCACCATCCTGCCATCAGGAGACGGAACACCATGTCGAGCAAACCGTCTTCGTACAACTGGGATAACGGCCCAATACGACATTTCAATTACCATTATGGAGGAGACGGAAGTCCATAGCGAGCGGGCATCTTCCTTCAACTAGAATTATTGTATCAGTGTATCCGTCAAAGTAGACAGATTTCCATTGTTAGATGGAATTGAAGTTATTGTGATATTCTCTGATAGGCCTGACCTCTAGCTCCATTGTATTGAAATGTGACGTATTAACCAGAGCCTGACACGGAGGACATATGGCGGCTCAAACTCTATTGACCGCCGTCGATCCTTCATACGTCGGGCTGAGCTAAAACGATACAAGGTTTGGAATGAATCGATGAATAGTCTCGTACTTCATACATACATAACTTGTACATTTAGAACTACATGGTGGCCCTCTGTCGCATACTGTCTCTTGTGAGTAGCTACGAAGTATTGCTGTCGCAAACCCTACATGCACGCAACGTGGAGAGACAGCCGAACAAGCGTGGTAAAAGCCTATTGCGGGGTAGTGTGATCTGTCAATCGCTGAAACTGGGGAAATATGAAACAAATGATGCGTAACTTCTATTTGCATTCCCATCAGGTTCCTTTCTCCTGCGTCACGTAGATCGCAATGGCCACCCAAACCGCAATCCAGATGAAAGGCCCTGGCAAGGCCGAGATCGTCACCGATACTCCCATGCCCAAACTTCGCGATGACTATATCATCGTTAAAACAGTCGCTGTGGCTTTAAACCCGGTTGACTGGAAGCAGATTGACGACCTAGCCTGTCCCGGAGCGATTGTTGGTTGTGACTACAGTGGTGTTGTCGAGCAAGTTGGCCCTGCTGTCAAGCATGGACCTCATGTCGGGGATCGAGTCATGGGCATGGTTCATGGCAGTACGTACATATGGTCTATAGACCAGCGATCTGAAGAATACTTTTAATCCTTTGCGACAGGCAACTACTCGAATCACGAAGACGGAGCGTTTGCCGAACACATTGCTGCCAAAGGAGACCTTCAGCTCAAGATACCCGATTACATGTCGTTTGAAGAGGCCGCAACACTAGGCGCTGGCATTCTTACTGTTGGGAAAGGCCTTTACGAGTCTCTGGATTTGCCTTGGCCCGACGACCCTCCAATGAAGTCGTTTCCAGTCTTGATACATGGCGGTAGCACGGCAACAGGCACCCTGGCAATTCAATTTGCCAAACTGTGAGTGTTGTTTGAGGGAAGGGGATAGTGTAATGGCATCATTTGTTTGTAAGTCGCTAATGTCATGGTTCAGGTCTGGCTTAGAAGTCGTCACAACATGCTCTCCCAAAAACTTCTGGCTCGTTCGTAGCCTAGGGGCAGATCACGTCTTCGACTACAAGTCGCCGAAATGCGCCGCGTCCATCCGCGAAATTACAGAAAATCAGCTGGGACATGCATTCGATACCGTTTCCACGCCCGAAACGGCCGAGATATGCTGCAACGCCCTGAGCAGCCAAGGAGGCAAATACGCCGGCCTCAGTGGCTTACAAGAGCTCCCGCGCAAGGACGTTGAGAACCTTCCCATCATGGCCTACACGGCATTTGGAGAGGCTTTCGACTTTGGAGGCCAAGAAGTTCCGGCCAACCCAAAGAATTACGATTTCGCAGTCAAGTTTGTGTCGCTGGCGCAGGCGCTGCTGTGGCAGGGACGGATTCGGCCGCATCCGCAGAGCGTGAGAAGAGGAAGCTGGAGCGGCGTTTTGGATGGATTGCAGGAGATGCGGGAGGGAAAAGTGTCGGGAGTCAAGCTTGTGTATCCTATTTGATGGCGTTGTGGGTATTTGGCTTTTCAGGTACCCCCTATATAATGTTGAAGATGAATAATCTTATTCAACGTCGTCGGTGTTACATTTTTATATGCTTACTCAAAGTTTACTCATACACTACCTATCCACTCTGCGCCCTAAGATGTCAGACATTGCTTATATGGAGTCGTGTAAACCCCTCCAGATAGTGCGTGAAAGCACTCTCTTCTTTGAAAGCGGCCGCAAGATGCCACTCGCAACGAGTTGGAGGGAGTATGTGTAATGTGACACGGAAAGAAGCGTAAAGGACAACTTATCACGTAGAATAACAAAAGCCACAGAATTTTGAAATGTTTTTGTTTGCACCATTGCATTGGTGTACTACCTAGCTCATATCATATCAAAGCCCTATGCCTGTAGGGGCACAATGATGAATCATCACGACAATACGTTGCCGCATATGTCTGCCTTAAAAGTTTGATCTATCACTTATCCTTTACACCTCAACTCCGACCCGCAGTATCCGAGTATCCTGCTCAGATAACCAAACGGGGTGTTTTTGCTGAATTCAAATCCAAAATTGCATCAGAGAAGCATAACATTTCGTACGCTCCAAGTATGGTGACATGTTCGCTGCAGCTTTAGACAAAGCCTCGTCTTCCGTAAGCAGTGGTGTCTCAAATGGAAGAAGAAGAAGAAGATGATGATGATGATGATGGCGGCGTTGATGATGACGACGAGGTTGAAGAGATTGGTGTTATCCAGAAAGGAGCATTCTTGAGCTCTTGGCTTCGCGTATTGTCTTGCCTCGTCGCACTTTCAGATGGTCTATAACCAGAGTTTTGGTTTTCTAGGCGTTCAAGCAGCTCTATCAGCTGGTTATGTGTCTTCTCAGCTTGTATAGCTAGCTGTGCTTGATAATATTCGAACCCGGTTGGTCCTGAAGCTTGGTTTTCGGCAGCTTTGGTTTTTTGGGCGCACATTTTTTTTTCTTCTCTTTTTGCAAAAAAGGAGAGTATTCTGAGGTCAAGGCTGATGTTTCTGTTCTTGGAGAGATGAGAGAAAGATGCCGAAAGGAGATATAGGTGTTGGAGGTATATATATAAGTCGAACTAATAAGGAAATGATATATCCACTAAATCGAATACGTTTGATAAGCTTCAGTTACTGTGTGTGCTTCAAATGGTACTTACGGAAGCAGGAAATAATACCGAGAAGCTCCTTGCGTAGACAAACAACAAACAATGGGAATGCTCGGTACTTGAATAGAATGACACTTTACCCGCTCCACCCCATTCTTGAGCCAAGATCTTGGGACAGCAGCTTCGTCCATATATGCCTACCGGGTCCATTGTCCCAAAGCGGAAGTTATAGCCTGCCAAATGGTCATGCCATTTAGCTTCTTTTTTTCTGGGGTCTCGAAGCGAATCTCCGCTTGTGCCGCCGGCGAAGGATATGACTAGTATTGGATAGCCTGCGGTAGAACTTGCGCTAAGAATGTCATTCTATCCCCTTTCCCATCTAGGAAGAAAACTGGGTTTATGGAATCGATGGAATCGACGCATGATTCTGGAGTGAGATCCACGGCGAAGCGGCTCTTGGAAGCCGCTAGCAATTGCGTAGCAACACACCTTGGCGGAGCTGAGTTTTCGTAATACCTTAGTAGTAGACGTTTGTGCCTTTGATGGGTAACCTTCTTAATGCTGAAAATGTGATTACATTATCGTTACTTTTTCCTTGTTTGGAATTTCCCGATGGGAGTCTGTATGCAGGTCAATTTTTCCTCAGCAGTGGTGGTTCTGCCAATGCAACGTAACGATGGAAGAAATATGTGTAATCTGTAAATGCGGTGGTCGATCTGATTATCGGCGTTCGCGTTTCTTTTTCTTCCAGTCCTGTCGGCGTTTGTGTCGGCAATTCTGAATGGCCGAGTTCCACAGTCAGCAAATCGGCCTTGCCATTGATGCAGAGGAATCTCCGTAGTGAGTAATACCAAAAGTTGCAATGATGATTGGCAAACTTACGAGAGCCGCAAAGCCCCTGGCATGAAAATTATCGCTTTGTCACTGGGTTTATTTCTGGATAGGTATCCGTAAGAGCGCACGTGGGGGCCAGGATTTGGTCCATGCTCATTCCTGTCGTGTTGGTTTAATGCGATGCAAGCAAGAGGGCAGGATTGATGCCTGAGGAACTAAGTTCTCGTTGACCTTCAACGTTCTCCAAGAAATACGGCTTTACAACATGACTCCGAATTTCCATGTGTTTTGAAGTCACTCTGACCGCAAATCAAATCGCATGGTAATTGACAAGCTACTCGCCCATCATTTCCAGCAAGATATCAAACATGGCACTGACGAGTTTCTTGGATAGAAACTCAAACAGTCATTCGTCCCATCACGCTTCAAGAAGGCAAGATCCCGAGCATCTTTACGGTGTAGTTAGAGAAGAATCAGATGCAGGATGCACTTTTGATGATTGAATATCAAGGCGATCATGAATATCGGCGAAAAGAGTATTTTATTCTCCCAGCGAGGCGCTTTCAACATGTCATTCTGCCAAGCTCCAAGCCAACTTATCGCTCGCTTCCTCGTGGTGGATGCCCTGCCAAATCTCCGCTACAGAAATACGGTGCTTACGATTTGCAAAACACTGGTCCACCGATCCCTTGGCTCAAAACAGCCCCCCTTGGACCCACGAAACCTGTCAAAGTTGAAGCTTCTAGATGCATTATCGTTTATCATTCTAGCTCCTATACAACCATCCAGAAGAAAGTTTTTGTTGGCAGCAACTCACGGGTTGAGACTTGGGTCGCAGCCTTGTCTCCTACGGCATCGGCCTTGCAGACAAGATAAGAAAGCTTTGAATCTCCGATATCCTGGCTGGCCCTCTTCTCTACTAGACTCTCCTTTTCTGGGCAATTGAACCCGAAGATTGACGTCAATCACGACGTTATTGTGGAACCACTTATCATGACTCGGTCTCGAGCTGCGCTGCCGAGCCGTTGCCGCTAGCATTGACTCGTAATGAGTCTGCTCCAACTGCATTGTGGTCGTCTTTCAGCTTTCAGCGGCGTGAGGTTTAGATTCCAATTCGAAAACGAAATCGGCCAGCAACGCCATGGCTTGTTTAAAAATCCAGCTGCTCGTTTTACTTGTCCTCTTCCGCCAAGCTTGACAGACAACACAATCCGGCCAGCCCCAGTCGTCCGAGATGGAGCCTGGCTGGAGAATGGAGATACTAACTCAGTATCTCTCGATTTCCTCCTTTGGCAATCGCGCTACCGATGGTTCCCCACACGTTCCCGAGCTCGGCTCCGTCCCGATACTGGACAAGCGGCTCTCTCTCCACCAGGCTATTAGTAACACGACGGCTAATATGCTAAATGCAGCCCAGTGGATGCTAGACAAAGAGGATGGGTTACAGTGAGCACCACTGCTTGAATGATCTTGGCTTTGCGGCAGGGATATTTAGGTTGCTGTGGGATCACACTGAATTACGATTTTGCTCTTTTCACTTTTGAATGGGTCGATCTCTTTTTGCGGTTGTTACGGAAGGCTTCAACAGCCAGGTCACTCACGGCATACCGACCAGGTGTGCCGCTCCTTTTTTTCCCATGTGGCTGCCCCATTCGCCCATTTGATCGTATTGCAGTAGCGTCCGAGTATGTTGCAGTTAAACAGCCGATGTGCTGAATTACAATGGACAAGGTCGGTTCTAGTTCAGGAGAAGAACGACGACAACCCCTTGTTTCAGAGTTATCTGGTGACTGGATACCCGCATCAGGAAGGACTACTTTCCCTTGATGGTCTCTGGCGCAAATTCCTCACTGTTCTTCCGCTTCATCCGCGTAAACGCCGTATACACTATACAGCGTTTATGCTCTTCCCGTGTATTCGCTATGCATGTATTGCGTACACACCACACAAACCAAGCTGAAAAGATGCAATACTTGTATGCTCTCTAGCTGCAGCATCCATCCATTCCGCCTCCTTGCTCCACAACGGATGCCACCCACGCGGCCATTTTCGATCCCTTTCATGGCCGAGAACCTAGAAAATACGGGGGAGGAAGATATCCAGGGTGACTGACACTTTCTACCTGCTTGCTTGCTTGCTCTCGGCCCTCACTCTCGGCCCCGACATGGCCAGAGCGGCTGAAAATTTCCGATACAAGGTGCAGATCGAGCAAGGGCCTGGAGCAGCGTAGAAAGGCTGAGAAGGGTTAATCTGTCTAACCAAGCTTGGCTTTCATCGTCATGGGTAGCAACAGTATCAGATGTGGGCCAGCAGGCATGAGGATCTCCGGCCAATGTTGCCAATTTTTGCATGCATTCTAGTCTGATTCCGATTCCTTCAGATATGACGGTCCGATTCCTTCAGACGCAGCCGACCACGACCTGGCCGAATCACAAGATTAGCCTCTTTCGAAAAGAGCCTTGCATCCATACCTACTGATATGTATGTTGTATGTTGGGAGCAGATACAGACGCCACATTAGTCAATATTCTAAACGCTAGCTATGCACCTCTCGTGTCTTCTTAGCCGCAAATCGTTGTTTGATCCGTCATCACGCTGGCAAAGTTTGCAAATATCTGTATCACACTTTCTACATTGCGTGCGGTAGGAAGAAGCGGCGCAGAGCAGTGGGCTGCCAGCGGAGCAAGGTTATCGTCACAGACGCACCCCTTGTGTGTTGCTTTCACACTTCTGTGCTTGCATTGGAAATGGCTGTCTCAAGAAGATCAAAAGACGTTTTGCAGAGTAGATCAAGAACGCATGACGCTACGATGTTGACGCACACAGATCAGCGCAGATCCACTACAACTTTATGGTCGGCTTGTAATTCTCTATTCGGTCAAGTGCATTCTCCGAGTATATTGTCTTCGTAACAAGAAGATGGTAACGGTTCTGTAGCTGGATAAGTCGCGGTCCTCTGGGGAGACTGTAACCCCTGTGTGTCTGCCCTGAGGCTGGCACAATACAATTCATAAGATAACAAGATGGAGACTATGACCTATTTGGGACATTTGCGATCACCAAGTCCGGTAACCTGGATTGTTCACATACAGTTGCGAGGTTTGGTCAACATAAGGTCATATCTCCACTGGAGTCTGCTGTTTAGCATTCTCATTGCCAAAGAGGCTCACTGCCAAATTATAGGCGGGGCGTCATTGCCTACCTGTAGTTGTGCACGTTTCAGGTGATTAATGGAGTTGGAGCACCGGTGTATTATACCTGGATTTTTAGGCGATACTGCTCAAAAGTAAGATGACATCAAAATAAATGCCAGTAACTTCTCCTGAGGCTATATAGCGACCAACGACGAACAGCTGAGCAACATAAGGAGCAAGGGGATCAACAATTTTTATATATTCAGAGACGCTTCATAACAGCCCAGCAATAACGATGTCCATATTATGCAATATTCTTCATACGCCCATGATTTATATCGATTACAAAAAGGGAACAAAGAAAAAGGGAAAAGGAAATACTCAAGGATCGCAATGCAGATTTCTTGCAATCACTTTCCCTGTGCAAATTGCTTGAACCTATCATTCGGTTCCCGAAATCTATACGACTCGCCTCGGACGACTCGATCAATCTCCTCGCGGACAAACGGATATATGTCTCTCCAAGCATTGCGCCCCATCCAGCAGTCCAAATGCCCATAACCAGGGACAACTCTTCGGCGATACTGGATGTCTCCTCCAGGAAGACCGGCAGACATGCCAAACGTATCAATCAAGCGCTCATATGTCGTCTCTGTAGCTCTTGGAGAGAGAACCGCGCTGTCTCCGCCAACAAAGAATAAGAATGGGAGACCGCGTAGGCGCTCGACATTTTCTGGTGTCGTGAGCTCTGTATACTCGGGCTCATTGGTGCTGACTTCTCCACGGCTTCCCATTCGTTTCAGGAGACTGGTCAAATGCATGCTGCATCCGCCGAAAAAGCGATCAATGTTTCGATGAGTCGCCTCGTTGAGGTTGTTGTGGCTCCAACAACGGCCATACACTAATGTTGCGCGATGACAAGCGGCGTTTTTGCACATTTCTTCTTTCCTTTCGGGATGGAGTCGCAGCAGCTGGTTCAGAAGTTTCTGGGACCAGGGGTCTTGAAAGGATGACCCTATTTCGAACCAGTCTCCAAAGATGGACTTGTATACCTTATCCAAGGCCAGTGGCGACGTGGCCTTGATCATGTTCAGAGTGGCCCATATAGGGTTCATAAAGACTTGACTGCAAGTGATTCCGGAAACCCACTCAGATGGGATAGTACCGTCAAGGAGGCCGCAAGAAAACGCGACTGATCCCATACAGTGAGCAATGGTATAGACTTTGCCAGTTCCATAGGCCCTTCGGATATGCTCGTAGCAGGCCTTGATATCGAGCCTCGAGTCGTATGTCGTCCAGGGCTGTCTATGCATTGCTTCCAGTTGGCATATACGGTGAACCGTTACCCAAACACGGTAACCGGCCCTGACAAAGTAATTAACAGCATTGAACGGAATGGTGGGCAATGCAAATATTTGATGATCAACAGATGCGCCTGGAATCATGAAGAGATTCTCAATCTTTACAGGCACGCCATCTGAGTCGGTGGCAATGGAATTCGGATCTGGCTCCCACAGGTGTAGCTTCGTTTCGACGCCGTCTTCAGAGACCACTCTAAATGTTTGAGTGGGAGGTGTATGGTTCTCGTATAACACAGCTCCCTCATCCGTATACTCAAGGGGAGCCAGTGGCGTCAATAGGTGTGATATGGATTTGGATGCGAAAAAGGTCAAGAAGTTCGTCATATTTTTCGCTTTGCTCAGGGCATCTTTGCCCGAAGCAGAGAGCGTCATCATCTCGGAGACGAAATCTTTTGGGCGCAAACGCAAGATGCCACTCGCAACGAGTTTCTCACCGGCTAAATTAGGAGTCCCTCGGTACATGAGAAGATGGTCTCCATCCAAGGCGCCTCGATTACAATTTGCGATCTTTGTTGCTCCACGGGCGACTCTTTCTGTTATTGTAACGTACAAGGTCGTCTTGGAACGCCACATCTGAAGGGGGCTTAAAGAAACAGAGGCATCAACCAGCTTATAGCCACTGAAACGAAATCGTCTGCCGTTGGCGCCAACCATGTCGCCTTCATATATCAATCTGCTGGTCCCTGTGACTTCTCGATCTTTCTTGAACAACCACAAATCACCTTGGGGGATCATGAACGGAGAACCTTGGATAGTTGGGCAAACAAACGTGCCCGTAAACATGCCGCTAGGCCGGGCTTCATCTCTCATGTCATGGCCCTCAAAGATAGTTGCGCTGAGCAACAGTCTGCCAATCTCGCCTCTGCCCTTTCCTGCTCGATATGCCGATTCATACGCCGCCTTCTTATCAACTGCCACATCCAGCTGGGTTCTGTGTATGTATCCAGACATGAGTTCTGAAAATTCAATGGTCTTTGATCTAGACATTTTGACTCTGCCTGATGTCTCTCTAGGAACTTTGCCATTGAGATTCGTTAAAGGATTCCGATCCCTTGGCTGATGCGCCGGCTTCCCAAAGAGATCCAAGATGCCATTCTTTTCCTCGCTAATAACAAGACCATTGTCTCTCGCATACGCCTCGATATTGCGTTCAGCGAGAGCAGCAATGGTAGCAAACGGATTCACACCAATAGAACCAGGAATGAGGGCACCATCAGTCACGATGAGGCCGGCATGAGTCTCTGCGGTATCATTGCCGATGAAGACTTGACCAAGGTGATTTGTCGCCCCGTTTGCTCCAGTGTTGTCCCGAGACATTGGTGCTCCCCTTAAACAAAACACAGATCAGTATCGTGCCATCAAGTTGGATTATTCTCAAGCCCAGGTCTTTTGTCTCTTACCCAAGAGGATGCGCTGTAATCAGTTGTTCGCCCATATAGTTGTAAAAAGGAGTCAGCGACAATGTGCCGCCAACAGAAGCCGTGGCCTTTTCCAAAAGATCGTTGAGTTTCTTTACTCGGTCGCTTTTTCCAACTCCTTGGAACTCTAAGAGCGGCCTGTCGTCCTTGAGACGTAAAGTTGCTTGGTTGCCTGTTCATTTGGGCTTTGGTCAGCAACACAGCCTATGTAACCGTACAGGATTACTTCTGGCGCGATAAACAACAGGCATCAAGCGTACCATCATGCGACATGATCAAAAAGACTTGAGTGTTTCCTAGAGGGCCGTTTTCTGAGTTCGAGCCAAATAGGGTCTTTTTGCAATGGCCCATGAACGCCCCAATTTGCTGAAGAAGCGACATCTCAAAGGCTCGGCTTCCAGGCATCATGTCGAGTATAAAGGGCAACATCTCCTTGAAAGCTTGCGGCATGGCGCCATCTTGAATAACGTAGCCATTAAGTGGATTGTCATGGCCTTTTCTGTTGTCAATAGCGCTGGTAATGGTTGGACCGACGGGATTCGAAGGGTCTTGGTCTGGGTTTCCAAGAGCGTTTACTTCCACATCGCAGTTGTGGCTGTACACGCCTCGAGTCAATTGGACATCACGATGACGGTATCAGAAGCATTTGATATCGAAGCTTACCCAAACGCCAAAACGTCGCCATTACCGCTCATTGCACGACCAACCCAGTCGCTCATATTCAAGCCCATGTGCTTGCTCCGAAGCAGGATTTCTGTTGTGCCGATGGACCCAGCACCGAGGAAGACGACCTTTTTTGCATGCACCCACATCAAATCGCCATAAATATTGCCTGCCGCGAAACGACCCCGGCCTTTGCCGTGGCAGGCAAAGTGGATCAAGTAGCCGCCGCGATCATCCTGAACCTTTTCAATATACCGCACTTCGCATTTGCAAAACATCTCTGCGCCCCAGTTCCAGGCATCGGCGATGTATGTGACCAACATAGAGGTTTTTGAACCATCGTTGACACCAGTCGTTTCTTGTCCAGCGAGTGTTGTCGCCGACATGTTGACGCCGCAACTGTTGGGGCCGTTTCGGAAGCGGGTTGTCAGGGGAACCCTGCGGAATCTGTCTTGCAGTCCAAGGGCCTTTGCTTGTTCGTTGAATACCTGCATCTTCTTAAGACTTGGCCAGTTTTCGGGATATGGCTCTGGCTCAAGCACGTCTCTAACCTTTTGGTAATCTGGACGTGAGGAATCATTAGCCAAAACGAGATTCAGCTGCGAGGAGGGCCAATATGCCTTACATTTATCTAGGCCTGCCGGGTTATCTCGAATCTCTGGTGGCCAATGGCCCATCTTGAGGATATCGTCTTCTGTCTCGAGGAATACATTCGAGTTGACCAGGCTTCCGCCGCCCAAGCCTGAGAGAGCAATGCAGAGTAAGTAAGGAGGTGACTGAGGGCAGCCGCATTATGGCTATATATGAACTTCTGGACATCAGACACTTACCATTTCCAGCAATAACATTCAGGTCGTGGCCAAAGACGAGATGGAACATGCCCGTAGGATTTCCTATGTTAACGCCAACGCCACCAAAGGAGCCTGGAATTAAATCTCCAGTGACGCGGTACTGTTTCATCGTATCAATCGTCCCTGTAGGATACTCTCCTGGCCATCTCTCTTCCCCTCTCTCTAACAAGCAGACAGATTGGCCAGCTCGAGCCATGCGCGACGCAGCTATGGAGCCTCCATAACCAGAACCGATGACAACGCAATCGTACGAATCTCGTATATGTTCTATGGGCTTGGAAATCCGCGGGAAGGGAATTTTGTCATCGTGATCAAAGATGGGGTGGTCTTCATGATGGGCGAAATCGTCAAGGATATCGCCATCTGCCGATGAGGAAGAGGCAGTTGCCGGTGGTGTGGGATACATCTGCTTTATGGTTGAAACTCCTGGTTAATCGTCAAATAGGCAGAGCATATTAAACATAGTATATCGGTATAAGCTGGCCGAAAGAGCCTCAAGGGCATTTTCAGATGCCTTCTGATGCTTAATCGTATAAGCCTGCCGAGGCGCAATTAGGTATTTGGAGCCATGGTTAAGCGTGCGCATATCGACACACTGCGCAGAACGTATTGGCCGCCCTCCTCCGACCACAGCAGTCCCATCGCAGACTGCAGATGCGTCGACATCTCCGGACCACTAGTTGCATCATAGTGTTCATAGTGGATTCTAGGACAATAGAAAAGCCTCGTTGTTGGTGGGAGGTCTGTGTTGTTGGTCTGCTCTACAATCCCCACCTGAGATTGAAGAATCAGGAAACAGTGTGTTCCCACAGTGCACGTTGGCGAACACACGCAATGATCTTTGCAGGTCGCAGAAGAGCCTGGCTTGGAGTCTATCTTGCATTTGTTTGTCAGTTCCAGCTGGGCCTGCAAATGTACTCTTAGAGCTATTTGGGGCGGCAGCGCTTATTAAGGGGGAAGTTATGCAGTACCTCAGCCTTATTATCCGTCACCCAAGCTGTAGCTTGATAAGGTGCTGTAATTAGTGCGCATGTAAAAAGATTTAATGATGATATACAGTTAAAGGTAGTAGCAGTAGCATCTCACAGCTTTCTTGTTAAAAGATACTGGTTTTAGGCTCTCGTGAGATCATTCTCGATTATGGTAACTTGTCTGATACACGATAATCAGATCCCATTTAAACCACGGCCCTGCTTACCTCTACATAGGTATAAGATCTTCTTGACTAGTTCTAATTCATAGTGCAGAAGACGTTTATAAATCACTGAGCAAATTGAATGCGACTGAAATTGACATGTAGTTAAGATTGGGTTTCCAGACTACATATACATGGAGTCGCTGTTGCCTAGGGGCCCCTTGTTGGAGTCGGCATTATCCCAATTCGTAGACCGCCGAGATGACCATTCATTTACAGCGAGACTACACATCTCTCTACTCATTTTGCCATTGCAACTCGCGTTAGAACAAACTCAAAATGGTGTTTCTTTTAGATATCCCACGCGAACTATCTCTTCAGATAGTCAGGCTTCTTGACCTCGGCGACAAAGTCAACCTAAGTGCAATATTCAAACGATACAGAGCCCAATTATTCCCGGATATTTTCAACACCATACGATTCACCCCAAACGAGACATCAGCGACATCTGCACTGATTGCCGTGCAGGCTTACGGGCAGTACGTAAAAACAGTTGAGTTCACATGTCAATGCGAGCTGGGGGATTCACCAACGGGCCCGTCCCTATCTCTAGCAGCTTGCAAAGTCTTGCAAGGCTACCTTACGCCAAACCTACAAACAATCAGACTCAAGTTTGATTTTGGCCTTGATAGCGTACGGGACGAGGTTTCCGTCAACTTTGGGGATGTAGAAGATGCAAACGTCATTGGTGCAAAAGAACTGCAACATAAATGGCGGGCGCTTATGAAGGAAACCTGGGAGGCCCTTGCGATTAATACGTCCGTGAGGGAGCTTATCCTTGACGAGCTTCCCCCAAAGTGGACATCTGCGTACTATACTGATCCGTTTCGCCAACTTCTTGGCCAGCTTGAATCGGCAACATTCAACTTCTTCGGCTTTGAAGATTATGACGGATGCCGGACTAGTACGGCGCTCGGTTGTAACAACTTTCTCCGCAACTTGGATGCTCTGTTTTTCCGCTACATGACGGGACTAAAACATTTAAATATCCGGGCTTTTGATCTTCTAGGCCTCGACAATGATTTGCCAGATATCCCGCTTGCGTTAAAGCCTGAAGATCTTCCACTATTACAATCTCTGAAGCTAGAAGACTACGTCATCTCTCCAGAGTTGGTCTCATTCATAAGAGGCCATACCCAGATCCTTGCGTCTCTCAACATTAATGAATGCTCTAGCATGATAGACACCCCATCCTACGTCGAGAGTCTATCCTGGGCTGAGTTCTTTGATCAGGTATACGAAGCGAAGCCAAGACTTACCGAATTAGTCGCGGGAGGTAGTAAAGCATCTTTCCTGCAAGAAAACCAATTGGATGAGTGGTTAGGCGACGACATTGAGAATATGCTCCAGAGGATGAAAACAGACCCGACGTTTATTTTGTTTAGGTACATATTTGTGGACGGCGATTGCGGTACGCCATTTGTGTATGAGGGTCTGAATGTGGAACGATATTACGATGGTAGTGACCAGAGAGCATACGATCGTCTAATGGGACTAGTTGAGGAAAATAGGGCGTGCCTCGGCAGAGTTTAAGTCAAGAGGTATCTAGTACAGTACGAAGCTGAGCATTCATGTGAAGGAACATGCAAAGCAGTCCGTGATTGTTCGCAGATTGCCTCGATCGCTAGATGGTCCATGCTAGACAACAATACAACTACATTACATGTGTCCGCCCAATGGAGATTCGACCTTTAGATTGCGGGTCTATTGTCAGTTCTTCAAACAGTGCAAATCTTTGGGGCTATGCTATTCTCTCAGCTGCTGTTGGTTCTGCTGAATGGTGACGCCGCGGTGGCTATTCCTCGATTTGCTACAGTAGATACGTGTACGCACCAAACACATAATTCGACGCCAGCTTTGCCAGCCTCACAGTTCTAGTCCTTTCTTGGCTGAAACGGCACCTTCAGCTCTGTGTCAACCCCGCGGAAAGATCTGCCGCTTCCCATTGGTCAAAGAAAACCTCAAGGACGCCGGCTTCATCAGAAACCTTATTTACAGTGAATGCAAGCCGCGTGATGTGTCCAGCAGCTCCAGCAGCAGGGCATGCAGGTGAGATCTGATGATGCTTGTTTTGTTACCTGCAGCATTTACATGTATATTTGCGCTTGTTCTTGGCTTGTGACCAGCTGAGCAGCCCCTTGGCTAGTACGGTTTCGAAGGCATGTAGGTAAGAACTATCAAAGTCTATGTTGAGACTTTATGCCCAGGAGTCTTATGGTTCATACATGTATGATACGTGAGAATCAGCTCAGCTCTGTTGATTATTCCAGCTTACAGCCCAGCGCTTTTCCCTCTACCGATGATGCGTAGGCTGGGGTGTTTGGAGATTTAGTACATCATCAACACGACTCACATGTGATGTCTGTATATAAAGTAGCTTCTTGAGATGGCACATCCCGGCCTCTTTACCTCATCTCGTACATGTAACGAATTTTTACGGTTCGGCTTAGATTGTAGTCCATATCTTGTCTGAGCATCATGTCCAGTTCCAAGACTGGCACATCGGAATCCTCACCGGCGGCTGAGCCAAGACCTCTCATCATCTTTGCCGATGGCAGTTGGTGTGGTCGAGAGGCCAATACTCGGTCCAACATCTATCTCTTAGCCAAGATGGTTGGTATTCAAATAGAGGACGTCAACGATACCGACATCCACCGCCTACTAGTAGGCAGAACGGCTTGGTACATCCACGGCGTTGGGCTAGGAAGCACGTTCCTTGAGTGCGTCGTAACAATTAATTCATGGCTTGATTGCTAATACAGTCCAGCTACGTTTTTAATGGAATAACAGCTCAAGATATTGCCGACCAATGTGTGAAAGCCTACAGATTCATCGTCGATCATTACAGCTACCCTGATCGCCAAATCTGGATGTTTGGCCTCTCTAGAGGCGCATACATGGTGCGATCCGTTGCCGGCATGATCAACAATTGCGGCATCGTCAAGCCCATACTGAAGTCAGACGGCACCATCGACTGCGCTGAGACGGATATTCTATGCCGTCAAGTCTACAAAACCTACCGTTCCAAAGACCCAATCAACAAACCGCACACGGACCAGTCTAGGCAATTCCGTCAACATGCAAGCTGGCCCTTGATTGGTGACGAAGGAGACGGAGAGCCTCAACTACTACCGCCCGTGAAGTTCTTGGGCCTTTTCGACACTGTAGGCAGCCTTGGGATTCCGGACTTTGTGGGTGGCGTCGGGCTAGACTGGCCTAGATTTCATGACCAGGAGGTTTCAACCGTCGTTGAGCTTGTATATCACGCCATGTCCTTGCATGATAATTTCTACATCTTTCCTCCTTGTCTTGCTACAAGGAATCGTCGTCACTCGGAGAGGCCAGATGACTTTGGAATTACCCAGAAATGGTTCCCAGGCGTGCATTATGACTTGGGTCGGCAACGCTTCAAGTTCTTACGTATGTTTGGTGGTGGGTGGTTAGAGCGATTGTTGGCCAGATGGAGCTGGGCGAGCAATGTAATCGAGCCAAATGAAGTGCTTTCCGATCTCGTGCTGAAGTGGATGCTCGAGGCTATCAAGGCAAACGATCCAAGTGGGCAGGTCATCTCAACTGAACGGATTGACGAGGAGATTGCGGCAGCGGACCAGAGAATGGTCGCTGATGACCGGCAGATCGGTGATGGGGATGTATACAAAAACATTGTCGCATATGCCCCTTTTGGCAGCGCGATTGTGGGCTTGTTGACGGGGCTTTTCGGCACAAGGTGGAAGACGGATCAGCTTTATCAGCTCTTCTTTGCGCTGCGGGATCGCCTGATTGCTGATCCAGATGCGCATGTGTACGGATACCTGGACACTGACGCTTCTATTGTAGGATCTGATAACCAGAGGATCGAAGAGTTGGCAGAGGTGACTCCGGCAAGATACCCGTCGCAGACCTACCAAGCTTGGAGATTAAAACGCAGATTATTAGGGCTTGAGGATGAGTAGATGCTGGCCATTGGCACCTGCTACAAGGACGAATGTTATATCATTAAGGTCTCAAAATAATATTTACATATTTAATGCGGTATGACGTTGCCAGATTTCTGCAGTCGTCGTAGCCGGAGATCTGTTCCCATGTTCATTAGCATCAGAAGCCCTTTATGTCAGTAAACAGAATATCAGAGCATGATTATAAGGGTGTCGATTGACATGGTCATGAAGCATATCAAGACTTCACTACATGTAAATCCAAATGGCCTCCTGAATTTCGAAACATTTTTTTTTTGTTCTTTATTTCGTTCTCCGCAAGAACCGATAGTTATTCTCGCTAAAATATACACAAGTATGTCTTCCTCGTCCCTTTTCTTTATTCTTCCCCCCTCTCGCGTCTACTTTCGCTCCGCCTCCAGCTCCCTCTCAGCCTGCTGGTAGTACTTTGCCGTGTCCACGCCGTGCTGGTTGTGGTTGACAAAGTTGAACCATGGCACCGTGCTGAAGAAGAGGGCCGAGTATCTGCTCTGGCGGGCGGCAACGCCCTGGAGGTGCGAGTTCAGCCTGCTCTCGCCGTAGAGGGGCTCGCCAGCCTTGACCTTGGCGACCATTTCCCGCATGTCCAGGTCGACTTCTCTTGCGTTTTCGGTGGCGCCGTAGAATCGAACTGTTTGCGTTATACTGTATCAGCTTCATTGGATTTCTTCAAGTTGTCCTTCATATACCAAATTGAGGGGTCGAAACGTACGGGCTGATCGCTGGTAAAAGTAGAGGAAACCGCCGGCCAAACCGATGAAGCCGGCCAGGCGCATGGCCTTGGCAAGACCGCCTCGGCCAACGTGTGACGGGGCGAGTCTCTCGAGGGCGTAGAGTCCGGCGGGAGCAAAAGCCGCGGCAGCAGCTCCAGCTACGTAGTCTGAGGTTCGCGCATATCCGACAACTCGCTTAAAGTGACTGTCCACGATACAGCATCAGCATTTGACCAATTCCACATCTATCGTGTGCCCGGCTTTTCAAAATTTCCGCAAATCATAAATCGAGAAGAGAAGAAAACGTACGGGTCGTTGTCGATGAGCTAAATCCCCCAAAAACGTCAGTCTACCGCATATCATCATGATGATTTTCTCCTCCACTGAGACGCCCCAATTGCGCCATATATACACGACAAAACATACCGGGTACTTGGTCTCGACGACCTTGCTCGTCCCAACGTAGGACTGCTTGGTCGTTGTTGAGGCCATCTTGTGAACTAGATTTGCGACCCCCGAAATGCGGCAGCAGCTCGAACTGGGTCGAGAGATCTGATGTCCCGGAGCTTGCAACTTGCGATTGCTAGTGCCTGAGGATGCAAGAGATCACGTGGAGACGACTCTGGCTGTCTACATCACGTGTATCAATTAAAGGCCTTGGTGGGGTGCTTCAAGCCAAGACGCGGTCCCCGCAATCGATAAGGTAGAGAGACGCGTCTAAGAGCAAGCAGTAAGTAGCTTCATGATGGTCAATTAGATGTTGCTTGTCATACACATATTCATAACGAATTCTCTTTGTTAAAAAATCAAATTGACATCATGTCATTATCACAACGTCTGCCAGCACATGGCGATGATTTAGACGATTATGGTCTAGACGACGACCTGGACAACCCTTTTGCATCTCCAACTCCCCCGCCAGAATCATCAAGCAAGAAGAGAAAAGAGCCACCCTCTGGGCTTGGCATCGAAGAGGAGGTTTCAGTGCAGAAGCGTGTGCGGGTTCCAAATGTGAAGCTTGACGAAGAGAGGTATCTATAATTTTCTCATATGAAAAGGAAATGGCAATTATGCTAATCATCAATTTGTAGACTATTAGGCCCAGCTGGAATCCCCAAGCTAAGAAAAAGAGCAGCAGGGCTCAAACTCAAAGGCAAAGGCCATGAAGTACGCAAAACCTTCCCAAGCGTCTCCAATTCTATCCTTTTACATCTCCACTGACTAGACTTCTCTATTCAGTTCTCAGACGCCTCTCGCCTCCTCTCCTTCTACCAGCTATGGCTCGACGACCTCTTCCCCAAAGCCCGCTTCCTCGACGCCCTCGCCATGGTCGAAAAGGCCGGCCACAAAAAGGCGCTCGTGACGGCACGAGACGGATGGATCAACGAAGGGCGGTCCAAGGCGAGCCACGATGATGACGACGAGCTGGGCATTGGAGCCGTCAATATCAATGATGACGATTTGTACGATGCTACGCCTCGAGGGGCGAGGAGATTTATGAATATGCTTCGCGATGATGCGCCAGCGGCAGCGCCGGCAGCGGCAGCGAAGGACGATGATATGCCTGATGACGATGATTTGGAAGCGCTCATGGCGGAGGCAGAGAGCATGGATAGTCGGAGGCTTCTTACCGCCATGACAAATACTACTGCTACTACCAGCAAGCAAAATACTACGACTACTACAGCCAGTACAATTGGCCCAGAAGACGACGACGACGACGACTATCTAAACGCCCTCATTGCAGAAGCAGAAGCACAAGATCGGCAACCTACAAAGAAAACGGGCGATGGCGCAGCTTCAGCAGACAAGGGACACGACTTTGCGGACGAAGAGGAGGCTATGCGGGAGATGGACGGTTTGTGGTGAAACTACTAAGAAGGATAATTGCAGGATTCATGTATTATGAAAGAGGGCATCAAAGGGCACATCTATTTAGCAGGCGTCTGGGATTTTTTTTTGCATCCATGTTCAAAATCAAGGTGCTCAAGGGAGAGAGAGATGGTACTACTAGTATAGAGGTATTACTTGTAGCAGGCGGGTTCATGAGCTTCTGTAAATAGAACACTATAAATACCATATTAAGAGACTACAGTCACAGTCAAGAGAATCAAAAGTGTATAAATCGGCAACGCTTGTTCAATTATAAATAGTGTACAGCCTATCATCAAGTGTAGCCAGGTCATAAATAGCTATTCTGTTTCTATCCTCTTTACCAAAGAGAAAAGGCCGTTCCCGCGTTGCGCCGTTTCCACACATTTCCTTAAACCACCCTTGGAATATATGCCGCCATCCCAAGCCACCCTAAGCCAGGGATTACTTTTTTTCCCCATGGGTCAAGATGAAACATAAAAAAAAAATTGATATTTTAAATACAGAAAAAGAAAAGGAGAAACACAAATCAAGGATTACCTCGACAGCCGTGACCGTTTAGAGCCACCGCCATAGTCAAGTCGAGAAGGTTTCGTTCGCTTAACACCCGCTACTTTAAGAACAATAGAATCTGGTAATGATGGTTTTTGTTGGTCTGCTGAGGCGCTTCTCTCGGGGACGAGAAGCGCGGCCTGCTTTTGCTGGATCTTCCTCTCCTCGACCCTCAGGGCCCACAGGAGTGTGAGAAGGACTTCCCTAGACGGCAACTTAACGCTGCGTAGAGATTGAGTCAGCTCGCAATGGGCGCCGCGCGTCGCACAAGACTCGTTGTCTGAGCTCCCGTCCCGATCGTCGCGTCCCTCAGACACCAACCGCAATGCCGCCATCGTCGCATCCAAGAGAGGACGCGCCAGACTGGGGCTGCTGGATAGGATAGTCCGAAGAGATTTGAGTCTCAGGGTCGTGGATCTCGAGGTCGAGCTCGTGGTCCGCAGCGGCATAGTTGCTCGCTGCCACAATGTCGGAGGCGACGTTGTTTGCGTCGTCGTTGAGGAAGTCGTTGATGTCGAAGAAGTCGTAGGGAGGTTGATCTTGGAAGCAGGCGGCAGAGTCACCAGCCAGATAATCGTCGTCAAGAGTTGAGGAGTTGGGAGAAGCGAGAAGCCCGCTTTCGAGGACATAGCGATCTGCATCAAGGGCCGCTGACATGCTGAAAGAAGAGCCGAGGCTGAAAGGACCATCATCCGAAGGTACAGAGCCCAGGCCAAGGCAGTGGGCGTCGGAGTCTGAGAGACCGGGAGCGACTGAGGCGTCTCCACCGATTGACACGGCAGGTCGCACAACATCTCTGCAGGACGTTGTGTCGAATCAGTGGAGAGGCTGACAGTCAGCTGTTGGCTGGTCTGCTCGATTTGGTCTTGAGTCTGTTCCTCCTTGGTCTCTTCCGAGGCGAATTCTTCATAGTCTTCGTTGGCGGAGTCGGGGATGGGGTTGAGTTCGGGAGAGAGAGAGGCGGGGTTCACGGTGGGGTTTGTCGCGGACCTCATCATCTGGTCCATCAAGGACTGCTTGGTAGAGTCGACCTTTTGGCCGTCTTGGGGGCCAAAGAGCTGTTGTGACAATGTGATGCTGTCTTGGAGGGAGTCTAGGGGGGAAGAAGAACGGGTGACGACGCCTGAGCTTCGTCGGAAGCGGTTGAGCTCCTCGACGAGGATCAGGTTGGTCTTTTGGGCGTTGATCAGGAGCGTCTCCAGCTCCTTGTTGCGCTTCTCGAGGGCCTCGACCTCGAGCCTCTTCCTCTCTCGTGATGACTGAGCAGCGCGGCGGTTCCGGAGAACACGCTCCACGCGACGCTGTTCCTTTTCATCTTCAGTCTTGGCTCGTTTTCTATAAAACAAAGATGGTTAGCATACAGGAAGCTCTTAAGAGTTGATGTTTGTCAACATACCTAGGAGGGAGGTTGGTCTTGGGCTCGGGGAGCACCTGGCCCCATGATTTCCTCTTCTTGACAGGCTTCTTTTCTGATGAAGAGGAATCTTCGGGGGCTGCGTCATCCAGGTCTCTGTCTTCGTCCATGTCCTCCTGCTCGGGAATCACCGACAGGCGCTCGAGCTTCTCGTCGGCGTATGACTGTGGCGTCATCATCTCCATGGGATCCATGGTGGTGGCTGAGGAAGGTGTTGAGACGGCGAAGAGGGAGGAGAAGTTGTCGCCGGGAGCTGACAGAAAGGACTCGGCGGGAGACGCCTCGAACTTGATGAGCGGAGACGACTGCTGGAACGCCATGTTTGGTGTATCTGAAGTTGAATCTCTGCTTGTTTCGTTTCTCTTATTGTTCACGCTGCGCAAGAGTTGATGTATGCAAAGTGACGTGAACAAACGTTAGCGGCTGTTTCTCTCTTAAAGGAAACGGCGCGCTGTGGAGATGATGAAGAGAGCGAGATGAAAGCGTCAGATGTCAAACGGCGTGTTTGCTTTGTCAAAGCGATGGTTCGTTCCAGCAGGTCTATTATTGGTGCAGATGCGCCCACTTCATGGCAGGCAGGCAGCGACCCAATCAAACGAATGAGTCAGCCAGATGGGAGTTGCGTGGCTTTGCCCAAGTTGGATGAGTCAGAGCCTAGGAGCGTAAAGGACAGAGTGGCTTCTTCGTGTAGGCCAGATTGGTGCGGACGAGTCCAGCTGGTTGGCGGCGAAGCACGTCTCTTTATCTTGAGGCCACGCTGGCCTTGTTGGCAGTGTCCTGGGTGCCTGAGGCCGCGAGACAGACCAGGGAAAGGGGTGGCTTCGGATCGAATCGAACCAGGCAGGCCATTAAGCAGTGGCGGTGGATCGCGGTGGGGGCGGCAGAGCCTCGAATCAGGCGCCAGGCTCGGGGCTTCAGGGGGGGCGCCTTAGCGGGCTTGGGGAGTGGGCTCTTCTGCTGCAGGGGGCGCAGTGGGTGCTGGGCGCTGGAATTTGGCTGCGCTGCAGAGGCACGCACGGCGCAGCTACCTACAGTACAGCACGGTGGACTTCAGTCGAGGATGTGCCCCTCCAAATCCTCCGAGGGCGCTCCAGAAGGGCTGGTTGCATCCCGGCAGAAGAGACAAAGGCTGGAGGCTCTGGGGAAGAGGATAAAGAGGGAAATCCCGGCTGAACCGGGAGAGAGGAGGACACAACAGAAGCCGGAAATAGGCAATGAAAGATGGCATTACTAGCGAATTGCGTATTGAAAGTGAAAGTGGAATTATACGAGAATCAATGGTTTGATTTTGCTGATTGTAGACTACAAGCACGTGTGGCAGGCCTCTCCAAACAGTATCGTATTGTCAATGTCTGTGCTTGGCTGTCTTGCCTGGATTGGCATCAATCCCCTCATTTTCTGGAGCCCTCGATGCTCTCAAGAGTCTCAACTGTATCGAACTAAACTGCTGAGACACGTGCAACAGCGCCGGTCTCAGGGTGCAGGGACAGGGACAGGGACAAGGAGGACATGGACATGGACATGGAAACATTTGAATTCATGTCTGCTTACATGCCCAAAACATGACATACCTGCATATACCTTACATGTACATACATCAGATATCACAGCATGCAGCAGACAGAAGCATGCAGCAGACAGAAGCATGCATTTGCATTTTTTGTTGAGGAAAAGCTTCTTCTTGTTTCCGACCTTGTCCAAGCAAATAATTCAAACATCCAAACGTCATTGGGCTTCAGTGCCAAACAATGGAAAGGAGCTCAGGAGAAGGAGGCAGACGAAAAGGGGGGTTGATCTGATCTGGTTGGTTGGACAAGACAAGCCGGATCGATGGATCGTCTCCTCTCGATGCCCACTCTTGTCTCCCAAGCCACCAGAGAGGCTGATTCGCACAGCTGGTGGCCTGAATTACGCAGTACAAGTGATACGATCTGCGGGAAAAGAGACGGTGTGCTTTCGTAATGCAGTCTTGCGTTTCTATTCTCATCCTTATTGATCAGCGTCACCCAAGATAGCAACCAACACGATACTTAGTCTTCAAGTCCACCTTCCTGGGCACATATTCTCCATGTACACGCATCTACGCGCATTCACATTAGCTCTACATACTCGGGCATGTAGCGCCATGTAGCAACACGTGGTGAGCATCAACAGGCCGTGCTACAGCAGCCCGTTTGGCCTCCAGACAAGTCCTTGGTCCTCGTCTCCATCCGCTGCTTCTAGCTGCTGCGCACGTAATCACTAACGGCATTCTCGTCGAGGCTAATGATAGCACAGCAGGCACAGTAAGCCCTTGGGACGCAACATCCGTCCGGCCTTTCCCCACCTCCGGCATCGCCAGAAGCAAAAAAAGTCCCGGATTGACGGCTCACTTGCCTAGAGGGCTCGCAGCGGGATGGCAGGTTACATGCCTGCCCGATAGACGACAGTGCTGCTATAAGCAGTCATTGCAGTTGCAATTATAGGAAACTCACTCCAGAGCATCGGGTTCAAACAATGGATCGTCTCTTCATGGGCCCCTTGCTCTTGAGAGACTCCCAACTGCATGGCTCAGAGGGTTCTCTTTCTCATCTTACTACAAGTGCTAGCATCGCCCTTTGTGGAATCCCCGTAATGGTCGTTCTGCAGTTGCTCTCTTTGGGAGCAAAGTCTCACCAGCTCACAATACTTCCACTCTTTTGTCTCACTCTCGGTCAAAAAGGGTTCTTGCAAGGGTTTGAAGAGGGAAGGAGAAGAAGCGACAAGAATCACATCGATCGAACAGGCGGGTTCGTCCTGTCTCGGCAAAAGCAAACGCTGTTAACAAGGGCGGATGTTGCGCAGACAATTCAAGAGGCCCTGAAGGGAACCCTGAAGAGAACCCTGAAAAGGGCCCTGGAGAGAGAGGACCCCAGACATTTTTCCGTCTGATTGTGAACCTACATGCCAAAAGAGGCAGCACCCTTGCGAGCAGAGGAATTGCCTAGAGGAGGGGGAGGCAAAATACTCCGAAAGGAGCAGCTGGATATTATTACCTATTCCACTACTACTGCACTGCTGTGTGTTGTGTTACCAAGTATGGCCGGAAATATATTGCCAATTGCTTTATCAGAACGACCGGCCAATACTCTTTTCTTCGCGCCTCTGCAGCCGGAGCCAATCGAATCGCCAAAAAGCACGCAATGGTTCCAGCCACTGCTATCCAAACAAATCAATAGGAGACGAGGCGGGGTCCCGTCTTCTCCAACTTTCGGCCCTATCTCCTCAGGCAAATTCAACTCCAGCGAGTGCCGCACCAAGTTCCTGCGCCTAGTCGTTTGGTGTGGCAGCCGTCGCTCAATAGCATCTCATCTCGGAGTGCGGGCCGTTGGCGCCGCCCCTTTTCCTAGTGTTTATGTTTGAAGGACGAGCGGTTTCAGGCTCCTCGTAGCTGAAGGCTGCTAATGTGGCTTATCAATGGCACGCGGTGGGAATCGATGGAATTGCTTCAGAGTCAACGCTGGTTCAGGGCCGTCCGGCAAGGCATTCCGTTCCATGCTGCTGCTCATCAAATCGCGTACCCATGCTCAGATGCAACCTCCCCCAATGGATGGATCAAAATGCTACTTCGCCATGTCTACTTTCTAGCAATAGTTCCGGAACGGTTTACGGCACCAAGACCCTCCCCTCCGTTCTCCCAATTTTCCCCTTGATTAGGCCGATCTGCTTCCCCCTCTTTCTGGCGAGACCCCAGATTTTCGTAGCCCTTCCCTTTTTTCCGCCACGCCTTGTGCCTGTTCATGTTCCGGCTCTTGAACGTTTAAAGAGGGCGGCCGTCCATGTAACCCTTCCATTCTGCCGGTTTTTACTCTTGACTGGCACTTTACCCGGGAATTTTATCTTCTGTGCCCTGCCAATTTCAAATGAATGATTTTGCTGCTATTACAATGCCATTGCTGCTGTTACCGCCGCTACTGCTTTCAACCACCTGTGACAAGCGTGCATGTACTGAGGATACTCTTCAGCTCCATCTCCTGCAGTGGCGCCCAAGTGGGCAGCTCAAGCTCTGGGCCTCCCATTATCGGACCATGCAGAAGCTGCGTGCATTGATTCTGCCAGTGCAACATTGACTCTAACATACAGTTCCCTATACGAGTACGAAATGCCCATCTCCAAGCATGTACTTTGATACTAAAGCGAGCATGCGGGGAAGTTGTTCTCTCTGAGCTTCTTCTGCTGCCCCTCACTCTAATGGCTCACTCGCATGTGAAGATTGCTCACAAGAACATACTCAATGCCAGTCACAGCAGAAGAGATCACACGACAGAATATAAGCAGGGAGAAGACGAGCAGCAGTAGCTCAAACCTTGCACCGCTTGCAGCCCAACCTTTGCCACTGCCATCCATCATCAAGCCTTTCGATCGCCCGCGGGGTAACGCGAAACGCGCTTCTCGAGAATGGACGTCGCCCACTGACTACGAGTACATACATACATACACACACACACATACACGAGCATAGCAATGGCGGGGCTGGCGTCTTGAGAAGCTTTCTGGGTGCATGTGCATTGCGGTGGAGCATCGAGAAGCTTTCACTTTGCGAGGAGCACCGGTGAGGCTTCGCAGGTGATGAAGCAAACGTCGTATGAGCATGCCTTTGTTGGGCGTTCCCACATCCAGTCGACATGCATGTGCATACTCTAACATGTAGTCGGTGAACATTGATCGACCATACAGCTACTCCGTCCAGCCACGAACCTCCAAGGTCCCCCAGTTCACATGCAAAACAAAAAGTTTGTCTCCAAAAGCTAGGCGCCCAAGTTTTTGCGGTGGTTGTGGAGAGCTCTGCCACGTCGGACGCTCAATGCATTGGCGCGGACAATCGAACTTGTTTGGGGGCCGCCACTTACTTACAAGCAGGCGTTGAAGACAAGCATCCAAAGGAATTGAATACACCAGGCTGACCAGCTCAGGGATTTAGCAGAGCCCAACAAAAGAAGTTTATGCGGCATGCTGCAAGGTATCCTAGAAGCGGATGGATGCCCTGGCCGAGTATCTGCTTGCATGCGCTTTTGCAGACCGCTTGTTGCACGTAGAGAGAGATGCATACATGCAGGCATGCATGCAAGAAGAGAGGCTTTTATCACGTTCCAGATGGTGGAGATGGCTGATGTGTGATTGGACGCAGTCAACTGACTCGATGAATCTGTGTTTGCGAGTTGATTTGATTTGATGTGATTTGGTAATAGAGGAGTCTATCAGTTGAGTTTTATGGCACGTTTTGAAGCGATAGGGTTTTTCGATATCACTACCTATTCATCATCATCGTAACAAAAGTCAGAGTAATTGAGTTTAGCTATCTACAAATAGCTAAATCAGCTTCTTTAAGTAGAAACGTCTTTATTTGTTTTCATTTTGGGTTCTTCATTTTATTTCTTTAACGGACATGATAGGTACAAGTAGGTATCCTCCCATGTGCAAAACCAGGCATCCGGCTCGGTGTCCGCGGAGAGCCATCTATGAAGTCTCCGATAAAGAGATGCATGTTATTGGCAAGATAATTCCGTATCTCCTATGGTAGATGTCAGCTTTGCTCGAGCAAGACGCAGGGTCATTGATATGACCCTGGCGCGTTTCTATAGAGCATAGAATCCTCAAAATGGCACTCTCACCATCGAATGGCTCACCGATCAGGGACCATGCACCAACACAGTTGATCCCCCGAAATCCTTTTTTTGAGCGAGAGACTAGTAAGAAGTTAAACTAGTGACATACTTTGATCATGCATTCTCGATTCCCATATAGCCAATAATGTCGATAAATCTCCTGCCAAGGTCCAGAGCCAAACCTACCCTATATTACATGCCGAAACTCAATTTTGATCTGAAACTCGTATCGAGACAATTTCATTTAGTGTCTATCAAATCTCCCGCAGCACTGCCTTTTGCTTCAGGACACAGCTAGCTAATCCAGCATCTTGGCAGCCTAAGCCTCGCCGTTGCCACGTATCGCAATTAAACCAAATATCTGCCTGGAACCTGCCACGCGGCCATGAATATCCCGTAGAGTCCTACATGCCAGATAATCACTACAAGGCATCATGATTATCAATCAGGACACAGTTTCGAATTCAAAATCAACAACAACAGAGACACATCGTCTACCTGTCCCTCTCACACGACGGGATCCAGATTGCCCGTCTTGCCCTTGACGATGCCCTTAATCTCAGACGTCACCCAGCCGCCGTAGAAATCGCCTGGCTGCGGCTCCACGCGCTCGCCGTCGACGAAACAGTCCCACGGGCCGGCGTAGAAGCTCAGGTACCCGCGAATGGGCTCGAAGCCGGCTGTCGGGCTGTCGTACGACCAGATGCGGTTGGAGACGGTGCCGTCTGGGAGGGCGATGCTGTAGTACGTTGCGGCGCCTTTCCACTCGCACCAGCTGGAGCGGGACGTGGGTTTGAGGGGGGTTTTGATGCTGGACGGGGGGAGATAGTATGCTGTTGAGTGTCAGTTTACATGAAGTTTACTTCTAAGCGGTTTGTATAGATGTAGGCCCAGGAAGATGTAGCACCACTTGATGACACGGCCAATTGCAAAAAAATTTGATGGTGAGTTTCAAACTTGATAGGTGAAGTTGATATCTTCCAACTTAAACTGCAAGCGGTCCACACGCACTTGGAGGATGATGCGTCTCCAACACCCAATACGCATCGCTGGTATCTGCAATCTCGACATCCTTGTATGTGATGCGGACATGCCGCGAGATCTTGTCCAGCCGTGGCGGCCGGGGAAAAGGTTGGACGTTCATCTTGGGATAAGAAGCTCTTCTGACGGCCTTGAAAGAGAGCATTTCATAGCTCCATGTTCGAGTTGAGCTGGGTTTGAACAAGAGGAAGAAGTCTTGAAAGATCAATCGACTTCTTGCTCGACTTACAATGAGATCATGGATAGAGTGTGGCTGAGGACATTGAAATGTGGCTGGTGAGCCGTCGGCAAGAGCGACGAACTGTGGCTGGTGCGCGCCCGATTCCTGTTGCGTCACCCCGCCTTATCCGCCACTCGTCCAAGTCGCCGAAAGTTTGCTTTTTGAACCCGTTGTCCCTTTTATCTCTCCATCGCCATCTCGACAAGAATCCTCATATCGACTCCAGTCTCCTCCTAAACCACCTCCAGTCAAAATGTCCAACCGCCAGCTCGCCCGCGACATGCAAGTCGAGTTCCAGGCGCGCTTCCAGGCCAAACAGGCCCGGCGCGAGGCCCAAAAGGCCGCCAAGCAGGACCCCGTCCTCAAGAAGCAGATCCAGGAGCTGCTGAAGAAGGGCGAGACGCAAAAGGCGTACCAAAAGGCCAAGATGCTGCTGTCCAAGCAGGCGCTGGCGCAGCAGATGGACCAGATGGCCGACATGGCGGAGCTGTCGGCGGCGCAGATCCAGGCCAACAACTCGATGAACCGCATGACGCACATGATGGCCTCGTCGTCGCGGACGATGAACCTGGCGCAGAAGAATACGAACCCGGAAAAGGTGTGTTTTGTCTACTGACCCCTATATCTCATAGATCCTTGCAACTAACCGATCATCACTCCACAGACGCTCGTTACCCTGGAACAGTTCAAGCAGCAAAACGAGGAATACGCCATGACCAACGGCATCTACCAGGACGCCATCACGCAGTCCACATCCGTCCAAGTCGGCGAGGACGCCGTCCACGAACTGCTGGGCAAACTCGCCGACGATGCTGGCCTGGAAGTCAGCTTCGAGCTCAACAAGGCCACGCCTGCGACGGCCGAGCCCCAGACTGCGGAGCCGACAGCCGAGGAGGAGGACAAGCTGCAGCAGAGACTGAGGGCTTTGCGAGCTTAGTTGAGGAGTGGATTTCATAGCGGACTGCTTTCTTTGATTTTTGGTGCTTGCTACGTTGCTCCCTGGGTTGATACGCCTGTGTATGGATGAATAGGGAGTGACTTGATTCGATTTGCCGGGACTGATTTTCTTTTCTTTTCTGTTGCCGGGGCATGAGGGGTTTCTGTTTCGTTCATCGGCGTTTCTGAGAGGGCAAATGCAAGGGCTGGGGTTTTGACTGATAATGATTGACTGGATCAAGAACTTGTTGAATTGCTACCATCATTAGAGCTGCAGCGTCTATGATTCCTGCTGCAGCGATTGCCTGACGCATCGAAATCCTGGTGGAGCTTCTATACATATCTTACCACAGGCGCATACAAGTATATATATCGATATATTTACAATTGATTCTCTCTCTATAACCTATCAATATTGCTTGAGTTTCTCTTCTCTTAAACAGCTTTTGCTCTTTTTTAAACGCAGCATGTGTAACCTGACTTGCAGAAACGTTCCAATTCACGAGTAGACGCATGTGCCCAGACCCGCATTTCCATTCTACCTGTGGCGGGGCCAAGGCGGCTCCAACCTCAAACCTAAAGACTGCACCTCATATCAACTTTCATCACAGGTTGCTACTAAACAAAACAATTACTTGCTATTGATCATCAAGAAGAAGAATATTCTCACCCCCCCAGCTGTTGAAAGCCATGGCTGGCATCGACGCTCTTCTCATCTCTCAAGATGCACAAGACTTCGTCCCCAGCTCCAGCTCCAGCTCCAGCTCCAAGAAGCGGCGCCTCCAGAACCCCGAGGAGCTAAAGCGGCGTCTGGAAGATGATCTGCTGATGCCATCTCCCCAGTTCTCTGTCGAGTGGCTGGATCGTCTTCAGCAGAGATGGGACTTTGAGACGGACTATACGTCTCTGTTCAAGATTGCACCGCCCCAGACCCGAACTCTGACAAGGTTTTTGCGGCACGGACTGGAAGGCCGCGTTACAGGATACAAGAATGTCACGGTTCCCATCAGCGGTGCCACTGCAAAGAACTCGACCAGTCTTCTGCGCAAACCGGCTAACAGGGCGGATTTCGTCAGAGGTGCTGCCGGATTCTTTCCCTTTGCCCCTGGTGGGCTGGAGGGCATCGAGGCTACGGCGGCTTTGGAGGACCAGATCCATGGTGGAACAGCTGCTGTTGACGATGCTGCTGGTCGGAACAGGCTGGAGAAGGTGATTCAACTTGGTGGCGAGGGAGGATTACTGCAAACTGCCCCAGGAATGACTCGTGGCATCGACTTCAGCATCAAAAAGGCAGACAAAGACACAGACGCTGCTGAAGCGATCAAGCAGGAGCTCGCAGAGGATCCTGAAGATGCAAGAGATGCCAACGCAGAGGCCGAGGACTCATCATCACCCAATGGCGCACCTGGAGACTCGCCAGAGGATGGAGAGGAAGATGGAGACGATATCGACGACCTGCTTCCCGTGGAGTTTCCATCTCTTGAACCACATGGCATTCTCGCAGCTTCGAGTGCTAAACGAGCTGGCCGAGAATGGGCACACATGGTCGATATTAAGCACGACATGCCCAATTTCAGAGAGCTCGTTCCCGACATGGCTCGAGAATGGCCCTTTGAGCTGGACACGTTCCAAAAGGAAGCCGTGTACCATCTCGAAAACGGCGACTCGGTCTTTGTTGCAGCACATACGTCTGCCGGAAAGACTGTCGTGGCTGAATACGCCATTGCGCTGGCGGCCAAGCACATGACCAAGGCCATCTACACATCGCCCATCAAGGCTCTCAGCAATCAAAAGTTCCGTGATTTCAGACAGGAGTTTGACGAGGTCGGTATCTTGACGGGTGATGTGCAGATCAACCCCGAGGCCAGCTGTCTCATCATGACGACGGAGATTCTGCGAAGTATGCTGTACCGCGGAGCAGACTTGATTCGTGACGTCGAGTTTGTCATCTTTGACGAGGTCCACTATGTCAACGACTATGAACGTGGTGTCGTGTGGGAAGAGGTCATCATCATGCTTCCGGAGCACATTTCGCTCATCTTGCTTTCCGCTACCGTGCCCAACACGCACGAATTTGCCTCTTGGGTTGGTAGAACCAAGCAGAGAGATATTTACGTTATTTCCACGGCCAAGAGACCGGTGCCCTTGGAACACTATATTTGGGCCGGCAAGGATATTCACAAGATTGTGGATTCGGACAAGAAGTTTCTTGAAAACGGCTGGAAAGACGCTCACAAGGCTACGCAGAGCAAAGACAAAGCACCCGCTACTGGCAATGCCATCGCCGTTAGGGGAGGCAATCAAGGAGGCAACCAGCGAGGTGGAAGAGGTGGTAACCAAAGAGGCGGTCCACAGCAACGAGGAGGCAGAGGTGGTGGTGGCGGTGCTCAGCAGAGAGGACGAGGAGGACCTCCTCGAGCCAGCCACAACCCTGGACACATGGGACGAGCCGGAAACCCTGGCGGGCGATCAAGCGCTGCCCAAGACAAGAACCTGTGGGTTCATCTGGTTCAGTTCTTGAAGAAGCAGACACTTCTGCCGGCTTGTATCTTTGTCTTTTCCAAGAAACGATGTGAGGAGAATGCGGATGCTCTGAGCAACCAGGATTTCTGCACGGCTACTGAAAAGAGCGCCATCCACATGGTGATTGAAAAATCAATTGCTCGTCTAAAGCCCGAGGATCGAGTCCTTCCGCAGATTATCAGACTGCGTGAACTTCTTAGCAGGGGTATTGCGGTGCATCACGGTGGCCTGTTGCCCATTGTCAAGGAGCTGGTGGAGATTCTATTCGCCAAGACCCTCGTCAAGGTCTTGTTTGCCACCGAGACCTTTGCCATGGGACTCAATCTGCCTACGAGAACCGTGGTGTTCTCCGGATACCGCAAGCACGATGGCCACTCGTTCCGCAATCTCCTGCCTGGTGAATATACACAGATGGCCGGTCGAGCTGGTCGTCGAGGTCTGGATAAAGTTGGCTCGGTCATTATCGTGCCGCCTGGCGGAGACGACGCACCCCCCGTTGCTGAGCTGCGTAATATGATTCTGGGAGAGCCTTCCAAGCTCAGATCTCAGTTCAGGCTGACGTATAACATGATTCTCAACCTGCTGAGAGTGGAGGCGCTCAAGATTGAGGAGATGATTAAGCGAAGTTTTTCAGAGCATGCCACACAACAGCTGCTGCCGGAGCACGAGAAAGACGTCAAACTGGCCCAGGCCGATCTTGCCAAGGTCAAGAGAGAATCTTGCGGCATCTGCGACGGCGTGGTGGACGAGTGCCATCAGGCTGCCCAGGACTACAAGCGACTGACGACAGAGCTATACAAGGCCCTACTACGGATTGCCATTGGAAGACGGATGTTTACGCCGCAGAGACTCATCGTCTTCAACTGGGAGGGCATTCGCACCGCCGGCATCCTGCTCGCCGAAGGCATGAGCCCCAAGGGCAGCTTCGACGACCCCATCCTGCACGTCTGCGCCATCAAGCCCCTGAGAGAGCGCCGCGACGCAACCGACCAGCTGCCCTTTATCCCCGCCTTCCGCAAATACCTCCCCCGACTCCCCCAGGGCAAGAAGCGACTGACGACTAAGAACATGTTTGTCCCCCTGAGCGACGTCGAGTGCCTCACGCGGTGGGTGCTCAAGGGAGTCGTGCCCGAGATCTTCAAGGGCGGCAGCGGCGCCGAGGACGCGCGGGACAAGATCCAGGAGATTTGCGCAAACTGGGACGATCGGTGGGATGAGATGGACATGGGCAAGGTGAAGAGCTTGCAGCTGCAGGAGATGATGGAGAAGAGGGTGCAGTTGGCAAAGACGATGGCGAATTCTGCGGCGGTCAAGTGCCCATCGTTTTTAAAGCATGTAAGTTGGCTGTTTCATTTTCTTGATGTCCTTCCTCGTTTACTTTGATTTTCGCTTACTGACCATGATCCTGAATAGTTTGCCATGTGCCATGACGAGTGGCTCATCAAGGAGCACATTGCCCAGCTAAAGCAGTCTCTCTCCGACCAGAACCTCCAACTGCTCCCCGACTACGAGCAGCGCGTCCAAGTCCTCAAAGAGCTCGACTTCATCGACGACGCAACCCGCATCCAGCTCAAGGGCAAAGTCGCCTGCGAAGTCCACTCGGGCGACGAGCTCGTCCTCACAGAGCTCATCCTCGACAACGTCCTGGCCGACTTCGAACCCGCTGAAATCGCTGCCCTGCTCTCCTCCTTTGTCTTCCAGGAAAAGACCGACAACGAGCCCACTTTGACAGGCAATCTCGAACGAGGTCGCGACACCATCATTGCTATTTCCGAAAAGGTCAACGACGTGCAGACGCGCCTGCAGGTGATCCAGTCCAGCGAAGACTCCAACGATTTCACGTCACGGCCTCGTTTTGGCTTGATGGAAGTTGTGTACGAGTGGGCGCGGGGCATGAGCTTCAAGAACATCATGGGGCTGACGGATGTGCTGGAGGGCACGATTGTGCGGACGATTACAAGGCTGGACGAGACGTGCCGGGAGGTGAAGAATGCGGCGAGGATCATTGGCGACCCGGAGCTGTATCAGAAGATGCAGACGGCGCAGGAGATGATTAAGAGGGATATTACAGCGGTGGCGAGCTTGTATATGTGAGCTTGATAGGTGGATGGATGGGAAACACTATGTTCTTTGCTTTGGAGGCTTTGGGATTTGGGGGTTCAAGATGGTTATAAGCATGGAATTGGGCTTATTTGTTGGTATTAGGAAACACAAAGATCTCTAGAGGATGCTTCATATTTAATAGGATACATATAGACTACTGAATCACGATATGAGGTTATTGATTGGTGTCTATACACTTATAATCTAATCATTCAGTTTCTGCTCAATTGAGCCACGGGAACCGAGAAATATAAAAAAATGGGAGTTTATCAGTGGAAGAAGCGCATAGGTAATTACAAGTACAAGTTCATTATGATTCCCCTCCGGCCTCGCCCACCCCGTCTATCAAAAGTTTTTTGTTTAAGCTACCCTGATTGCCTTGTTTCAGTCCCCCCTTCTCCTCTCCTGAAGGCTCTCTCCCCCTTTTCGGAGGCGAAATTTCTACTTTTCCTCTCCGTATTTGAGATATTATATTCGCCTGCGTGGATAACTCCTCTTCCCTTTCTTCCTCGCCTCTCCTCTTCGGCTTCTTCTTTCTTTTATGAAATTCATTTTTATATCCGTAGATATGACTTATGAAAAGAGTACATCATCATTACTCTCTTCTTTATTGCTCCCCTTTCCTTTCCTTCTTCACCCTTTTCCTTCGTTCAGGGTATTTACACTCGCAGCATCTTGGCGGCAAAGTCGGCAATCAGCTGCTCGGTAGGGAAGGACATCTCCTCAAGGCCCTGGGCGTAGGGAGTGGGCACCTCGGCACCGGTAACTCGCTGAGCAGGGCCGTCAAGGTAGTCAAAGGCGTACTCCATGGCCAGGGCCAGGATCTCGGCGCTGACGCCAAAGGCAGGGTAGCCAGACTCGACGACGAGCAGACGGTGGGTCTTCTTGATGGACTGGACAATGGAGTCGAGATCCAGGGGCTTGATGGATCGCAGGTTGATGACCTCGGCGTCGACGCCGTAGCTCTTCTGGAGCGTCTCGGCGGCAGTGAGGGCCTGGCCGACGCAGCGGGACATGGACACAATGGTGATGTCCTTGCCGGCGCGCTCAATCTTGGCCTTGCCAAAGGGCAGGACGAAGTCGTCCTTCTGGGCGGCCTCGCTCATGGGGAAGCTCTGGCCGTACATGAGCTCGTTCTCGAGCACGACGACGGGGTTGGGGTCGCGGATGGCGGCCTTGAGCAGGCCCTTTGCGTCCTCGGCGCTCCAGGGCGAGACGACCTTGAGGCCGGGGATGCTGCCGTACCAGGCGGAGTAGTCCTGCGAGTGCTGGGCAGCAACACCGGCGGCGAAGCCGTTGGGGCCGCGGAAGGTGATGTTGCAGGGCTGGATGCCGCCGGACATGTAGAGGGTCTTGGCGGCCGAGTTGACGACGTGGTCAATGGCCTGCATGGCGAAGTTGAAGGTCATGAACTCGCACTAACAGCATACGTTAGTTACAGCACTGTTTATATATTATATATAGAGAGATATGATATAAACTCACCACCGGGTGCAGGCCGCTCAGCGCAGCGCCCACAGCCAGGCCGGTAAAGCCCATCTCGGTAATGGGCGTGTCAATGACGCGCTTCTCGCCGAACCGGTCCAGCAGGCCCTTGGTGACCTTGTAGGCGCCGTTGTACTGCGCAACCTCCTCGCCCAGGATAAAGACCTTGGGGTTGCTCTCCAGCTCCTCGGCCAGCGCCTCGTTCAGGGCATCTCGCACGGTGTACTCCTTGACGCCCGCGCCCTCGGCATAGGATCGGTTCTGCGACGAGCCGCCAAAGTAGACGGGGCGGGCAATGGCCTGTGTGAAGGACGGAGAGGCCTTTTTGGTGATGGCGGCAGCTCGTGTCGAGACAGCCAGGCGGGCTGCGGGTCGGAGGAATCGGGACATGGCGGGAGGAAAGAAAAGTGCTCGCTGGCAGTTCTTTTTGCTTTTTCTGCTTGTCGACGGGCTTTATCACAAGCGGGCCGTCCTTTGCTGCTCGCGAGGAGGAATCAAGCAGAAAAAAAGGGAGGGGGAGAGGGGAGGGTTAGGTTGGTGGATAGGTAGTAGAGAGAGAGTGTTGAGGTTGGCTCTTGGTGTTTTGGGAATATCTTTCTCAGAGGGAATTTCCGGCGCCGGGGCAAAAAAATTCCCAAGCTTGGGTGCTGCCAGCCAATTGGAGCAGCCAGCTAGTTTTTTTTTGCGCTGGTGCAAAAGCTCGCAGCTAGTGGTCCAGGGCGTCTCTACAGCGGTGCGAGCCCCTCCAAACAGGGGGCATCAAGTGCTGGTTGCTTTGTTGGGGAGGGGCTAAAATTGGGCTTCCAAGGTTCAGTTGAGGGAAAATGCGGCTGACTAAGGGCGCCGCTGCCGGAGATTTGGGGCCGGTCCGATTGCTGGCGTTGGTGTCGTAGATAAGGCGTGTAGATAGGGAATGGATGGGCTTAATTGGGATGATAGTATGGATGACTGTCTTGGAATGAATGGAATTGGAGATTTGAAGCTATAATTTATGCTGAATTCAAGGCACAATGGCAGATTGACGCAAGATTGGCATCCCTGCTGATAAAGATGGACAGTATTACCCTTACCCAAGACGACACAGGCGTTACAGTATTGCAGTAATACTAGACATGCAATCATACCAATGCCAACAACTGGGGTTGTTGGAAGCTATAGGATATGCTGGCCCGTACATTTCATATCTCACTGTAATTAGATCAAAGCAAAGCAAGGTGCCCATCAAAACTCATGTCTATTCATCCATCATGAAGCCGTCTATATCACTGATTGCTCTTTTATCAAACACAAACATCCCTTTCCCATACCAACATTTTACGCCAGGCTCTTGGCATCGCCCTCCTTCAGCTTGCCAGCATCAACCAGCCTCTTCACCTCGGCGCTCCACACGCCCTTGATTTCATCCGCCACCGTCAGGCCGTTGAGCTTGCCGGCAAGAGCAGCAATCTCCTCAGCCTCAATCTTGCCCTGGACCAGCTCGACATCGCCCAGCACGGCGTCAATCTGGGCAGCAGAGGCATCGCCTCCAGCGGCAAAGTAGTTTGCGTCCTTGACGGAACCCTTGAGCACACGCTTGTTCTTCTTGAGCGCATTCTTGGCCGCCTCCTTCGCCTTCTTGCCGGCCTCGCGGTCAGCCTTGGCAGCAACCTCGGCGTCGGCCTTTGCCTTTTCGTCAGCGGCCTTCTTAGCGGCAGCCTCCTCGGCGGCCTTCTTCTCGGCGGCCTCCTTTTCAAACTTCTTCTTGTTCTTGGCGGCGTTGGCCTCCTGTCGGAAGCGCTTGATGCGCTCGTCGCCGGCGGATGCGTCGTCTAGCAGCTTACGCAGACGAGCATTGTCCTCGGCCTTCTTCTTCTTGCGCGAGTTCTGGTTCTTGCGCTCAACGTGGCGCTTGTGGTCGCGGCTCTCGCCGTCGTCGGGGACGTCCTCGTCGAGGTACTCGAAGCTCCTCCAGCTGTCAAAGTTGTACCAGAAGTTGTAAAACTCCTCGACCTGCTCCTTGGAGGCGTTGGCGTCGCCAAAGGTGGGCACGGGGTGCGTCTTGGAGAAACGAGCCTCGGACTTGAAGACCTTGCTCCACTGCTTGTAGAAGTCGCCCTTTTGCAGCTGCTTCTTGGAGGGCGGCTCGACGTCGGCCTCCTCGTCGACGGAATCGAACTGGCGGCGTCGGATGGGGTCGAGCAGGATGTCGGTGGCCTTTTGGATGCACTTGAAGAACTGGTCGTCCTCGGTGCGGCCCTGGGCGGCCTTCTTGTCGGGGTGGTGCTTGAGGACCTTCTTGCGGTGGGCCTTCTTGATCTGGTCCTCGGTGGCCTTGTAACGGTACTTGGACAGGCCGAGCACCTTGTAGTGATCTTGGGTCTGTGGATTGAGTGTCTAGTCAGCATCTCCCGTCTCAATGGCAATCTGTGATATGACTGTAGGTATATCATCATATATCTTGACGTCTTCATACCTTCCAGTCCTTGGCCTGCAGCTGCAGCAGCATCGGGTCCTCAGCCTCGCTCTCCTCGCCATCGTCCAGATCCTCCACCTTCTTGGCGCTCTCCTGAGCCTGGATCCGGTCGTCCTCGGAAAAGGTGCGCTTGTGACGAGCTCGGCGGGCGTGGGCCAGGAAATGCGGTCCAACAGGCTCGATGCTGCGCTGCACGGCGCCGGAGAGCTTTCCGACGGCCTTGAAGTCCTTTTCGGCGCTCCAGCCCTCGGGGAGAGCCGGCAGCGGGAGGGTGACGACCTGCGTGATGGAAGCCATTTTGGTGTTTTTTTGGTGTTTTGGTTGTTATGGAAAAGAAAAAGAGAAAGGGAAGAGAGGTGAGGCCAACCTATCTAATCTCCAGTTTTTTCTTTTTTTTCCCGCCCGCCAAAAAATTCAATGGTGGGGTCGAGATTTTTGGGACAGGGGAGGCTTTAGTGGGATGGACTGGCGGAAAACGGCAGAACCGGGGCTCCGTGATTCGCTGCCGGAAGCCATTGGACGTAGTAGAAATCTAGGTTCGTCTTTATCAGCATTGACTTGACAATACCAGGTTGCGCAGCTGGAGTTTGGACTACTTGCTTTTATAACCTTTTGATTTTCAATCCATCTAAATCATACAAAAGAAAAACCATGTCATTGGCCGCCTACAGACATCTCCTGCGCTCTGCGCGCATCGCCTTCTCAGGTAAACCAGACATCTCAATACTCCAAAATTTGTCAGCTTCAAAGAACAAATGCTGATTGAATCCTTGTTCGAAATCCAGGCGACGTCCATGTCCTCTCAGCCGCTCAGAACCAAATCCGACAAACTTTCCTCGAAAACCGCAGTCTAGACTCGTCCGGCATCCAGGCCGCAATCCGACATGCCGAGGACGTGGCCACGATTCTGCGCGAAAACGTGGTGCAGGGACAGAAGATTGAGAGCAAGGGCGACGAGCATACTTTCAGTGAGACTTGATCCCCGGAAAAGCAGAAGACGAAACACGATACTCCGGCCATACTAATCAATGACTTACATAGAGCTCCGGATACACGAACACACCGAGCGAGGCGACAACGACAGCGTACTAACGGCAGGCAGGGGTGGTGGCTGTGGCTGCAAATGATCAAAGCAAGCCTCGTGTGTATTATCATTGTATAAAGAAGAGAGAAGGGAAAGAAATATGTAAGACTATAGAAACTCGTCATGATACCCTCCAATTCAATCAAACATCGGCCAACGCAATATATCGACATTTCTACCTTGTCTTGTTTCTGTGATTCCTTAAGCATCTAGAACTGTTGCATTTCCCCGCTATAGTTTCCCTAAAATACACCCAAAACGCCGTAATATGATGAAAAAAAAAATGAATAAACCACAACAGAGCAGAGCATCGAATTGCTCTACTCTCCGGCCAAACTGGCATAAGCAGGTGTCTCTTCCCCACCAGGAGGTGCTGCCGCAATAGCTTTCACGCTTGATGCGCCTGATTGCTGCCCTCCCTCAATGGCGTTCTGTTGCTGCGAGTTGTTCCGCCTGATACGGGCGTCCTGGAGCATCTGGTAGCGCTGTTCGCGATCCATCGTTCCAATCGCCTTTGGCTGTCCCCAGCGAATCCTCAGTGGACATCCCGCAATCACTGCCCTGCCCTGGCACGCGGCCGCAGCCTTCTCGGCACTGTCTCTCGTCTCGTAGTTGATGAATGCGCAGTGGGACATGTGTGAGCACACCAGGCTCTTGATCTTGCCGTGCTCCTTGAAGAAATCGCGGAGCTTGTACTCGGGCAGATCGTCCTCCACGCCTGTGACGAAAAGTGACATGACGTTGGGATCATCCGGCGGTAGCCAGTCCTTTGGGCTTGGTGGAAGTTGTGCCGCGCTAGGAAACGCAGGTCGGCCTTTTCCTCGTCCACCGGATCGCGGACCAGCACCAGCGGCTGCGGCAGCCCGTGAGTCTCGAGTTCGGATCGGCCCAGCGCCTCCAACACCAGCGCCAACAGCAGCGTTGCCACCTGTTCTCGCGGCAGCAAGCTCTGACTCGTCCACGGTTCGTCCCTTTCGAAAGTACGGCTTGCTGGCAGCCAGGCGTCGCAGAAGATCGCGCGCCTTTTCGTCCGTCTTCTCGTATTCCTCAGTGCCAGCCTTGCCATCCTCAATCAGCTTCTCGTTGTTCTGCGCAAAGTATTCTCGGTTGATTTCGGACTGGGGGCCCGGCGCGATCATCTTGAGTGCGGCGTCGCGGACGGTGATGGGCAGGCCGAAGCTGAGATCCAGCATGCAGCTCTGGCAGCAGTTTTTGAGTCGCGCGCACGTCAGGCAGACGTTGGTTCGCCTCTTGCGGCCCTGCGCGCGCTCGGCAGCCCAGCTGAAGACGGTAAAAGGTCGCGTGCACTGGAGTTTTCTTGTTAGCATATGATTATTTTCCGATTGATAGAAGGGTCAACTGATGGAAAAAGACAGGAATAGACAAAGCGTACCAGTTTGCATTCAGCTCCGTAGTCTTCCTTGAGCATCTTGACAAACGGGTTCTCGGGCAGGCAGTTTTCGCAGACTGACGGAAAGTCGGTCGTCTCCCATCCCGACCGGTTCAGGTCCTGCTTGATCTGGGGAGGCATGGCAGGCGCAGCTTCTGTGAGGCGACGCTGTGTCTGTGGCTGTGATGAATTGGCGAGTGATGCTGATCTCGCTGTGTCTTTAGAACAGAAAGGAAGGATAAGAGTTGCAACAAGCGAATCTAAGATCGCGGCATGCAAAGAAATCTTGGTGGAGACCTGCCGCTAGTCCCGCCACCCGGCGCGGTTACATAATCATCATGTGGAATCTTATCTGTTATCGATAAGATGAGCGATGGATTGCAAAGCAGCCGAAAAGAGAAGAAAAAGGTGGATTCATGGCCATTCTAGTTAGACCAAAGTGTTGCAATATTACTCCGGCACCACTTGTTAGGCTCGGAATTGGGCTTCTAGAAACAGAGACCCTGAAAGGCCGCATTTGGGGTAGAAGGCAGGCTCAACTCTGCCCTGAGTTGCCAATACCAATTACCTCAGGCTGTAACTAAGGTAGTTATGGACCTCGGATGGAATATTGCATTGCGACATTGGAGCTAACTTCTAATTCATCGCCCGGCCATGCCAATTGCTCCGTACAAACAGCAACAGCTGCGCCAACTCAAATACGCGTATTTCTCGCAAAACGTCGGCTTCTTAAACGTAGGCGAGTTCGCGTTCGTATTCGCACATCGCGGGGACCTTCACCGCCTGCCTATCACGGCCTATCTAGCCCAACCCCAGGCCCCTCCATCCGCGATCCAGCCAACCAGATCGCCAAATTGCGCCTCTAGTGCGATATCACAAGCCCAGAAATTGGAGATTGGCGTTTTCTCTGCGCAGCTCGTCAGGGGTAAAAGAGAAAAAAAAAGCGGCGGACGCAGGGAGCCTGTGAAATTGTTGCGATACCAAAGGACAACGCATAAAAAGGTCCAACAGCTCCGCCCAATTCCTTGCGGCGCCACATCACCGTTCCCTTTTCCCGCCATTGATTCGCTCTGCGTGTCTTTTCTGTTCTGTCCTTGAATCTCTCTCTCCCCCTTCTCTTCTAATACATTCCTCTTCCCTCTTTAACTACCTATTTTTTTTTTAACCATTACTTCTAGTAATAGAGAGATTTTTACTGTTCTAAATTATCTTTTAATTTAATTTCCACTTCAACATGGCTCCCGCTACTCTTGAGAAGGAGGACAAGGCCCGAGATGCCGCCTTCAACAAGGCCCTGCACGGCAACTCGGCGAAGGCCAAGGGAGGCATTGCCGCCATGTTCTCCAAGGGCTCTGACGCGAAAAAGGCCGCTGTGGACGAGTATTTCAAGCACTGGGACAACAAGCCCGCCGAGAACGAGACCGCCGAGGAGCGTGCCGTGAGTAATTTCTGCCCAAAAGAAAGCAAGGAGATGAATAGAAAAGAAAAAGCCAGCCAGATGAATTGAGGCACTGACGGTGAAATCAACAGGCACGAACAGCCGAGTATGCCACTCTGACGAGGCACTACTACAACCTGGCCACCGATTTGTACGAGTACGGCTGGGGCCAGTCCTTCCACTTCTGCCGCTTCTCCGCCGGCGAGCCCTTTTATCAGGCCATTGCCCGTCACGAGCACTACCTGGCCCACAGCATTGGCATCAAGGAGGGCATGAAGGTGCTCGACGTTGGCTGCGGTGTTGGCGGTCCGGCCCGTGAGATTGCAAAGTTCACCGGATGCCACGTCACCGGCCTCAACAACAACGACTACCAGATCGACCGAGCCACTCACTACGCCGAGAAGGAGGGTCTCTCCAAGCAGCTGGCCTTTGTCAAGGGCGACTTCATGGTACGTTGTGGCTCTCCGAATTTCAAACAGATCGCCTTGTGTACAAAAGACTAACATGTACGTGCCAGCAAATGTCCTTCGCTGACAACACCTTCGACGCCGTCTACGCCATTGAGGCCACCGTCCACGCCCCCACCCTGGAGGGCATCTACAGCCAAATCTTCCGCGTGCTCAAGCCCGGCGGTGTCTTTGGCGTCTACGAGTGGCTGATGACTGACGAGTACGACAACAACAACCTGCACCACCGCGAGATCCGTCTCGGAATCGAGCAGGGCGACGGCATCTCCAACATGTGCAAGGTCTCCGAGGCCCTGGACGCCATGCACGCCGCTGGCTTCGAGCTGCTGCGACACGAGGATCTGGCTGACCGCGAGGACCACTCGCCCTGGTACTGGCCCCTGTCCGGCGAGCTCAAGTACATCCAGACGCTTGGCGATGTCTTCACCATTGTCCGCATGACCAAGTGGGGACGCGCCATTGCCCACAACCTGGCTGGCCTGTTGGAGACGGTGGGAATTGCACCTGCCGGCACCAAGAAGACTGCCGACAGCTTGGCTCTTGCGGCTGACTGCCTGGTTGCTGGTGGTCGCGAGAAGCTCTTCACACCCATGTACCTCATGGTTGGCCGCAAGCCTGAGGCTTAGATGAAAAATCTTTGAGCCCTATGAAAGAGGGGAAAGCGGAAGAGGTGCTGTATTTTTGATACCATTGAATTGACATGGAGTAATGAGTGAAATTCCCTGAAACGAATGGGAGAGGCGAAACAAAAGATGCGTACTATATATGAGCGGCGTCGAAAGCAAATAATGGCTTTTGTTTTGAAATGGCATGATGGCAATGCGCGCGCGATAAAAAGGGATGGCAAACAACACACTTTTATGTATTGCATATGTAATTAATGGCGATAGCAAAGAGGTAGACTCTGCTACACTTTTCTAATTTATTCTTTAAAGATGAACACATGCTTTCTTTCTCATTTCATTTGCTGCTATGATGACGATTTGTTTGGAAAAGAAATGGTTCCGTTTCTCCATCTGCATTACTCACGCATTTGTTGCAGGCTGCTTCATCGCTTCGAGCTACAGCTTCTCGTTATCTCCACCTGTGTCTAGCCAATACAAAGAAATGGCATGGCTTGTAATGACATAAACCTGAGCATATTCACTAACTTTTAGGAAGCCTTCATATTTCAGCTATTTTACTGTTGTAAAAGTGACCATAGTCGGTTGAGTTCGACATGGTCCTCTTTGCTTGCTCTTCATTCTGATCCAACTCTTTTTCTGAATAGACAGATTATAGGTACTTTGGTACAAAAATTTCAGGACTTTGGAAACTTCGAGTCTGCAAAAGAGTGATAGATTGAGGTGGATGCCCTTGACAACGAGGCTCTTGAGTTTGCAGATACAGGCCATGTTCCGCTTCTCCTAGATGCTCCGCACCACCTCATATTCAACTATTTTAATGTATAGCTCAAATGTCTAAATATCCATGAAGGGCTGCGGCAACAGATCTCAAGTAATAGTATGCCTTTGATTACAAGTACTACAACAAGCAATATGCTGTACGGATAGTGGCAAACAGAGTGAGCCATGGCGCTATTGTACCTCTGCTGTATACCTGCTAAGTAAGGTACATAGCTCAAGTCAAGTAACCAAGTTATTGTGCTTTATCACAAAATAAGTAAATTGTACTTTCCTCTTTCATTGATTCTCTTGAAAGGTAATTCAATAGAATCCGCCGGCGTCCTCAGCTCATACGTAACTCGCCTCAGCCACTGAGATCGCCGGACCCCGCGGATGTGCGATAACTCCGCAGGTACCTTGCCTCACATTGAGTGTGTTAAGGTACAGGAGAGAGCTTCTGCCTGTACGGGGCAGCAGTATGAGCGATACTTTCAACTCATCAATCTCTGTCAAGGCAGCGGCTCGCTTCAACGGATTGCGCCCGACAAAGTTGATCTAGAATTAATTAGAACTCAAGAAAAGCAATTCTATATTCTTCTTAGTAAACGCTTCTTTCTCAATTAAGCTGGTGAAACTGCTGCGGAATTAGCCATATGCCACTAACATGCTCCATACAGGCCCTAATATCGGTACCTGGTAAAGGATGCTATAGGGAACGACATGCTCACCTTCTCTTTGCACTTCCTTCATGAAAAAGGGCAGATTGAATCAAAGAAAGGGCGGTGGGTAAATCAAAACACCAAAACATCACAATTCGTCCTGAATAAAAGGACCGCTACCACATTGTATGTTTCAGCCACCACCAGCATATGTTTTGTTATCGGCATTAGCTTAAAAGCCAATATCCCAGCCAAGATCCAACGATGCAGAACCTCGCGCCGTCCGCGGCCGCCGATGATCCATCCGCTCGCAGAGCTGTAAGTCCATGCCAATGATTATTATGCCATCTCCGGGCTGCAGATGCCCTGCATCGCCTGTAATGCTACGATAGGTGCCCTGAGAGGGTGTTGAAGGAGCTTACAGTGGGATCTTGGTTGGATTCAACATGACTTTGTTGCTGATGACTGCGCCTCAGTGCGACCAATGCCGTCTTAAAAAGGTGAGTTGCAAGTTTGATGAAGACGCTGCCACGATATACGGCGTATCGTTCCTCTTACCTGGGAACCAAGCTGATGACTTTGCTTCTAAATTGGAACAATAGATTCGCTGTGATAAAGAGTGGCCTTGTTCCAACTGCAGAACAGCGAAGCGTACCTGCACTTCTACTGGTGCTGGGCAACGACCAAAGGAGCCACGACAACGTGTTCTAATATCATCACAATAGTACGTCTATCCCATCTATCATACATGCTTGGAACCTTTCTCTCATATTGATATCAACTGCTATCTTCCTTCTTGTTCTGTCATATCACTGCTGCTAACCAGTTTGTTCTCTGCTCCTCAGCGAGAGAAAGATTGACCAGATCGAAACCCGCCTAGGTAACATCGAAGCTCTCCTCAAGAACATTTCAAGTTCTACAGCCACAGATGCCTCCAAGTTTATACACACGCCAGCAACGACAACAACAGACTTCAATAACATCCAAACCACCTCATCCAACGCCGACTATGATAGCGCCAGTGAAGAATCAGCCCTCGGCGGCGACTCGGGGCTCACCGTGCACACCACCTTTGCGAGCGAGTTCCTTGAGCGTGCTGTCAAGAGAGCACCTCTACGAGCTCTGAACCCTAAGATGGAGACTGCTCTTACCAATCTCAGCCAGCTCGTCGAGATGCAAAAGAAGCGTTCTATAAGCCATGGGCCTCGCTTCCCGTTGCAGCAGCCCGTTCCTCCGGGGGGAGTGAGCAAGCTGGCGATGCCACCGCAAGGAACTGTGGCTGCTCTTCTGAGACATGTCAAAAGTAAGTCTATAGTTACCAACAAGTGAAAAGAAAGAAAGGAAGGAAAGCTCGCAAATATCTAACTCGACAACACAACCACCAGCCGCCCCTCCTACCTTTTTCACCATCCTCTGCACTCTAGTCGGCATAAAGGACTTTTCAGAGCTCTGCAGCGCCGTCTATTTCCCTACCGAGGACTATCCAGACGCTACCTTTGCCGTGGTCAATGCCATGCTGTATAACCTCTTTGTAGAGCAACACTCGCTGGCAAAAGAGGAAGCGGTGCGAGAAGAGTATAGCAAATACGTCATCATCTGCAAGACGAATCTGGAGACGACGCTGGCCAACTTTCCGCTTTTCCTGTCGCCAAAGATTGAGAATGTGCAGGCATTGCTGCTTGGGGTGAGTTTTATGCTTTCTATGCTTGAGTCATCTCTCCCGTGTAAAGAGCGTCATGAGTTTTCGATACTAAAAACAAATTACATATAGTGCCTCTATGCTATCGACGTCTCCAGACCCTCTGTAGCCTGGCATCTCATCACAATGGCAGCCTGGCTCTGCCAAGCAGGCGGTTACCATCGAACAGAATCGCTCAGAAACGACCCTCCGCTTGTTGCGCGGCAAAAGAAGATTGTCTTCTGGCACGTCTATACCTTGGACAAGGGCTTGGGCCTAAGACTTGGACGAGCGTCGGTGATTGCAGAATGTGACATTGATATTCCACGCGAGTTTGAAGTGAACGGCTTTGATCATCTAACCTCAACGACGTTTCCGACCTTGTGGGTCAAGATAAGTAGCTTACAGAGCCGGATTTACGAACAGCTGTAAAAGCCCCCTCCTCTTCTTTTTTCCCTTGATTCCTGAGTTTCTATCCTATGCCACAAGTGCTAATGGAGCTCGTACAGATATAGCCCGGTCGCCCTAGCAAGTCCTCAGGCTGATCTGATCCAACGAGCCCAAGCTCTGGCTGCCGAAAGCAGCAAGCTGGAGATTGAAACAGATGAGACGCGCGAAAAAGTCTATACGCTGCTGAAATCGATAGGAACTTCGGAAGTTGTAGATGTCTTTATCAAAGGCGACGAAGTCCAGTTCTATGTCACCAAGACGCTCATCTATCGAGTTATTCCGGCACCAGAAGGCTCCATTACTCGATTTTGCGACGAGTGTCTGGATGCGGCACGCCATGCCATGAAGACACACCAAGAATGCGTTGTGTTCATGGATATCAGCACCTATATGCGATCCATGTATATCCACTGGTAAGGATATCTTTCTCCACGGAACTAATGCCCTTGGAGCCCCAAGGGTACACAAAGTCCTTTGTTGCTATATGCTGAGATTATATCGTGATATTCATAGGAACCTCTTACTAACACCCTTTGCCCCATTTTTCGTTTTATTCTGCTATGTTATTGAAACATCTTCGCTTGCAGATCTTAAAGTTCTCCAAGACTTTGTCAACTCGCTCGAAGGGGCAAAAGGGCTCTCAGAGCCCATTGACAAGCTCTACCTGCTTTGCAAAGTCATGTTTGATATCGCCAAGCTGTACGTGGAAGCCAAGACTCAGCAGCAGCAAGACGAAAACTCCATCTCCATCGGGGACGAATTCGAGATGTACCTGAGCCAACTGGGTTTCATCCCTAACGAGGATCAGGTCATGGCCAATGCCAGTACCAACGATGCTGGCGTGCCGACTCAAGGCAGTGGCCAGGTATCACAGCTGGCTGATTGGTTTTTCGGTAGCCGCAACATGATTGGCCTGTTGGAAGAGGATCTCTCTCAGATAGACTCCCATAGGTGGATGCAGCCTGATGATGAGATGTAGGGGATGTGGGCTGATGTGAGATTTAAAGAAACGAAAATTCCAGGTATCATCGTTTTTGTAGTATTCTCATACCCATTAATAGAAAATGGCATCCGATTTGATGCTGACGGACTTAATCAGTGGGAAATCTTGGATCGTACAGCTCGTATCCCTCGTCTTCTGTATCGCTCTCCACCAGAGAGCTTTTATACGCCAGTGGCAGGGTTGAAGCCGTCTCTCCTGTCTCCATCAGCCCTCCAGACCGTTGGTCTGCCAGTGTATGGGTTGTATCTGTTTGTTGCGCATTGGCTGAAGCTGCTGGCTCTGCGGGCGCAAAAGCGCTCTTGAAGCCCGTCTTCTTGAAGCCGCCCTTTTTGAAACCGCCACCGCCTCCACCGCCGGCATTCCCAGCGCTTGAAGAGGGCGCATCTTGGTCAAGCTTGATGCTGACTATGCCGTCTGCCTTGGCCTCGGCCTTTCTCGCCTTGGCGCCGGCGTTGGGGTCGCGCACCATGGCCTTCATGTCCTTGAGGCGCTGCTTGTGGCTGTGGTCGTAGCTGCTGAGATGGGCTTCATAGTCGTTCATGCGGGAGTAGCCCTTGGAACAGAGGCTGCAGTAGAAGGACTTCTGGGCCTCTTTGGCAGAGGTGGTCTGCGCTGGAGGGAGGGTTTGGTGTCTCTGGAGAGAAAGACGCGTTAGTTTTGGCGATGCCGCACTGACATTGACGAGACTGGGAGAAAACAATTGCACGTACAGGAGGCATTTTGACTGCTGCTCGATATTTGGAGTCAAAGGGAGATTGTATAAGAGGTAAAGAACGTCGCTTGTCGGTTGGGCGAGGCGCAGCTTTTGCGGATGCGCTGCCTTGAAGCTGGCGATTCGCAACGTTTTGGTGATGACGATGACAATCGCGATAACGATTGAAGAGCAAAAGGCGTAGCTGTCGGAAGTTCGGAGCCCGGAGCTCCGTGGAAGCTATGGTGGGGGAGCCGTTTCTGTGCCTGGAAGGACGTGCCGTCAGTACCCTGTACTTGGCGGACACTGGCCGGATCCTTGCCCAAGAGTGCGGGGTTCCGGCAAGGTAAAAGGGCGAGGGCCGCTGTCTTGACGGCGCACGTTAGCGGTCAGCTTCAGCGGGAGAGCTCCCTTGCAGCGCTACGGCCGAGCTATAAGCACTGCTAGAGGCAGAAGAGTTAGGATTACGCGCCTCAGCTTTGGGCTTGGAGTGGCTTTGATGGATTGATAATATGGCTGGATTTAGCAAATTAGACAGCTCATTTCGCTATGGGCGGTGGCATGCAAGGGAGAAGAAGACGGTAATAGGATATAGCGTCAAGTGGGTGTGGCTTGCATGGAAAGACTCCATTGACTCGCATGTGCGAGACGTAAGTTGTGTAAATACGTGTTCGTACATGCTTTAGTAGCTGCTTCATGTTGCTGGACGCCTTAAGGTGCTACACCGAGTAATTGAGGCTATGCTGGATTGAATAAGATGCTAGAACTAATAGAGTAGGATATTCTGATGTGGACGGACTGAGGTGATTTGAGTAAAGATGCTGGAGACGGCGGTCAACTACTAGTAACAACTCAAGTAGGGAGATGTTGTTGCCAAAGACAGTACGAGTCGCCCAATTGAGAAATATTAAACTTGATTGAAGATGCTATTTGTAATATAATCTTGAAAAAAGGCAAGAAAAACCTAAGAGCTCTATTGTGAAGGTTCACAATCATCTCTATTCCGCTTTGCTCTGTCTCATAATCCAGTGTTCAATGTGGTTGCAGTTTGATTTTCTCTTTAGGTCAAGTTGGCGGACAGCTCCAACCTGCCCATTTCCCCAATAGGCATAGACTCACCCCTCCATGATACTATTGCAGTCCTCGCTATTGGTCCCCCCAGCCTTTTGCCATTGGTACCTTGATTTTTTTTTTTTTCCCAACATAAGGTGGTAATGGCCTGTTGCTCGGACTGAGCACATATGCAAGTCTTACTCGGACATTTTCGTCTTTAATTCGGAATCTTTCCACAGACTTAAATCGAAAGAGGGAATTTCAAAAGGACCAGGCAAGGAGGAAAAACACGCAAGAAGCCTCAAAACCACCTGCCAATCGCCATGGAGAGCGATTGGGACGCTGAGAGCCTGCGCTCCCGGCGAGATCGGAGGGACTCGAACTCGACTTTTATTTCGCTGCTCCAGCTTGATCCTGCGCCCATGGACTCTGACGGAGATACGCCGACTGAAAAGCAGAATCCAATGGAATACCTGGCTTCGGATGGCGCCTCTGTTGACCGAAGTGTGGGCAGCATCAAGTCTGGCTCGACCATGGCCCCGGGGCTGAGTGGCAGCGGCCACGGCGCCATCTACTACCGTTCGTTTTGCCCTGGATGACCCCTGATTGGCTTCCTTTGCGTTCCGCTTTCACTTTGCTTTTTGCACCTTCTATTGGCTTCACTCGGCTTGGTTTCATGCATTGTACATTGTATCCTTGGTTTGGGTGGTGGCGTATGGGTGTGTATGTTGTATCCTGTGTGTTCTTATGCTAACCTGCCTCTGATGATGCATTGTCAATAGTCACCCGGATGCAAAAGTACTCCAGCTATGCTGTGTCCATGTTCACCACCTTGCACCTGGCCAATGTATCTCTCCTTCCGGCGATTACACGAAGCGTGGCCGGCTCGGAAACCTACCTACTCATGGGCCGGGAGCTCTACCAGACATCTATTACGGAGCCGTTGCTGGTTGGCTTGCCGGTGCTGATGCATATTGGCTCGGGAATTGCTCTACGCCTGCTGAGGAGATCGGAAAACATACGAAGATATGGAGGATCGACACCGGGCATGTTCTCGCTGATAAGCTCACGAACCGACAGTACAACGTCTTCCTCTCGCTCTTCGGTTCGACTCTGGCCGCAGGTGAGCTGGATCTCTTGGTCTGGCTACGTCTACACGGCTTTCTATGGTGCCCATGTCTTTATGAACAGAATCCTGCCCCTGGTCATGGAGGGAGATAGCTCCAATATCGGACTGGCCTATGTCTCCCACGGCTTCGCCAGGCACCCTCTGATTGCAGCCACTGCCTACCGGGGTCTGATTGGTATCGGATGCGGCCATATGGTTTGGGGCCTGGCCAAGTGGTTCGGAATTGCACCCTCGACAAGTGGCTGGTGGGGGAGCCAAGCAGTTGCGGTTGATAAAAAGACCAAACGCCAGCGCAGGCGGCGTTGGCTGGCGATTCAGGCTGCAGTGGTGGCCGCCGCTGCACTGTGGGCGGTGGGAGGGCTGGGCGTTGTTGCGCGAGCTGGAGCGTCCGAAGGATGGGTTGGAAAGTTGTACGACGATCTGTTTGCCAAAGTCCATCTCTGAGGATCGGGGCCATGGTATTGGACGGTGGAAGCAGCACCGGCCAGGGGTTGACAGCTACGCCAAGCAATGACGACAATGACGACGAATGAATACACACGACTTTTATACGAGCATCACGTACGTACAAGCACCGCGCTGAGCATGGGCATGGGAGGGCATTTCGAGGAGGGTTATGAGTCGGAGTCGTGAATACGGCTTAGCACGGCAATATGCGGATGATCTGCGCTAGGGGAACGGGCAAGGCCCATCCGAAGCACCGGGAGGATACTACTCCAAGCAGATGATTTGTCCATCTACTATTTATTTATATATTTCATTTCGGGACGAATTCGAACGTGTGGATGGGGAGCGCGAGAAGAGGCGGAGACGAGGGTGGCAAATTGGAGAAGCCGGCGAGAGTATCCTAAAGCGAATGAGAGGGAGAGAGGGAGGCGATTGGGAGAGATTTCCAAAACAACATGGTGGCCATCATGGGGCGGAATCTCACCGGAAAGGAAAAGAAAGAAAAAGAAAAGAGAAGAGGCTAAAACCAGAGCTGAACTCGACGGCCAGCCAGAAAACTCCGAGAGCTGAGCTGCATAAACAAGGGGAGGGGCTGTTGAGTTGTTCTGCTCTGCCCAGACTGCCAGGAGGCGGTATGGCATGCTGGTCGCTGTTTTATGTCTTTCTTTTCTTTTTTTTGTCCTGCTACTACTACTGCTACTAGCATGCATGTAATTTGCACCTTGAATCACTGCTCGGACTGCCTCTATGGCCGTCTATTGGCTCTGGCCTCCGCGGCTGATACAAGCGTACCTGCAGGTGTCTCCTTTTAGAAGCGACTCTGAGCAGGGAGGGGCAAAGCCGGCGCAGAGCCTGCCGTTGGACTAGAAAAATAGACAAGTCTTGGATTTCTCAGCTGCTAAAACTATCATCTTTTTCGACGAATGTGAAATAGGAGATGATTCCTTGATCGAGGAGACGACGATTAGACGATAAGAAACGGCCTCGTGATGGCCTCTTTTGGTGTTTTGGACGGAGAGTGATCAAGGACCTATAAACGGCAAATACACACTACTGCAGTGCCATTACTCAGTGGCTTCGTGTACCTGCTTGCAGAGAACGCCATATCAGATGTACCTGGGGCTGGGGGTTCGGTGCCATCAAATTGAGGTGCGTGTAGCATTTTGCAGTGGGATTTGGATAGCGGCTGCATTAGCGATTGGCCGGCGTGTGGGATGGATGCCGGGCAAGAGACTGGACATGGAGTTTCTGAGGGAGGTGAGGGGCCATGTAAGAGGAGAAAATAATAGCTCGAGCAAAGGGGAGAAAAAAAAAAAGAAACGAAAAAATGCCATAAAAATATTGCATTAAAAATCAAATAAATAAATAATTGTGATAAATTGCCCCAACCAGCTTCGGACGCAATGCCGCAAACCCCGACAAATCAAGAGCCTCGAAAAGCTACTCAACTGTAGCACTCAAACGAGCCTCTCTGCGGGAAGGGCCGCCCTTCTATATAAGAGCCCGGCGAGACCCGAGTTCAGTTTCCAGCGCCCTTGATTCAGAGCTTGGGAACCTCGACCAGCAGCAGCCTCTCTAGCGATTGATTTTCTTAGCACACCTGAGCCCGTATTATAGTGACATACCCGTTTTAGTGGCCGTGCTCAACTGTATTTTTGCGATTTGCATCCAGTCATTTTAGCGGTTCTATTTTCCCTTTCGGTGCCTGAGACAAAAGTGGCTTATCTGGAACCCCAGAATTTCAATCCCTTCCAAAAACACCAAATTCCCACGTTGCGTGTCACCGAAGAGCAAGTCCTTTTCCAATTTCTCTTCTCTCTTTTTTTTTTTTTTGGACCCTGGTGTCTGTCTTTTTGTCTCTGCCTCCCTTGAGAGAAGAGAAAGCCGTCAGGTCGTTTTTCTCTCCTCTCCCCCTTCCTTTTCTCTTTTCTCTTTTCCCGCTCTGCTTCGTCAGATTTCATTATCTTTCTTCTTCTCATTATTAAACGCCACTTTTGCTGTCCCTCACATACGGTTTTCATCACACCTTGCTCCACCGCAGTCCCTACGAGGCTCGCTTGTGAGCTTTTTTTTGTGGCTGTTGTCCGAAGGGCGAGCCAAGAGCAGCAGCAGGCCAAGGACCGGGATAACTACGACGTTGGGAGGCATATATGGTGTCTTTCTCTTATTCACACTTGCTTGCAGAGAGGCCTGTCTGTAGCGCATAGAGACTACGCCGTGCTTGTTGTCCCCTCATCCGCATTACAAACACATAACAGCACATACTCATATATACATACACAAACACATCCTCTGTATATACTCACGTACGTGCTCTCTCTCTCTCTTCTCCCCTGTTTCTCTCTTCTCCATCTCGTATCCTCACCTTCTTACCGGCTCTTCCACGCAGACTCACTTCCACCACACACGGCCATGTCTTCCCACAACATGAAGAGAAAAGCGTCGCACAGCGACCCCGGCAACGCTGATCCTCTCCATCCCGGCCGCGGCGATGCCTCGTCCAAGCGGCAGCGCCTCGCCAAGCCCGCGTACGACGTCACCCGAGGCGTGTCCGACGAGCTGCTGCTGCGCATCTTCTCCTACGCCGACGAGCAGACGCTGCTGCACCTGGCGGCCGTGTCGCGGCAGTTCTACAGAGTCTCGTCTGATCCGCAGCTGTGGCGCCAGCACTACTACCGCAGGTTCATCCTGCCGCGCGCCAACCGCATTCCGGGCCTGAAAGTCGCAAACCGCTCGTACGCCCGCGTCCCCAGCATACGCGAGGCTCCCGGCCAGGAACAGGAACAGCAACAAAGCCGAGGCCATGTCTCAGCCTCGGCGTCTGTGGGGGCCGAATCGGGACCGGGCACCAGCAGCATCGCCAACCGCAGCAGCACCGACGTATCGTTGTCTTTGGCTGAAGCTGAAGCAGCCGAGTTTGAAATCGACTCCATCAAGCCGCCCTTTAATCCGGTAGACCCGTCGGGCAAGACACGGGAGGCTTCAGATGTCGACTGGAAGCAGCAGTACAGGCTGCGGCACAACTGGGCCCGCGGCCTCTGCGAGGTGCGCCACGTCCAGGTCAGCCCTGTCAACTTCTCCTTGACGCCCATCGAGGAGCGGCGCACCCTGGTCAAGGTCGTGGACGGCCTGGCCGTGACGGTGGACATGCAGGCCGGACTGCGTGCCTGGGATTTGCGCACGCAAGAGTCTATTGCGCAGACAACCACCGAGACCGATGACGGCATCTGTCTGGTGCCCACGGCGCTGGCTCTCGATGGGGGGAGGCTTTCTGCCGATGTGTTGGACATTATGCTCGGCTTCAACGACGGCACCTTTGGCATCTGGCGCCTGATTGTCTCTGAGGGGAGGTTGTCTGTCTTGTATCGCCAGGACAAGAGCTATGTGGGCAGACTTGTGTCGGTGGCCTACTCGTATCCTTATGCCCTGACGGCTGCAGAGCTGGGCTTTATCTCGCTGTATTCATTTGAGCGGCCCAAAGCAGAGCCTGAGGCTGAGCTGGCTTCGGCTGCAGCTGACGCAGGTAGTTTCCCTGTGCTTGTTGAAGAGGCTACACAACATCATGACGGCATTGAAGATGGCGATGTAACCGAAGAAGAACAACCATCCATCTTCCAGGTGTACAGCGAGGTTGTCAAGAGCAGAACTCTCTCTCACCCCCAAGTTCTCTCATCGCTCAAGTCTGATTACTCGCGACAACCTCTCGTCCTGTCTCTCCGCAAGCTCAAGTCGTCGGCTGTTGCCTCCATCGCCTACTCCTTCGACACTGCTGGTGGCTGGGCCATCGGCATCCAGAACTTTGACATTCGGCCTTCGGGCAGCTCCAAGCCCGATGTCATCACCTCTCGCGTTGCCTACACCCTGCCCGCTGAGACTGGCCACTTTGTTACCTCTACCCAATACCGGCCAAAGTGCCCTACCTGCTCCAACTTTCCAGATTTGTTCCTGGATGACGACGAGGGCGGGCCGGCCAAGCTCTGCTACAGCCACCCGTATCTTCTGGCCACCATGCATGACAACACACTTGTGCTCTTTGTCGTCACTGCAACGGAAAAGTCGTTTGCCATTTCCAATGCCATGAAGCTCTATGGTCATACTTCGGGTATTGCAGACGCCGACATCACCCCAGCGGGCACGGCTGTTAGCGTCAGCGAGCGTGGCGATGAGATCCGAGTCTGGGATCTGGACGGACACCACGATAGCACGAGTGTTGAAGTTAGGCCTCGAGTGAATAGGGGCTCTGGCGATGCTGAAGACGCTGCCTCGACAGAACATGCCGAGCATAGGCGGAACTGGGTTGGGACTGATAACCAGAGGGTGACTGTTCTTCGGCAGACATCGGACGGGAGAGAGAGCTTGGTCACTTATGATTTCACTTGAATGTTGACATATTAAGGCAACGAAGCAAGATTCATGAAGCATCTGCAGCCTTGGATGGTTTGAACAAAAGGAGGGAAATTTTTTTGTTTTTATTTAGATACATGATTTGGATGCGATCGAGAGAGCGAAGGCATTTTGTTTTGGGAACGTTTGGCAGGTGAGCTCGTATTGGCTATTTACAGAGGGTATTGTCATTCTTTTGATAAATTTGGCGATGTTCTTATTTCTTTTGGTATCGAACACTGCATTCATTGCGTGATGGGAGGGATAATGCTACTATATTGGAGGAACTCATGATCTTTCTTCTTTTTCTTTCAATTATGAATTCTCACGTATAACTACGCATTTCTTAGTATATCGTCTCAATGTGTTCGCGAATTTGCTCTTCATCAGGCCTTTCCTTTTTTTGTACATGGGCCATCCCAAGCCAATAACGAACATGCCATTTTCCAATCTCATTTCCTACATGTTCATTTTTACGCACCTTCGCCACGCTCAGCGCACGGCCATCGGATGAAATCCGTTCGATGCAACAATAAGCATTCTAGATTCTGGCTTCGCTTACACCCGAATACAACAGAGAGAACCAGCCGGCTGTCGCTCGTTTTGCATCCCTGCTAGACGTGCCGCGGCGGCCCCGATGCGGCTCTATAGATTGACAAGCGGACAAGCTTGTGAAACATGACGACGTCTGCTGGAAAGAACTCCGCGGGGGGTTTGACTTCATGATACGAAACATTCATGTGAGAGGGAGGAGGGGCAAGAGCTGAATGACAGCGGGCTCGTATATATTGCTGCTATTGGCGGTGGCCAGCTTTGGATGGCAGGGGTATAAGCCTTTGGAGTACTATTTTGTGAGCATAAGAAATAGTTTTTGGTGTGGGATATTTGAGGGTGTGGTGGTAATGTATATGAGACCGGCAAAGATGGCGTAGGATTCCAGAATTCATTGCATGGCTTTCATCCGCAGGAAAATAGGACAAGCGAGCTGGTGTATGTCTTATTGAACAGACAATTGTTACGCCGATTCCGAACATATTGCCATTAATTCATCCGACTGGAGAGCAGGACTAAGGCATATCACGAACTTGGATGAATGCATGAATCTCATAAACAAATGCAATGCTTGTTTTATTCCCTTTTCTCTTCTGTTACGAATTGTTGAATCCCATTCATTTCTTAAAACCCGGCTCTGCGGCAATCTCATCTGCGTTTGCAGGTACCCTTTCCTCTGCACCAGGCCACTCCGGGTTTGCCTTCCCTCTCTTGCCCCTCTCCACGCCCTCTGGCAGGTCCCATCCGTGCTCTCTCACAGGATCGCTAGCATTGGCATTCGCAGCTATGGCGCCCAATCCTGTTCCCTCCTTCTTACGGGCGCGAGGGTGCATTCTTGTGCCGGTGTGTTTCTTTCCTGGTAGTTGTGAAGCCACCTCGCGACCTTCTTGACCCTGCAATGGACGGCCGTAGCCCGTATTCACGTCCTTTGATGTGGCGCCGGGGAAGTCTAGGGGGTCTGACCGGCCGGAAGGGTCCACTTCGGGATTGTTGGCCTGGCCGGGGATTTCTGAGTAGGGGTTTGGTAGGAAGGATGCTTCGGCTGGGGCGGTTCCGGGGGGATGAAGTTCAACATGAGATTCAGGGAAGCGGTCGTTGCCGACTTTGATGCCAGGTTGGTGCTGTAGTAGAATTGCCTGTCAGTAAGAGAATTTTGAGTATAACAAAATATAACTTACGCCTCCTTTCATCATGGGTTTAGATCCCGGCTTGCGAGCATGAAATTCGCCTTGGTAGTGCGCAGGATGTTCAGACATGATGAGTGTGTTTTCAGGTTGATTCGCTTTTTCCGTATAATAAAGAAATTGATGTGACTATGATTGTCAAGTGTTTAATCTTTGATGAGATTCTAAGATTGTTTTCATTGTTTGTTCAGGAGCATATATATTCTATTGGAGGCGAGTCGATGAGCTCATAGTTGTTGTGTCGTTGTCAGAGCATTACATCATGCGCTCTCCACCGAAATGGCGAGAGTAATGGAACAGATATGACAGGTTACTTCTAATCTCAAACATAAAGTATGATCTGCACGGTGATGATAAAATCGCTACCTCATGCTTTTGAAATGCAATAGAAAAAGAGTTCTGTTCTGTATGTGGAGGAGCCAATGAACTCAATCGTGGCGTCAGCCTCACTCACTGATATGGCGCTCAAGTGAACCACTAAGACATACCTTTCACCAATCAGATTGCACTCGCTAGCATAATTACAATTAAGTTTGTTAAACTACCTAGGTTGCTTCATAATACGTCACTAGACAGCTTGATATTCTTCATCTGCCCGTTGATTCCCTTTCCAATCGCCGCAAGTGGCGCCTCAATCGCCATCGGTCCCTCCTCCATGTATCCTCCCCAGATGCCCATCAAGATAGTCACTTCTTGGCGTTGAGTGCCCAGCGAGATGAATGTCTGAGGCCCGATTGCCTCGACTTTGACGTCGCTCCATCTGTTCAGAGGCAGCGTCAGATTGACTGGATATGCAATGTTGTCGGCGACGAGCATGAGGTTGGTTGACGTGCCGTTGCCGTTGAGTAAGCTGCTGTCTGGGCCTGAGAAGAGCGCTCCGCCATGGGATTTCGGAAGCACAGAAAACGAAAGCGTGTAGTTGCGTCCCTTGCTTGTTAGAGGGGTCTTGAGGTAGGCGCTGCGTCCGTTGAGTTGGAGAGCGCCGCCGCTCACATAGGCGCCGTTTTCGAGGCTGCCGTGATAGCCATTCCCGGAACTATCTCGGACAGAGGCGGTTAGAGTCGATACAATGTTGCTGCCAAAGGCGTAAGACAGAATCGTTGGGCCCTTGGAGGGAATCCGCTGGTCGAGGTTCTGATCCGGCACTGCAGGCTGGAGAGTGGCAAATAGACCAGCATAGTCCTCTTCTCGTAGTGAGCCGCCCCATTGCTTGTCAGCTAGAGCTGGCAAACCATTGCGAATCATGTAGTAAGCCTCGTGGTAAGTGCTGGCATTTGGACCCCAGTCATTCCACACAACAGCCAAATGTCCCAGCACGTTGGGGCTGTCTCGAGGAGGGTTGTTGGTTGCGTTGGCGGCGTCGAGAATGTTGGGCGCGAATGCACTGCCGTCGGGAGATCCGTGGAAGACGCGCTGGATGTCGAGCTCTTTAGGATATTGGTTGCCATCTGAATATTTGAGATCCAGGTAAAAGTAATCGTCGCTGTTAACAATGGTGTAGCCGTTGTCGATAAAGTCGAATAGTCCGTTATCCTGGCCAATCTGCCAGTGCTGAACCGTCACGTCCTTGTTGACGTTGACAGAGCCTGGAGCATGCAAAGGTGGGAAAGTGCCCCAGATACGAGTGCTTTTACCCGAGATGGACTGGATGTATTCGCTCATATCGTTGACAAAAGTGCTGTACTCGTTGATAAAGTTGCTGTCGTACTCGTCCGCACCAATGTGCACAATCTTGGAGTGGAAGTTGTTAATCGCAGCCTTCCAGTAAGACTTGACCGTTGGGAGCGTCTCCGGATGGCTCAGATTCAGCATACTAAAGTCAGACAGTGCAATTTCGGGCCTCCAATCTGTGGTTGCCATCGAGTGTCCTGGCGACTCAAACTCGGGCAAGATAGTTACGCCACGGCTTGCGCATTTTTGCTGCAAGTTATCGAATACAGAAGGGCTGTATGTTTCGTTTGTTGGACGTGCGAGACCGGCAACTGCTGGATCTGTGGAGGCGATACGGAAACCTGCGTAGAGCTCGAGAGCAAGTTCATGGCTACCGAGCTTGGCGGGATCCCAGACATGGTCGCTGAGATGAAGATGGAAAACATTTTGCTTGAAGAATGACAAATAAGAGCACAGCTCTCCGAGAAAATCTGCTGGGTAATAATGACGGCCAACGTCCAACTGAGCAAGCAAATGACAGCAAAATTGTTAGATCTTCCCAAGACAAGCTACTCTGTGGACTCTTTTTTTTTTTTTTGTGAGCTACTTACCATCATGCCCCTCTCGGACCATCCTGGAGAATCAACTCCCGTTCCAATCTTCAGCTTCTTATCGTTGATCAACGCCTGCTGCAGGACTGTTCGCGTTCCCCACCATGCTCCAAGAGGACTCGCGCCGCTGATGGTGATTCCCGAAGAAGTCACGGAGAGACGGTAACCTTCTGAAGTCTTGTTTCCCGCGGCATTGACGAATTGCGACTTGTCATTATCAAGTGTAAGGTAGATTGCATTTGAAATGGCCTTGATGCCCGGAAGCACCACTGTATTGACTCCGATGCCGGCAAGATCACCTTGGAAAGTCTCTGCAAACTCCCACAGCGAAGGAGGAATCAAGGTAAGGCCATCTTGGTCACGAGTAGAAGAATGCGAGAGGTCAACGATGATGGTGTGGAGATTTCTCAAATCAAATGTCTTGTCAGAGGTGATGTTGAATGGCACAGTCGGGATTCCAAGAAGTTGCGCGCGACCTATCTGTTCTGTTAGAACTAGACCAAACTCTAGATTGGGAATATTGATCTGGAATATTACCTAGGGAAACCAATCCCACGGCCACTAAGAGGAACCTCATTGCTGCGACAATGCTTCTCTTCACCCAGCATTGGCCTCTTCAAATAATGCTCTTCATGCCGAAAAAGGCCGTCATAATCCATAAATAGGAACGCCATGATGCTCTCAATCTGACCATCATCTTCACCGATCATCAATTAAACTGCGTAACGTTACAATTAACAACCCCATGGGGGTAAACGACCGGGTTGAAGCGGAGTTTTAGCCGGGATTGACGACAAATTAAGCGCGAAGAGTACCGTGATAGATAAGGGATCCAGTCTGCTTGTTGCTGTGTCAGTCAATTCCACCAATGATATCGGACATCTAGATTACTTATATATTCACCTTGATAGAAAGTTCGTCATCATGTTTTACGTTCCGAGGACAGAAAGAGTTGTCAAGTTATATATTCCATCCGTAGCAATATCCTCTTCGGGTTCCCTCTATTATGGCTGTAACAAAGAGGCGCGTCGAATTGCTCGGTCATACTGTTAACACAGCAAAAATTGACTACTGTTGACATAACACAAAAATTGAGACGAAGCGGCCCAAATCGCGAACTGGTGAAGTGGGGGTCACATATCCAGATCGGTCTCCGGATCGCCTATTGCTTCGGCAGGCTAGTACGAAGTTGACTTTGGGCTTGAAGCTATCGGCAGCCGCATAGCCGAGATGAGAGCTGTAGCTGAGAAGCTGCCAAAATGAGGCTGGTAAACGTTCCTTCGATGGACTTTTGTTTGATCTAAAGATGAAGAAAAGCTGGAAGAGGTTTTGGTGACTGCAGGACACCGCTATATCGGGGCACTGTGCTTTTGCGTTGACAGTCTTGAAGTCAGCTGTCAACTGGGGGCCTTGACTGCTCCTGCCATAGCTCATAAAGCATGAACTCAAACAGCCGCCTTTTTACTCTCTCTTTCCCATATGCCTCTCCATGGCCGTCTTCATGTTCATTTATCCCCATCACCACCTCTCGTCTTGTCAGTCCTTTTGGCTGCAAATGGGTAACTCTGTTCGTCACTGAAGACGCAATTCTTTCGCCGCCCCACAAGCTCATCCAACAACTCGAGCCGAAGAACGACGCAATAGGAAGAGGTTCTGTTAAATCAAGGGCAACATTTCCAATAGCCTGATGATGGACAAGCTTGTTTTTGACAGCATCTCGAGGCGCAAAAGTCGAGTAGCCTGAATACTTGCTTTGTCCTCGAACTTTGTCTAATGCTGTATCACCTTGGTATGTCTTCTCGAAGTGTTAATTGTTGCATTCTCTGACTATCAAGATAGAAACAGTTGTTCGAGATAGATGGTCCTGGCGATCCGACTACGTTACGAATAGAGGGCGCCGACATTCGACCGCATTCAGCTACACTCCGCTTTTCGAGATCCAAAGACAACAACAGAGCCTCGTAATGGGATACATCTTCTTCCGGAGCGCTAGACAAGAAGAGAGCTCTAGCTCTAGAGTGCAGCAATTTTGTGGATCGATTCTAACTTGGCAATCCATGGCATTTCTTCAGCCGCCACGGCTGAGGGCGCCCCCCTTTTCATCGATATCAAGACGCCTACCTAGATGTACTGAGTCCGAAAGAGCTGCTGTGCCACACATGAAGAAACTATTGTGCCACGCATGGAGAAACTGCTGCTCGCGTACAGTGTTATCTTGCAGCCAGAAAAGACGGTCATTGTGCAGAGACAGTGCCTATGGCTGGCGATCGATGGCTCGACTGCCAATTGGTTAAGCTCACGCTCTTTGTTACGCGCTTGATTTCGATATTCGGATTTTAGATCCAATTTCAGCCCAAATATGGCAGCCAACAATTCTGCACGCATCAAAATTTTGTCGAATTCCTGGGCACAATCCCACCTGTCATAACGAGAACAGCCTCACTTTGCAAGGAGTTGTATTTAGAGTACAGCGTGCAGGACAGATTAATCACAGCAACTATTTTTCTTCTCTTGAAGAAATGCTCTTTTCGATTAAAACTGGATAGTGGAGAAGCCTGGGCCGTTCAGAAGCCTTGACCCTGATATAACCTACAAAGAAGGCTGATCAAGATCCATAATGTCCAAAGAAGCCAAGACAAAATAGTCAACTCAAAAATGATCTATCACCAGCGGCTTAAACAGGAAGAAGAAACGAGCCTTTTCTTCCCGAATTGGACGAGTTAGCTTATTGGCTTATCTTCTAAGGTCATTTGCACTTATTATTGTGTACTGTACCACCAGCTCATCGATGCTCCACGGCTTGTCTTTAGCCTATCATTGCCGCCAATCGCTTGCCAAACGGGGACTAACACATGGATATCCAACAACACGCTCAAAAGTTTATGAGGCTCTCCCAACAAGTGATTTGCTTGAAAGCACCGAAGCTAAATCACATGGCGAATGGCACAGCCAGGATATTTTTCACTGCGCAAACACCAATCCAGACTTACAGAAAGGGATGGGATCTGGCTCGCATGGTTTTGGTCCCGTCAAGTATTTTTCGGATTCAAAGCCTCTCAGCCACCTCTGGCATATACGGATGCATACAAGCATGCTACCCAAGCCGAATACAGGCCTTGCACAGATAATTTCCCCCATATTTGACTTGCAGAAAATGACCTCTTTGACATGCAACTCTTCTTCGAGAATGTATTAGCGTGATCTTACACGCATGGCATCCAGGCAACGCGGTGGCGCCATCTGCTAAAGGGCAATACTAGGCTTATGAAGGAATTCTTACTGCTCGAATATGACGTTGAAGACTATACGAGGATATAGTAGACTATCTTCTTCAATGCCGCCTAAGATATTTTACCCAATATGCTTGACAGCAGGATCGGGACAAGTACAAACTTCAATGTTTCTTCCAGTCTTTGGTGGACAAGGGCTTTGCCATGGGTCAAGAACAGATATACCTTCTCTTGTATTCGCTGGCTATCTCCATTGAGTCACAATCCATAGGTTGGATGCCTAATATTGCGCAACTCGTTCTGATGCACCAGTACAACCGCTTTATTCAAGAATCGCATCATCTTTGGTTCCAAAACCAGGGTCTTTCTGCCCCACAACATAAACGATACCACGAAGCAATTTACAGAATAATACCCGTAGGATGAACTCATGTCAAAATAGGTACCAAAAATTCCGTGATTTGTACAAGCAGACAAAGCTAAGCCCTATGCCTGGTCAAGGTTAGCTTTCTACGTCCCCATTTAGAAGGTCGCTGAGTGCTGACTGGAGACGCCGGAATACACGCAGATACTATACAAAGATGTTGGCACAGGTATCGGATCCAATCCGACCTTCCTTTTTAAATGGTGATGGGCTTACTGGAGGCCTATTTGCACTTGTCATGTCACACCACGGATTGGCTGTACCTGAATGTGCAAGACCGGCGATGGTATATTACCACGACCTACTATTTAGTGCTATCCATGTACGATAATACGGTAGCATTCGGAAGTGCAGGCACTCTTTGGCCAACTGCTGGGAAACCAAGACTCCACAAACCTATCGTAAACGGCAGCTCACCATGTCAACTATATGGACGTTCATTGAGAATGAGGACGCAAATGGGACGTTACAGGCGCTGGTAGGCATCAGGTATGGCACTACTTTTTGGATCGCCAACTATGCAAGTATATAAGCTTAAAGGGAGCTCCCCTCTCTGCCATTCTCTCGGGCCAGCCAAGGTTGCATATAACTGCTAGTCCAAAGCTTGCAACTGCTGCGAAGACAGAATGGTGGCGTACTTACGCTTGCTGCCCTTCTTGGGCCTGCTTCTGGCAGATGGACCTGGTGTAGCTGCTCAAGGTATCCAAGGAGTATCCAAAGGACAAAAGTGGACAAAGGAAAGTCAATCTTTTTTCGTTCCGGGTGCCTACATTGTTGAGTTTGAAGATGAGAATGTAAGTTTCTGCACCATCTTCCATTTCATGTGGTATCGTTTCTGAGTGCACTGTTCGTCCGTTTCGCAATAAGGTCATTCCGTTTCTAACATGATTGTGAGAAGGATGAAACCGCGTTGTTTAGCGATCTTCATCGACACGGCTTTTCTGCAACCAAACGACTGAGCCTCAACTCCACTCTTTTTAAGGGAGCTTCTTTCCAGCTGAGTTCCATTAGTCTGGATCCATTGTCAACGGCTGCCAGGATTGCATCAGTGCCTTCGGTGAAGCAAGCTTGGCCGATTCATCTGCTGAAGCGCCCTGATAACTCAACACTTACTGCTCCAAGTGGTGATTCTAGCCACTCAGATGAAGTTGCAAATATCATCCGTCGAGCAAAGTCTAACGACACCTATTCGCCCCACGTTGCAGTTCAGATCGATAAGCTTCACAATGCAGGGATCACGGGCAAGGGTATCAAGATCGGTATTATCGATACTGGAGTTGATTTCAACCACCCTGCTCTGGGTGGATGTTTTGGCAAAGGCTGTGTAGTTACTTACGGAAAAGACTTGGTTGGTGACAACTACGATGGCACCAATACTCCTGTTCCTGGACCTGAGCCATACGCAAACTGTACTGGCCATGGAACACACGTCACTGGCATCATTGGTGCTCGATCAAATCCCGTTGGAATTATCGGTGCTGCGCCCGGAGCAGAGATTGGCATGTACAGAGTCTTTGGCTGTACTGGTGATGTTGGAGCCGATGTTGCTATGGCTGGAGCCAGTCAGGCTTTCGAGGACGGATCAGATGTTCTCTCACTTTCGCTTGGTGGAGCATCCGGTTGGACGGAAGATCCCTTCTCAGTTCTCTTGCAACGAATCGTAGATGCTGGCGTCCCAGTTGCTGTTGCTAACGGCAATTCGGGCTCGGCAGGACTGTTCACCGCAGGCACTCCGGCCAATGGCAAAGGAGTGACAGCAGTATCGTCTGTCGAGAATTCAATGACACCGTATTACGGCACCGTTGGATATGTAAACACGGATAAAACGTCCACAACTGGCCAGCTTCCATTCGTTTACGCAAACGGAGAAAATCCGCTTCCGAATATCACTCTGCCACTGTTCGCAATTACTCCAAACGTCACCACAGATGGCACCTTTGCCTCTTGCAATCCTCTCAATAGCAACGCGCCGGCGGATCTAAGTGGCTACATTGTTCTTGTTCAGTACACTCTTGGCCCTTGCGATACTTGGACTGTTGCAGAGTTCCTGGCAAAGAACAATAATGCAAAGTATATCTTGTACTGGCTCGACGCGCCAGGGCAGTAAGTCGACTTTTGTTTCTTCTCAGCGGTTGGATTGAGCTAATACGTTCTATTTACAGCGCTTACGCCCCTGGCTCGGACGCCGTAGGCTTCGGAATGACTACTCAGCTGCAAGGCCAAATCTGGATTGATCAATTAGATAGCGGCAAAGACCTGTATCTTACCTTTTTCGACTCGGCATCTGCACCCCAGGGCTCAAGTTTCCTCCCCAATCCTACCAATCCCAACGCCATCGACACCTTCACTAGTTGGGGTCCAACATGGCAAGCAGATGTCAACCCTTCAATCTCGACAGTAGGAGGCTCTATTCTTTCCACGTATCCAGTGTGGGCAGGTGGCTACGCCGTTGACAGTGGGACTTCCATGGCCACGCCACTGATGGCATCGATTTATGCCTTGCTTATGGAAGCTCGAGGCACCAAAGACCCCAAGACTCTATTGAACGCGTTATCATCGACAGCTCTTCAGTTGCCATTTTATGATGGGACAACGCTGTATAATGAGCTTGCTCCTGTTGCACAGCAGGGCGGTGGACTAGCTCAGGCCTATGATGCTGCTCACGCAACAACTCTACTTAGCGTTTCAAGCATTTCTTTCAACGACACAGATAACTTTGTTAAGAAGACGAGCTTCGCAATCAAGAATACAGGAAAGAAAAGTGTCACGTACACGATCGGCCACAACCCAACTCTCACCATGTACACATTTGGAAATGGCTCTACTGGCCACTACTCTGCGCCTTTCCCGAATCCCATTGCCGATGGGGCTGCAGCCAGCCTTGCCTTTTCGCAGAAGAAGATCACAGTTCCAGCAGGAGGCTCAGCCGCTATCACTGTTGTAGCGACCCCTCCTCATGGATTGAATGCGACGGAAGTACCTGTTTACAGCGGGTTCATTACCCTCAACGCCACGAGCGGCGAAAATCTTGCTATTCCATACTTGGGTGTCGTAGGCAGCCTAGCCAAGCTCCCAGTATTGGACACAAACTTCAACTACATGATTCGGGAAACCGTTTTTGTTTTGGACCCAGTCCCTGCAAACTATACATATATCGTACCAGTTCCGACTTCGACGGTGTGGAACGAGACTCTTGTGCCTTTGCCTGATTATCCCGCAATTCTTCTTCAGATCGATGCTGGATCTCCCTTGTTCCGAGTTGACCTCGTCGCTGTTGGCGATACAAAGGCCAAGGTGAACACAACGAATGTACTGGGTGCTGATATTGTTGGCACGCTGCCTGGCTTCCCTATCCCGTTTGCTCCAAAGGGGGAGTGGATTGTTGCATACACTGGCATGACTCAAGAAGGCATCGCCACTCCTGCAGGAACCTATCAATTCTTGGTTCGTGCGGCAAAGGTCTACGGTGATGTGAAAAATCCCAACGATTTCGAGAGCATGCTCACTCAGCCATTTAACATGGCTTACAACTGGACGGCTGCTGCGACATCGACGTAGAGAGTGGATGATACGAATGAACATCACTTCTCTAACGAAAGAAGAAATGTAAATAGCTAAAAAGCTTTGAACCAGCGTTCAATGTTTGTATATACATGTAAGAATGTTAGATGATCAATATTTTGGTTACTTTGAAGTATATACTGTCCTAGGCATTTTGCAGTACCTCGTGTGACCCAAATCCGCTACATAAACAAGAAATACTATCAGTATCAACCTCCGCCATTAAACGGTATTTATGGATCTTATTACAAGATATTATATTGTTTACCAGTTGCTAAAGCTCAGTATTACTAGAGATTTCGGATGGGAACAACATTGAAATCCACTCACGTGATTGTATCCTGCATGCATCACCACCAATGCCACGCTGGCAGTTCACCTGGCTCATTCTTACCTCCACACTCTTCACATACTATCAGTACAAATGATTGCTAAATTCGGATATCCCCATCAAATCTATTTCAGCCGTTATCAATGATTTTGTTGCGCTCTGGCTGGTATATACAAGAATAAGCCACGAAATAGAGTTGGGCAAGGACGGCGCTGGGGATTATCTTGAGCAGAACTTCCCGGTAGTTTCTCAATCAATCAAATGGTCAAGGATATGAACTAATATGACAGAAAGCCATGTGGCTCGGCACTGTACTGTTCAAATAGCAATGATACACCTATGGACTTCCAACACCGACCCCTCCATTCTTGACGACCAAACATTCGAACTGACAGCCTTTCAACGCTTATTATCCTGCGCTTTTTTCCTTGGCCTTGGAAACGCGCCTCAGGTTTCATCAGAAGAGGAGTTAAACAAATGTTGAAGAACGACTGCATCAATTTTGTCGAAGAACAAAGGAAGGTAGCATTGAACGGCGCATGTCTAAGATCCCTCAGTGGAATATACGACATTTCGGAAGGTACCAGAAACGCCACAGGCTATGCCAACAGCGTATTATCGACTTAAGGAGCGCAAACTTTTTTCTGAGATACACGAAATGGGACAAAAGAAGGACAAACCGATGGGAGAAGAGATGCTCATCGAAACGGCTGTGCTGTTGATGCCGTATGGGATGAAATTTGACACCCACCAGTATGAAAGACATCCGATATGGTGTAGTGGCTAACATCGCTCGCTCTCATTCTTCGAGTGCCGAGCAGCCCTGGGTTCGATTCCCAGTATCGGAGATTTTTTTTGGTCGAAGTCGACAAACCGAAGTGGATTTTTGCAGCTATCAGCCGGAAAATGCAAGTCTCGACTCATTGTTTGTTTTAAAACGTCTCTACAACCATCTCAGGCTATATGATCGAGCCTAGCAACTACCAGGTGAATTCAGCAATGGGCCTTGAATAGTGAACCACGATGACCGCAGCAATTGATACACTGTTATTCATATCGCATTGAAAGAGAGCTTAATGCGTGCCTTTTTAGTCTTCAATACTAGAGCAACAGCGATCGATTTTGGGAGGGCTATTTTTACCAGTTTAATACTTGCATACAACGAGCCGCTAGTTGTCGATGAAAGGCCAATGCTTGCCAGTCAGAGCAGTTGAGCTTTCTTCTTCTGTGCCTACCCTCGTACGACCAATTTACAACCCAGATTACAATGACACTAGTTTAAGCGGCTCTGCGAACCATTGTCTATCTTTGGGAACACATGCTGAGTTTTCACCAAATATGCGACGGATCAGAAGTTTCATAACCCATGTCATTATTCGTTACTAACACACGCCTGAACAGGCTCAACTCTATAGATTACATCATGATCCCACTTATACCCTTTCATTAGCTAGTGTGTTGCCTAAGCACACAGCGTCAGGGTCACATCCTTATCCGCGCCGCAGTTCTTGACTTGGCTTCCCGCAGGAGGAACACCGTTTGACCAAGTAATTGAAGGGCACGCAGTGTTTGCGCTTGAAACAGTCACCTTCTTCCCGTTGAAAGCGTCGCCGAAGACATCCGAAAGATCGTACCAGATGGTGTTGTCCTGGAGATTTGTGGCAAAGATGGTCTCTGGCTTGCCGGTGTAGAGGCCGTCGGACTGAATGGTGACCTTGATGGCACGGCCGCCGGTGACGGGATCGCGAGAAAAGGTCTCGCCATATGAACCACCCTGAGCGAGGGTTGTTGGCGCAGAAATAGCGCTGCCAACGGACCAGAGAGTGACGCTGTAGGGGCACTTGTTGACAACGCGGGCCTTGCCGAGGGCAGAAGCCGACTCAACGAAAGCAGCAATGGCTACAACAGCAGTGGTGGTGAACTTCATGTTGATTGATGTGGGATTTGCTTTTAGAAAATATTGAAGAATGCCTTTGAGGTTGTTAAGAAGTGATGTTGTGAGTCTTGAGATCTTGAGAGCTTTGGATGGTTGTTCTAAATATCATCTCAACAGGAAACGTCTGCCCTTTTTATACTCTTGAGATTCACAGCGTCAGGCTCTACGAGCCTCAATGTTACGCTTCACTCAAGCCTTAACCGAGCAATCCGCCCAGTTGATGTTCCCTTTACGGCCATGATGGACTATTTTTGACAGAAGCGGCCGCCTCGCCACCCCAACGACCGACATCCCGGGGGATCTGCGCTACCCAAATTTCCAGGTTAAGCTTAAGGCCTCTCAGAATACGAACACCGCGTTTCCCAAAAGAGCATCTACCTAGCGGTGAGCCTTCGAGCCAGCGGCCTAAAGCGCATGAAATAGTCGTACAACAAATACGAAGGCCGAAGGATTATGTCTCGATCTTTCTATTGCGTAATCTATCGACTACTGCAAGTTGGCGAGAGAGCACAATAAGGCGTCGGCTATAAGTGAGGCAGAGTCAGCCGCTTACAAGGGAGCTCTTAGACGGGATCGACGCGCCAAGCATCGTATTTTCAGATGCGGGGGCTTCTCTCTCAGACAATTATCGTGCCGAGGACTCAGCCTTAGGAAGGATTCGAGGGAACAAAAAAAAATTCGAAGTACTATTAGCAACACAATTTTCCCTCGAGCTCAAGTTGCCTCATCGGAGCTGAACATTGAAAAGTCGCATCTCGGCCTCGGTATCAGCCCATGGGGTGTCATCGGCACATGGCTGCAGTGCTGCACCCGCTCCTCCCGCCCATCTGGAGAAAATATTCCGCTGCATAAGGCCACTAAGAAGCTAAGCCGTGTGCCACGTCGGCACCTGAAATGCGACGCTGCGGAAAAGGTGGCATCATGGTGTTGTGTGACAGCGGAATGTATGACGGAACCACCGCTTCGAGTCGGATAACTCACCGCGAGACACGGGAATGGCTTCTTTTTCTTGGCGATAGTTGCGCCAATCATGCTCTCAGCATCAAGTATGATTTACCAAAAGAGCCCAAGGAACCGATCAAGGGAGGCCCTCTACTTCGTATTGAGTACCTGGATGCGTCTTTGTCTTAGTAGATGCTAGTGGGTAGCACATATACGAAGCATGCAGCTATGCTTAAATATCTACGCAAATGCGGCTGCACTGTAAGCAGCCACATTTCTGACACGTCAGGCAGGAGATGGATGCAAATAAGTAATACGGAGTAATTATAACAGAAGAAAAAAGTCTATTCACCAATCTAGAACACTCCCTCCAACACTCTATTGTATAGTATAGTACATCCCTAATTCAATAAGGTCCTCATTTACAATCTCGTCTTCCTCTCGCGTAGTCACATGGAGGCACCTGTGAGAGGACCTGAGACGGCCTTGGCCCCCTCGACTCCATGCCACCAGTTGACACGGCTGTCAGTGAAGATCTCGACCTCAGGCTTGAGCTTGGTCTCGTGTAGGTTGAAGTCGTCAACGGTGCCGATTCTCATGTAGCTCTGGTGGGGGAAAACCTCGCTCCTGCGGTACATGAGCGTGCCGCAGGTCTTGCAAAAGCTGTTTGTCATCTCGGTTCTCGAAGTGGGTGTCTTGTTGTTGCCCCAGCGAGTGAGGTTGTCCTCGCCACGAACAAACTTGAGGTAGGAGTTTTCGATGGTGAAGTTGGAGGCGAACATGGACGCGGTGACTTTGCGGCAGTCGAAGCAGTTGCAGACAAAGGTGTTGACCAGGCCTGGAGCTACAATGGGCTGTCACGATGTTAGTTAGGTATCATAATGCTTGAAATAGTATGAAAGTGTATATGTAGGCAACGTACAACTACCACTTGCACAGCACCGCAGAAGCAGGTGGCTGTGGCTTCGGTCTCGGTTGACCAGCCATCTCGGGCAACGCCAGAAAGAGGGAGGTCGTTGGATCGAACGTTGTTGCTCATGGTGAATGAAAATATGTATCTGCTTTATAGAGAGAGTGGCAAGATATTTTGCTGGTGGTTGATGATCGGGTTGTGGTGCGTTGATAGCTTCTGCTTGTTGCGATGTGATGTTATGATGCTGTGATGCTGGACGGAACAATTCAACTTTTTGAGAACCTGTCGCATCTATAAATACCATTTTGAATTATGCCAGATGTCTATCTTGAATCTCGAATTTCCAATCTCAATAGCACGCGCAAAACCTATTTCGCATCCAGCGCTCCCCACATTACAAACTATCGTCGATCCCGTGCTTCTCTTCCATTTCCCTTTTCGGTAATTCCAGTCTTTCAGGGTAGGTTGCGCCATTGATGTCACCACCGCGATCTCAGTTGCTGAAGCATCTCCACCGTCCTTTTCCAAGGGGGGAATAGGGCGAGTGGCGGGCCATTACATCCCCATTTCCTCTTCTGGTAAAATTGTTCAGCAGAGGTTTAGCGCCCTACGGAAGATGCCGTAAGCCTCGCTGCTTTTTAGGATGCGGCCTGTCGCCACAAAAATGTGCTGTTGTAAGCGACGATTTTGCGCCGTGAGCAATAGTTTGATGCCGTTTCATTACCGAGGTGCGTTTTCTGTATGAAAAGATAATTGCCTATCTAGGTAAAGCCGCCTTGAATTCGCTTAGATAAGAAGACTTGCGTTATCGATTGCGCGCCCGCGGTTTCTGAGGCAGGAAGCAGTCTATGGATGTCACTGTAACTTGTATGGCGGGGCTGAACCATAACCAGCATTGAACAAAGAATTGGAAAGAAGATGTTTCTCACCACCAGAAAATTCAAACGGTTTGTAACGCCCAATAACTATTATTAATTTATAACTCGCTTTGCATGTAGCAGCTAATGATCCTGCTCTAACCAGGTGATCACTGAATCCGTCTCACTTCTTTGTCCAAACTCCTTCAATCCTCGACTTTCGCAGCACCAAACCAGCCAAATCCGCAACCCGCCCACTAGTCAGCAGTTCCAGGACCTGCAAATGCGTCTGAAGCTCTTTTCCAATCCAATTCCGAAGCTCAATCGCATTGAGCGAATCCAGCCCAAAAGCCGTGATAGACGTGTTTCCTTGTCGTGCCGCCATCACCTCTTCTGACAGCATTAGAATGGCGCCGAGCTTGTCACGAAGGCCAAGTGTCACGATATCTTCTGCCTCTTCAACAGTTTTGCATTTGCGTAGCTGCTGGGAGATGGACAGGCTCTCAGATCCCGAAGAGACGTCAGCATCGGCTGATGCGGCGAGCAAGGCCTCACGCAGATGAGAGAATTTGGCATCCGAGGCATAGAATGGCATCGACGACGCATTATCAAAGCCTAGCCCGGTGATCACCTGACCCTGACAGAAAGTCTCGACTTTTCCCGTCATTGCAGATTCGATCAATGCCAGAACCTCTGCCTCGCCCAGGGTGTTGTCTGACAAGTTCCTCATTACTTGTGACATCTTGGCTCCATTTTCAGCCAGATAACCAACGCCTTCTACAGCAGCAAGATCTATAGATGTGGCTGCTGCGCCATGGCGGCGTCGATATTGGACGAGAGCATCCAGATACGTGTTCGCCGCAGAATAATGTGCTTGGCCTCGGTTACCCACTATACCAGCGACGGAAGAGAGGACAATGAAGAACTGGAGCGGAGTTCTCATAAGGGCCTTGTGGAAATTCCAAGCTCCTGATATTTTACTTTGGACAACAGCTTCGTAATCTTCAAAGGTCATCTTCTCAAACAGGACATCCTAAGAAATTCGTTAGTAGCTGGGCCAAACAGTGGCTTTTGGGAGGAGGACATACTCTAAGAACCATGGCGGCATGAATAATGCCCCTAATGGGCGGAAAATCATCCTGCAATTGCCAGACTAACTCATACACATTACCCTCACTGGCAACGTCGCAAGACATCACGTATATCGAGGCACCTAGCTTTCGACTATCCTTCACCAGCTTATTCACCTCATCTGTCATCTTGCCGCCCCGAGAGAGCAAGACGATGTGTCGAGCACCCCGGCGGACCATTTGTCTCGTGATGGAGCGCCCCAAGCCTCCAGTCCCGCCAATGATTATATACGTCGCATCGCGCTCCAGCATATCCGAGCGAGGCGGGGGATGTGTAGCTCTGACCTGGCAGTAGCAACCATGTGTCACCACGAGCTTTCCCACCGTCTTGCCACTTTGCAGTTTACGAAGTGCTCCTTCGACATCTTGGATGCTGACGGAAGTGATGGGCTCAATGGGCCTGATTGTCTTGCTCTCAAGGAGTCGCATGACTGACGCAAAAGCACGTTCCAAGATCTTGGGCCGCCGTGCAGCAACAAGAGACAAGTCAACCGAGCTGAAAGTACAGTTATACTCGAGCTGAGCCATCTCAAGTCTTGTGTTGTTCGTGATGTCCCGCTTTCCCAACTCGATGAAGCGCCCAAAAGGTGCAAGACAGTCCCACGTTTCGCGAAGAAGGTCGCCTGCAAGCGAGTTGAGCACGACATCGACTCCGCGGCCGCCTGTAGCCTCTCGGACGGCTGGCCCAAAGGAAGTATCTCGACTATAGAAGATACGGCTCTCTGGGATGCCGTATCTATCCATGATAAACTGCTTCTTGTCTGCACTGCCAACAGTAGCATAAATAACAGCCCCTACCATCTGTGCGAGCTGGATAGCTGCTTGGCCGACGCCGCCAGATGCAGCGTGAATCAGTATACTCTCGCCGTATTCTAGCCTTGCCAGATCCATGAGGCCGTAATATGCGGTGCAGTATACGACGGGGATTGAGGCTGCGGCCACAAAGCTCATGTCACTGGGAATAACAGCCGCGCTGGAGGCAAGACATCGAGAGTATGTGCCATATGCTCCCAGAGACATGGCACAGACTCGATCACCGACCCTCAGGGAACTGACACGAGAACCGATGCGAGATATAGTGCCACTGCATTCGACGCCGAGATATGGACTGGATACTTGACCCATAGCGATGACAACGTCTTTAAAGTTCATTCCTGTACACGCGACCTTGATTTCGACCTCTTCATGGCCCAAAGGCGTTTCACGCTCATCCTTCCAGTACAGGGAATCTAAAGCACCATAGGTACCGACGGCCACAGCGAGACGCCGTCCAGCTTGATCAAATGGCTGTAAATAAGGCGGCGAATTGGAGGCTTCTGTATCATGGAAAATTGCAAGATTCATGTCGTCTTGCTTGACAACACGGGGTACCATCAACTTGCCTCCTTCTTCCGCAAATTCATAGTTCACAGGAGCATCATCCTCGGGTGTTGCAAGGGAGGCTTTGATTGCACGAAGAATCAGCTCGGCTGTGTCACGGGCATCGAGCTTAGAATGAGGATCTAAATCCAGAGAGGCTACGGCTTTGTTTGCCTCAGAACGAACTGTGCGTAAGAAACCTTGCGCAATATTCTTCTCTGGGCTCTCTGCAAACCTATACGCCCCAGACGTCACCCAAAGCATAGAATGGCATACGGTAAACAGATTCTGCAACTTTTCAAAACTTTCAGCTGTCATCTTGGCAAATATCGGCTTGTCTATTTCAGACAAAGAAATGTAACAAGCGGTCGCCTCGGGAACTACATCGGCCAATGCAACTAGCCGTGGAGACTTTGCAGTGCGTAACGCCAGCAGATCCAAGAGAGCCTTTTCCAATAGATGATTATCACTGTGGTGGGAGATGACGATGAAATCAACATCATTGAAGCTATCATTCGTGCTGTCTTCTGCAAGATGGCCATTCAATTTCTTGGTATTGCCATTTGCCACACCGTTTCCATTGACTTTTGCTGAAAGGCTTCCAAGTCTGTGGTGTCCGTTTGAGTGGGCTTTTGTGCCATTGGTGCCATTAATCCCGTTAGAGGCCTGATGGTTATCATTGGTGTGATTTTTTTGCCCGCTACCGATGACTGACGTTTTATCAACAGAGTTCTTGATCTTATGGCCGTTTGGAACAGCGCCGTTCTTTATGTCTTCCTGTTTCGGCTGCTTGTCCCTCGCGTCAAGCGGTTCCCATTCCATCTTATAGCAGATAGATCGTGGGCTCTTGCTCTCAACGATATCGCCATTTACTGGCGTCACCCTGAATCCATCCATCTTTACCACGGGCTCAGAAGAATCTTGATGCCAGGAGTCAATGAAAAAGTCAACAGGTCCAGGGGCTTCAAAATCTAGGTATCCGTTGACAACGACTTGCACACGCTCGCCTGGTTTGTTTGGCAATGCGCTGCTTATGTCGATCTCTTTAACGGCAGAGGGCATAAAAAGAGAAGGCATCTTGCCGCTACCAGCACCAAGGATGGGAAATGTGAGCTGAAAGAATAGGTCGATGAATGCCGATGGCGCAATAGATGCTGTTTCATGAGACAACGGCATGGTAGCTGCTGTATCAGGAATCGTTAAAGAAGCCATGGTATATCTCTCACCGAGTCTCAAATCGGCATCAGGTGAAATCTTAAAGACCCCGCTGTATCCGGCTCCTCGGGCCTCCAGTTCGGAGTAGAAATTATCAAGAGGAATTCGATGGCAGTCCATTACCTTGACGTGCTGGCGGCGAGCAGCGGCGTATTGGAGCAACGCACTATTGACTGGGTTAACTGGGGCGACCTTTTTGATGCCAACCAATCCTCTGCAATGCTCCAACCAGCCTCTGGCTGAGTTCCACGATAAGATCCGAAACTCATCCCACTCATTGGAGTAGGATCTGGTGCCCTCGGCATAAGGCTTCAGGGAAAACACCGTCTCATATGGAGCGCCATCGTCCAGTATGAGAGCTTTCGAAATTTGAACCTCTCGGAGACGGAAACCTTCGATTTGCGTAGTCGGAACTCCTCGCAGCTGTGCTCGCTGTGATGCAGCTTCTACAGCCATACATATATATCCTGCTAGAGGAAACGTGGCTAGAGACTGCATGCGATGATCCTTAAGCCAAGGCACATCGTCTGTGGAGATGACATTTTTCCACTTGGGCTCAACATCGCTATATGAGTCCTCCAAGAGACCTAGGAGATCATGGCGACCAAATGGCTTCTGGCGCATCTGCTTCGCTGACCGAGACTCAAACCAGTACTTGTGGTCTGACCAGCCATACGGATGAAAGTCCGTGACAAGGGTAGGGGCTCGTACGCCTTTATTAGGACGGTTGATTTCACGCAAGCTGATAGGGTATCCCTTGACAAATAAACTACCCGCACAATTCAAGATGGATGAGGTAGCGTGCTGTTGACGAACGAGAGAAGGCAAATATTTGACGCCCAAAGCAACTTGAGGGCTGATAGACTTTAGGATCTGTTTGATGGGACCCTCAAGGGCCGAATGTGGGCCAACCTCGATGACGATATCCGGCTCTGTACCAAGATAAAGCTCTTTGAAAGCCGTAGAGAAGAGGACTGGTTTTGTCAAGTTTTCGACCCAGTATGATGGATTGAGGACTGACGTTGAGTCAAGCTTCTTCCCGAATAGCGATGAATAAAACTCAACGTTGGAAGAGGTCTTGGATGTCACGTATTTGATGGCGGCTTGGTAGTCATCAGCAACTAGCTGCATATGAGCAGAGTGGTATGCCATCGTCACTCGCAATTTGCGGTTGAAAATGCTCCGGCTTTCTAGTTCAGCAGCCAGTCGATCGACATCTTCTTCGTCCCCTGAAGCAGTAATCGAATTTGGAGAGTTTTCGCAGGCCACATTGACCCTCTTTAGCCCCAGCGTCTTGATAATCGCTCTGATATCTTTAGCTTTAGCACCGACAGCGAGCATGGCACCTCGAAGATCAGGATGCTTGAATTTCAGTTCTGAAGAAACCCTACCGCGCCAATAGGCTACGGACATGGCGTCCTCGAGGGTAATGGCACCAGCAGCAAAGGCAGCAACAATTTCGCCACTGGAGTGGCCGACGACTGCAGAGGGTGAAACTCCCCAGGCCTCCAACAGCTTGGTGAGGCCAATCTGTATAGCTGTGCATGCAGGCTGCGAGATGTGTGCCTCGTTGACCAACGTCTCTTTGCTGCTCTTGGCGAGCTCTTCCAGCAGAGAGAACTCGGCACCAATTGTTTGCAGATAGTTGCTGCACGTCTCGATGGCTCTAGCAAAAACTGGATGACTTTCCATAAGCTCTTTGCCCATCTCCGCCCACTGAGCTCCTTGGCCAGTATATACAAATGCCACCTTTGGGTCTTTGGAGGCCACTACTCCAGGAGTGGCGCTGATGCTGTTGAGAGAATTTGCGAGCTCACTACACGAAGATGCTGCAATCGCGATGCGCCACTGCAGATGCGTCCTCCTTTCTCCAAGTGTATATGCCATGTCGTTGACTAATCGCTTCTGGAAGACTTCGGGATGTTGCTCGATGTAGATTCCAAGGTTTTCAGCCTTTCGCTTGGCGGCACTTTCATCGTGGGCGGATAACACAAATAACCTTGGAGTCGTGTTCTGATTATCTTGAGGAAGATCTGCAAGTGCAGTTGGAACTTTCTCAAGCACGGCGTGCGCATTGGAGCCTCCAAATCCGAAGCTGTTAACGCTGATGAAGCGCTTGTTCCTGGGCCACGGTCGGATACTGGTTGGAACTTTGATGTTCCACTCGTCAAGGGGGATCGCCTCATTTGCCTTTTCGAAATTGACATTGGGAAGAACAAAACCCTTGTCTAGCATCATTGATGCTTTGATAATGGAAATGATGCCACTTGCGTTTTCTAAATGGCCAACGTTGGACTTCACCGAGCCCATATACAATGGAGCACGCTTTGTACGCCCGTCTCCAAACACACGATGAACGGCATTGGCCTCTATAGGATCGCCAGCTCGCGTGCCCGTTCCATGGGCTTCAACGTACCCAGTATCGTTTGGCGAAATACCAGCTCTGGCGTACACATCGCGCATTAGCTGTTCTTGCGCATCGCCGCTCGGATATGTCAGTCCGGAGGTTTTGCCGTCTTGGTTGACACCAGTGTTGATAATGACAGAGTATATCTTGTCGTTGTCGGCCAGCGCTTGGTGAAGTGGTTTGAGAATGAGGCAGCCCGTGCCTTCTCCTCGAGCAAAACCTGACTTCGCCCTGTGGTCGAAAGCAAATGTTTTTCCGTGTTCGTTGAAAAGCCTTGAAAACGTCAGAATTCTTTCAGCAGTCGAAGAGAGGGCTGTCTTAAATGCGATCGAACAATACGAACTCACCCTAATCCGGACATGGATATCATATAATGAGGCTGAAGATGCAAGCTAGACGCTGCCACGATGGCAGAGTCTGAGTCTCCCGAACGGATGCTCTGAACTGCTAAATGTAAAGCGTATAAACTGGATGAGCAGGCCGTGTCTGCTGTAAAGGAAGGGCCGTGCAAGTTGAAGTAGTAAGAGATGCGTCCAGCCTGGATGGACTGGTGGTTGCCCGTGGCATCATACATTGGTACCTGATCTAGCTCTTTCAAGGTGCCGAGATGGTAATTCGAAGCAGTGCCACCAATGAAGACTCCCATATTGCTGCCAGCAATTTCGTGCTTGAGAATTCCGGCATTCTCTAGAGCTTCGTACGTGCACTCTAAGAGATGTCTCTGTTGCGGATCTAACAATAAGGGTGAGCCACCGGGAATTTACACATACGCACAGATATGCATATACACATACCCATGGCTTCAGCTTCCTGCCTTGTGATATTAAAAAAAGGTGCGTCAAACGTTGACATATCGCCAGTCATGAAATAACCGCCTTTTTGGTTGAAGCAACCCTTTTTGTGAGGATCGGGGTGATAATATGCCTTTGCTGAGTATCGTTCTTCAGGTATCGGCCTCCAGCCATCTCGAGAACGCGATAACATTGTCCAAAAGTCGTCAAGCGTCGAGACACCACCTGATAGGCGGCATGACATGCCGACGATGGCGATAGGCATAGGAGCCTTTGAGGGCGCGTCTACGTTGGAAGACGCCATGATGAGCTGTGAGTGAGCGTCTCTTTCGAGATCTCAGAGGAATAAACGAAGATTCTACCAGAGGCTTCTCTCACATTATAAAAGGATGCCACAAGGGAGAAGCAGAAGTACAACCGACAATTGCAGGAAGGAGGTTTTTTTTTTTTTTAACTCGACATGGTGCTTCATGGAACTCGCTTCCGTTATACAGCAGGAGTTGATAAGGATAGACAGTTAAGAAGGGTTCGATGAGAGACACTCTTCATTTAAGATGTTTCACCGTACATGCAAGGTCGTAAACATCGACCTGGATTGACGTGGCTTACTGGCTGGAATCAAGGGCTTGCAGTGTTCAAGCTTCTAATACGCCACTCAATTATCTTATCAGTAATACAAGAATGTCAGCTCGCGGCGCGTCCACCAATGCCAATGCCATCTTTTTAATCATGGAAATTACCAGTCTTATTGTACAAACATAGAGACGGCTCTGGATTCATCCGCGGTTGGAATGTCTCACCCATTCCCAAGCCGTGTCTCCGATGTGCTGCAAGGGGGACTTTTACGTAGGGAGATAGGGTGCCCTTTTGGCTTGGTCAAGGGCTGCAAGATTAGCAGCTGAGGGACCCTGCATTACCCCTTGACTAAAGCTGGAGAGCTTGGAGCCCATCCAAGGATCAAAAGTACAGGTTTCTATACGTTGTTCGAGTCATCAATCCTACTATACCGGTATACACGTGTGGATGGGAGCAAAGCTGAAAACGGTATGCTGCTATATGTCCAAGCTCCATGCTACGATAATGCAGTACAACATTAGGGAAATTACGGTTACATATAAGACGCAGACGTTTACAAATTTGGCAAAACTTGTAATGCCGCGAATCGAGGCTGCCTTAGTAATGGATCGTGTTTCTCTTACATCTTAGTAAGTTTTCTATCTCGAGGCTTACTGACCGCCGATATATACTAATACATCGCACAGACGCACTATCCCATCCCCTAGGCTGAAGGGAAGTGTGAATCAAGGAACATGCAAGGTAGGTTGTAGAATCATGTTAGTACTTTTTTCTTTCCTTTTCTAATGCCCTACAGGAAAGGACAAACAAAAGGGATAGTGCTTCGGTGAACTTGCGAGAGCTGTCAAAAAGGAGGCTTCAGAGATGGAAAATATTAGTGCGGTGTAACGGGAATACCCGCCGTCCGGAAACTTAGTTATCCTATCGACTGGATATGATGACAGCTCAGACAATAAATGGCGTCAGTCTGTGCAACAATCTCATTCGATGGCTTCAAAAATGGTGGCTTTGGCTCAAATTGCTGCTGCTGTTGCCACTATGGGCTGATGTCTTGCTGTATGATACAGGTTCATGCCTTGGATGATGATAACCTTTATCTTATCTTCTGATACTCTTTTAAATCGAACTCGTCAGATCGGCCGGAAAGCGACACGACACGAGAGTGTCTTAGACTGGACGCGACTTCTCCGCCGTCGGACAACCGCGATTTCATCCCTTGCAAGCCTTTGAAGCAAAGGCTAGACTGATTATGCAATTGGTAATCTTAGTAAATCAGGGAATGGATGATCTTAATTACTGATGCGATGCATAGATTGCTAAAATACTTGCGAAAGGATAAGCTTCACTGAGAGATACACTCGTTTGAAAGAGAGACCTTTTTCGATGGTCCTGTCCTTTTACCTCAGCTAGCAACTTGCCCGATCTATATCATCTTTACCTAGAACTACTCTGGCCAGCATGAAGGTTCTCTGTCTGCATGGAGCCTTTGGAAGTGCTTCTGTGAGTTTTGAACCACCATATACGAGCTCAGTATATGTTGCTAATTACTTTTCTATCTTGCACAAACCTAGAACTTCAAAGTCCAGCTTGGCATATTCACTGATGCCACAACACGACCCGGTGTCGAGTTCAAATGGATCAACGGGTTTACGAAAGCGTCGCCGCCGCCTGGCTTCGACGACTACTTTGGCGCTCCGCCGCTGTACCGATTCATGGACATTGACGGCATGAGCGAGCTGGAGCAAATGATTGTCAAAATTAGAGACATGCCTCAGGGAAGCTCGCCTGAAGATACGATGCGGAAGCTGGTGGCCAATAAAGAGCAGTTTGCTGCCCCAGCTGTGATTGACAGCGTGAATCGGCTATTGCAGCTTCTGGACGACGATCCAGAGATTGACGTGAGTTCCGGTCGTTGTCTGTAAGATGTGGATGTGATTTGCCTGACGCGATATGCCCAAAAATTAGAGCATTCTTGGTTATTCCGAGGGAGCAACGACGGCGGCGACGCTGATTCTCGAAGAGCAGCGCCTCTTTAGAGAGCAAGGCCGTCCTCGACGCATCAAGGTTCGAGTCCCTATCTCCCGTCCCCCTTCTCTCTAGAGCTTGATTCTTCCTCATTTATGTAATAGACATATTGATATCATACTAACTGGCTGCCAGAGCGCCATCTTCTTTGCCGGCTGGCCCCCCGTCCGAATCGTCGATGGCCGCGTCCAGACGCTCCTCGCAGATGAGCACGACGTGATGATTGACATCCCGACATGCCACGTAGTAGGCTGTAGCGATCCGTACATTCATGGCGCAGTGGCGCTCTATGGGATCTGTGATGAGGATACGGCCATCTTGTTCGATCATGGAAAGGGCCACACAGTTCCAAGAGACGAAGTGACAGTGAAGGAGCTTTCCGAGGCGATTGAGAGGACTTTTGCGCAGGTGGCATGATACTAGGTAGTGATGAAATTAGAGAACACTTGGATGGATTAGAGTCAAAGGCGCGAATCACAAGCATATTGATATTGTAATGAGATGCATTTGACTACTATATTTTCGGCTGCTGAGTCTGTTTATCACGGCGCGCCAGAAAGTAAGCTTTGGTTTGAGATAGCGCTATTAAAGACTCTTCTTTTTCTTTCGCGTATTGGGTTTTCATTGAATAGCATTATTTTTTAAGCAAATTGTTGTTTAATTGTATTGAAGCGGATGAGAAATTTTGTAGTGTTGGCCGGAAACGATGTCTTACCCGGAAATGTTAGAAAGGAGGAGGAAGCTTCCAAAAGCGGGTTCAGCTAGATTTGAAAACACCGTATACAAAGCTGTCTATTTTCTGTGTTTGCATGTTTAAAGGTCCGAAAACATGCGATTTTAATTCTGTCTCATAATAAAAATAGATTTTTTAAAGTTCATATACTGCTTAAATCCCTATAGTAACTAGCATATATACCTAAGACGTAGATTGGTGATGGAGCATATCTGCTCCCGGCTTCTCAAGACAATGGCATCTAGATAAGGTAGACGGATTCACAATCTGATTAGACGCAAAAGTGACAAACTTGTCTAAAGTCCTATGCTTAGAGTCTTGGCAAAGGTGAATGAAAGGTAAACAGAAAGTGACTGGTAAATGACTGCTCGTCGAGTGCAGCCAGCTGCCAGCTGCCAGCTGGCAAGGCGGTGCGCATAATTGACTGGCATAATTCCCTACCGCCTATCCTTCCTTCTTATTCTCCCCTCTTCTTCCCTCCCCTCTTCTTCTTCTTCTTCCTCTTCTCTCTCCAAGCCTGTCTCGCAATGCTTCGACCAAAGAGAGTTCTATTCATCACGGACGTTGAGCCTGGCGAGCTCAACGTCTTCCTCGCTACCGCCCAGTCTGTTCGAGATGCAGACATCACCGTTGAAATCCACCTCGCTACTCCTCCTGGCTTCGACGATGAGGTTCCTGCAGGTGCTACTTATCACCAGATCAACGGTTTGCCTATGATGCAGGCAGTTGAAGACCATTTCAACCGCAAGCAGAACGGCCCTACCTTCCCTCTGTCTTTCATCCGGCCTCCTGGCTTTAGCAACACTCGCAAAGCGATTAAAGATGCTGCTGCGGTCCACATGCCGTATACGGGACGCCAGATGGTTGATCTCTTTGCCTCTATTGTCAACATTATCAGAGGTGTTCAGCCTACTCTGGTTGTGGTGAACAGCTTTATGGCAGCTGGTTTGACGGCCTGTTATCATTTGGACGTGAAATTCGTTTGCTTGAGCCCTAAGTCCATCAAGGATTTTGCGGCATCGGAGCAGCCTCGAGGAGCAAGACTTTGGAAGTTTCCTGCGTAAGTATTTCCCAAAACTAACTCTATATCGGCTTCTCTGCCTATTTCTTTCCCTCTTTTATCAATGTTAAACTATGCTAACATTTGTCTAATATTGTTTTAAAGGCTCTTCTCCGGATTCCCATATCCTGTCCCTTGGCACAAGGCCCTCTTGAACGCATACTATGTCAATTTCACTACAAAGGCATTCAAGAAAGACCCCCAGAGAAAGGATGTTCAGTCATACCTTACCGCCCACACGGTTCTCCGAACTCCTATGGATCTTATACGACGTCGCCCTGACAACGTCAAGATTCTAGTGGCCTCTCTCCCACAACTTGACTTCCCGCTCAAGATTCCTCCTCATGTTGTTGCCTGTGGTCCCATCATTCGCCATCCGGTCTCTGTCTGGGTCTCCGAGCCTGACTTGGCTGAGTGGCTCGCAGAGGGACGAACCATCTACGTCAACATGGGATCCGTCATCAAGATGACTGAAGACCAGGCTGTAGAGCTGGCAAAGGCCTTAAAGATTGTGATCAACGAGCTTGATAAGCAAGTTGAAAAGGGTCGTCTGCAGGTCCTCTGGAAGCTCAGAAAGTACGGCGCTTACTCTGTGTTCTTGCCCGGATGCAGAATCGAGCAGGTCCTCTGCCAAGCATTCCAGCAGGATCGAGTTCGAGTCAAAGAATGGATCCAAGCTGATCCTCTCGCTGTACTTCGAAGCGGATCTGTCGTCTGCTCTATTCATCACGGTGGAGCAAACTCTTACAACGAGGCTGTCGTGTAAGTTCTTCTTCTCTACGCTTCCCATGACATTGCAGTTGGCTAACAGAGAGTTTTAACACATAATCACAGTGCCGGTGTCCCTCAAGTCATTATCCCCGCGTGGACCGACTGCTATGATTATGCTCAGCGTGCTGAGTTTCTCGGCATCGGCCGCTGGGGAACTCGTAACACGAAGAATGGCTGGTCGGCACGGGAGCTTTCTACCAAGATTCTTCAGGTGCTTGTGGGACAAGCCTCGGTCGCGGTGAAGAAGAGATGCAACGTGTTGAAGCAGATTTGCGAATTCAGCGGCAGTGGTGCAGATTTTGCGGCCCTGACCATCCTGAGAGAGTGCGAGCAATGATGATTATGATTGATTTTTTTTTCCTTTTCTTTTTATTATCTGGAAGGGTACGTTGATGGAAATATTGCCAAGGGCGAAGGAAGTAAGACGGAAGCAGAGGTGGTGATTTTTCCAAGTATACCCTGCTCCAATTTCAAACAAGTGGACTGCTACATAACGCGATATGGTGCGATACAAAGGGAACGGAAATAGGGATTCAAATGGAATCGAAATTAGCTAGTAAATTAAGAACCGTTATTATTTTTACCAATTTCCTGTTCTTCTTTGCCTTTGCTTTTCTATGATTTTTGCGAAAGATGTTTTTGGAATTAGTGGGTGGGGTGGTAGGTGTCGCTGCCTTTTTTAACGCTTTCGGTCGCTAAGTCTCTTCTCACAGTGCTACCCAATGCCTAACTACTCTTGTTCGCAGATACAATCTATTATAAAGAATTTCAATTACAAAGTGACAAATAAAAATCAAAGATATCTCTCTATGTGAATGAACTCTTTAATCCCTTGACAAAGTAGGAAAGAAACATCCCGATAGCCCTTATTGGGCAATGTGCTTCATTGCTACAATACAGGCTAATTCAACTGCCGCGCTCCTCCGTCCATCTTATACCGTTTCTGCATAGAACAGAAGCACAGCGCAGCACCCTGGATCTGCCCTGTGCCTTAATTAATGCGAGTTAACAGTGACAAGCACGCTGATCTGATCAGCAAGGGCCCTCTGTGCAGCCACATGGGACGAGTCCCTGCTGCATAGATAGGTAGGCGGTTATGTAAAATAGTTGCATGGCGCGTCTCTGCTCGCTCGCAATCCCCTGCTGCTGCTACTGCTGTTCTCCTCACAAGGGGGCAGAAGAATCAAAAGAGCGGGAGCACGACGTCGAACTGCAGCCGTAGTAGCCGTAGATAGCAGAAAGCAGCGGGGATTTCCTTCAAACACGCCCCCTAAAGACCGAGGGGAATTCCGCAAAATGCAGTGGGAAGAGCCGTAGGTGGGGGAGAATCACACACACTTACAGACTACGGAGTTATCTACTGCATTTCGCTCTGGTCTGCAGACAGACTAGAGATGCCCATGTGCTACTCTACGGGCAAGCTAAGCTGGGAACGAAAACGGGGGGGGGGGAAGGGAGGGGGGGATCGCAAATCTCGCAGCAGCAGATGCCAAAACGTCGGAGCCGAAACGAACGAGGGGGAAGAAAGACGAAACATACTGTACAGTACGCAGAAGAAGGAGAGTGAGAGGGGGGCGTGAGTTGAAGAAAAACGAGAGAAATAATCGAGGCAATGACGCAAGTGCTTGATGCTTTACGGGCGACGACTACGAGCCCGTGATCTGTTGGAACCCATCACCCGTCACTGTCACGATGTCGCATTGTAGTAACCCCCATCCATCCTTTTTTCCCCTACACTACACATCTTTTATCTGGAGATAAGCTTCCCGTGGAGCTAGAGCCAGCATTTGTAGTAACAGGACAGAGGCAAGCTCCAAAGGCGGAGAGGCGTCGCGGGAGTGGATGGTCTATTTCATGTCAAAGGCGCCAAGGCGGCCCGTATCGTATTGAGCCCTCACATGAGAGAAAGAAAAGGAAGGGTTTATACTGTATTTGCAGCTTCAAAAAGGTCCAATTGGATGGATGCTTCACCTCACCTCATCTCACCATGTTTGAGCGAGATGGCGCGCGTCTTGTGCGACGGGATCTACGTGCTTCTTCTCTTGTCTTTCGCTTTTCTCCATTCTCCCCCCCCTCCAGAATGCGATTTGGGGTGTCATGCGCGGGCTGCCGCGGGATAATCGCTGAAATACAGGTACACTAGGCCTGGGAACTAGCAGCAAGTGTGATGGAACGGCAGGGCCCAGATGTGGACACTAGTTGGGGTTCGATGGGGAGCAGGGGTGGCGGCTCTTCTTTTGTCGGGTTCTGCTGCTTGTTCGCTTTCTCTGAGAGCCGCTCGGCTGCTGATCAATCAAAGAAGCTGCCCCTTCCCCTTCGGAGTTTGGGAGCGTGTAATCCATACGGGCAAGTAATGCGAATAATCAAATTGTCGAAAGCAAGCCGGCAAGCAAGGGAACAGTCAAGCCCAACAAGGGCTCAATGCAATGGGAGAGCAGATCCGGTCAGGCCGGATCGTCCCCCTTTGTAGGATTGCACGCATTGGCCCATTTGTTGCGAGCGTTCTCCCTTGTTTTCTAGGCTTGCTATCAATTCCATTTCCAAAATCAATAGCAGAGCTCCCGAGGCAAGCGAAGCTGATCTGAGCTGTCAAGCGAGAGCGAGTGCGAGTGAGACTGACGAGAGACGATGACGACTGCTGATGGAGGGGGGGAGGGAATCATCATGGCTGAGCGATCCGAGAAAGCCAATCCGGTTCAGTCCAGCTTGGACCGATCGAAACCCAATTGACAGCCAGCTGTAGATGGAGAGTCAGATAGATAATTCGTCTCAAGCCTCTTTATCGAGAGCAATATCTTACTCTTACTGCGCTGAATTGCTCCAGCCGAGAGGAGAGTCGAACTCCATTAACTCCATTAATCACTTATTGCTCTTTTCTGTCATCTGTCGAGACACGCGCGGAAGAGACGACTTTCTTTAAAGCCACCCCCCTCCATTCTCGGTGATGGATCCTCCCTTCTAGTCTCTCTCTTTTTTTCCCCCACACTCACCAGACCCCAACTAGAGTGGTCGAACCGCCCGCCACAAGCGGGCTTGGGAGGCATCCGCTGGGATGACGTTGACGTACGTCTTGTCTTGTCTCTGGGTCTATTTTCACATGGGCGCTGAAATCGAGAAATCGGATTTGAATCGATTGACGGATGGATTCATGGGATTGATTCGATTTGGATTGCTAGGGCGCAAAAGGAAGAGGGATCGCCGTGTTTGGGCATTCCAGCCGCGCCGGGCTGGAATTCCTAGAAGAGAAAAAGAAGAGACGTTAGCTCCCAGCCCTAAGAAAAGAACAAAAAGAAAGGAAAAGGAAAACAAGTCACCAAGGCAGCAGAGTGCCAATTCGCCTGCTCCCAATTGATGCCTACCGGCATGACGTATGTCAGATCAATAGGACTGCAGTGGACTAGCAATGGAAAAATGAATGATAATAGAGCACTTGAGACTCCAATGGAATCAATTTAGGGAGCGTTAGCTTATCGATAGAACGGCTGCCTTGGAGCGACAGAAGCTCGTGGGATTTGCCGCCTAGGCCAGGTCAAGGCAAGCCAAGTCGCCAAATCGAATATGCATCCCATTTGCTTCGGCTCCCCTTCTTAGTTGCCTTTCTCTTTCTTTTTCCCATCGTCAGCCCCATCCTTGTGACTCACTCTCGTGCTAGAGCAGGCGGAGCAAGGCACCTGGCTGGTTAGTGTCTCTGCGTTGAGTGGTTGGCTTGTGTCAATGTATCATGCACGCAGTTTATGCTTCTCAGATCCAGATTCTCCTCCTCTATTTTTTTTTTAATCTGTCTACACCCCCCACCCTGGTCTTGTTTGTTTTCTGGTCACTGTGTGTCTCTCTGAGTCCTGTCTGTGCCTCGCTTTCCCCCCTCCTTCCCCCCCTCAGTTTGCGAGTCAAGTTGTGGTCGAATTGGTGGATTGATTGGCAAAGCTGACCTTGATTTCTCTTCCTCTAGAGTAAGTGCGGCCGAGCGAATTCTATCGCATATCGTATTTCCAGCTGAGACAAGAAAACGGGGTGTTTATATATATTCGATACCTGTTGCAGGCTTACACGCTCGCTGTAATGGAGGGCAGAGCTCAGGTGGACAGAGTCACGCGAGGGACGGTGTGGATGCCGAGGCGTGAGCCATTGGCCAATGGATTTGGCCTGCGTGCCGCCGAGCTTGGCTACTGGCCAATTGACCCAGGAGCTGCTTTGTGCTGCCACTCTTGTCCTTCAGCTTCCCTAGGCAGATACCGAGCGTGCCTCCGATAGGATAACGACGGTGGACGTGGGAAGACAGAGGACCTGCAGCTCTTTTGCCTGTGTTTATGGGAGCAAGGCTCTAGTGATTATGGGGACTGGGGAGGCTATGTAGGAGGACAAGTTGCAGGGACACTGAGGGCTGACGAGGATGCGATGGGAATTGGCTGATTTGATTCGACTGGCTGATTGCTTTCTGACAGGCATAGGACGGGCACTGCATTGCGCAGCCGGTGAAGGCACGCAGCAGCAGAGGCCTCTCGCATACTGACAGCGAAGAAGAGAACAAACAACACAACAAGACGAGCAGATGCAGATGCAATGCAACCCGAAACACAGTACGTGCGCCGTCTTTGACCAGTAGATCCGTGCCAACGAGTCATAGTGTCTGTTTGGCTTTTGATTTTCTAATCTGTTTATCCGCTGTTCAGCTTCGTTTGCTGTGCATTGCTGAGCTGTACACAGAATGTATGACTCCAGTCGACACTAACAAAGAAACAAGCGCCAGCCAGTCGTTTGCTGCTCACCAAGCTAAGCCTCACCTCGCCCGTTGCAAAAGTCATACCAAGCAAGTGCCAGCAAGCAGCATGTGAGATGCGAGAGAGCACAACGTACGCACAAGAAACGAAAATCATGTCCACGTCTACGCTAACACACACAACGGCAGCAATGACTGTTTCAAACGACATGCCTCTTGCGATTGGGCTGCCCGGCTAGTGGCTGCCCAGAATAGGTAGTCCGGCTCGTTGGGCATCAGGCACCAAAACTTGACCGAGAGGGGGTCCCGACCAGGGGCTTTGGTTCTTGTTGGTCAAGTCTTTGGTTCTTAGGCTTCTTCTGTCCACGGTTTGTCACGGTCAGAGAGTCAGTCAGTCGAGTCCGTCCGTCCAGCTAACGAGGGGAGCCCTGCCATTTGGGAATCCTTGCGCAGGACTGTCTTTTCTTGCCGGTGCTGATTGATGCCTTTTTGCTAGGAGGTATTTGATTTCATTTTATCTATTTCTGATAATTGATTTCTTTTTTCGAACCTTGCCACGGACACACCCCCCCTTTCCACAATCATCGCCGCATTCCGTCAAGTCAGTCAATCGACCAAGCAGCCTAGTCGAGGCAAGTCAGTCAGTCAGTCACCCCACCGGCCCTGCCCACCAGTTCACCATCACCAGTCAGTCAGGCTTGGAGCGCGCTGCAAGTACTTGTAGGTACAGTAGTGCAAGCAGAAGAGCTGAGCTGAGCAGGGCCTGCGGCTTATTGCGCCACTGCCGCCAGCAATGTCGTTTTACTGCTTCTACTGCTTCTACTGCTTCTCCTGCTTCGCTTTGCACTCATTCGCCAGATTGCGAGCAAAGCAATTGCAAAAGTAATTACAGATCCTGTATTCCTGTTACTTCTTCATGTCCTCTTCCCCGTTACTCCTCGCGGCCAATTAACCGAAACAGGCCCCGAACCGTTCCCCCCTCTTCTCTCTCCGTTCCTAAAATCCTACCAGCCGGGTCCAGATCGACCGAAAATGAATATTGGTGCAACACTTCTTTCCTTGTACGCCCAAGAAAAAAAAAAGGCCCTTATCGATGAGGGGTGATAACTCCAATTGCCCCTCCTTTTCTGGGCTGGTACTTTTTTATCGCTGCTATCGCCCGTAATCGCCAAAAGTTGCCCCTCTATCGGCGTTTAGTCTACAATTATCAATCAAACCCCATCACCAAGTTCTTTCTAATTGTTAGTCAACCGGCGGGTTTGTAGGTTCGGTTTCTTTCTTTCTTTTTCTTTTTCGACTTTGGGCGGCATTGCTAGTGCAATTGAGTTTTTTTTCTTCTCGCAGGGGCAATGGCATGAACTTGCAGATCCGAATTCCTGCCACCATCTAACACGAGCAAATCGCTATGGTGGACTTACACACTGATTTGGATCAATTTGCAGGGCTTTACTGTAAGTTTGTAGGACCGCAGAGCACGGGCAAGTATCTCCGTCCATTGTATCTTTCCGGTCATTCATCATTCGATTATGATACAATCTTTTCAAACCCTCCATGACGGGGCAATGCTTTCTCGGTACTACTCTATACAATGCTATCGTTCTCTTTTACTTTAGTACTTTTCTCTATTTCTCTTCCTCGCGACGCTCTAGCCGCCGACCATATGACAACCACACCCACTAAAACAGGGCGAATGAGAGGGAAAAAAGGTCCATCTACAAAGATCCTCCCACGCCATGTGATTTCTGCGCGAAATCATGTCGCGCATGTCGTCAATTGACCCTCTTTCTCTCCGCTCTTAGCTTCCTTTGCTATTTTCTTTACGTCTTTGGCAGCTCTTTTCCCCTGTATGTTGAGTTGAAGAAAAGATTGTTGAAACTTAGGGCTAGTTTGGTTTGCGCCTCTCTTGCGGTGAAGCTGCGGAGGAGGCGCTATAAGGGTCCCTCTCCACTAACAGCCGCCGAGCAGAAAGCCAAGTTTAATTGATTGCAGTTCTTAGTCTTCCTGGTAAAAGGGAAGAAGAAGAAGAAGCGCCAATTGCTATTTTAATTTTCTTCAGCTTTCTACTGCAAACGCCATTCGCAATTGGCGATTTTAAAGTTACCGTAATTCCAACTTTTTGCATGCTGATCCAAAATGGTCGTACACGATTGATTTCCTCTGTACAGCATCTAGATCAACTAGAAGCAAATAAAAAACAAAAAGCCACTATCCTTCCAGCTGGGTACTGGATTCCATCAAGAGGGGAGGGGTAGGCGGAAAATCAAATCAACGCTCAGCCCACCCCTTTGGCCTTGTCCGGTGTGCCTGATGACCGCCGCCTGAAGGCCGCACATGACTGGGTCCCGAGTGAGATGGAGAGGGGAGTGGGCGTAGCAACAAAGCTCTACTCAAGTGCGTGCGTGAAGAGAATGAAACTCTCCGTGCAGAAGAAAGAAGCTGCCAATTTGATGTTGTTGGGGTCCCGAGATACCTTTTCAGGAGGGTGGATGGCGGCATGCATGCAAGTACTGGTGACCTGCTTCCATATTCTGTCAATTGGTTTATACAGACAGCTGCTGCTTTCTTCTGCTTCATCTTCTTCATCTGCGTCTGCCTTATTGACAGGCAGCAAGCGTTACACGATCACTAATATGACGCGTCTTCACTGCCCAACGCCAGCCAGTCGATAGGCATCAATTCGCTTTCAATTGGGCCAATTCCCAATTGCCTCGCTGCTAAGCCTTACCACAGATTCATTCGTCCTCTAAACTCCCCGTTATTTCCATCTATAGCAGGGCCATGAAGTCACAGGGACGCCTCCATGACGGGATTCGGGCCAAGGCCAGCCGTACAGTACATGCTACACGCGCGGCCCTGCAGGACGCCACCCAGAGTCAGGGTACTCCATACCTTAGTCGATGCCACTAAAGAATCCCGGCCGTAGTAACCCATGTCTGCATTTTGTCTCGTCCGTCGATGATGCAACTGATTCCCTTTTGCATTTGGGCCGTAACTTTTTATAGCAAGTCCACCACGTTGTTGCAAGGCCTTTTTATGCAGTCTCGTACAGTACATGCTGCACTTACACATGTGCAGTCTGGCACAATGGAGATCGCGGCGGTTCCCGGGTGGTACCTCGCAGAAGAGCGAAAAGACGCAGGTCCTTTTTTTTTTTTTGTCTTGTCGCTCTCAATATCAATTGATCATTGGGTAGCTATTGTCTTCCCACCGCTACTTGGCAGCATGAATAGAAAAACGTCATGATTGATTGAAGTGAAGCGAGAGTGAGGAAAAAGGGCGGTCATCTCTGATACGAAGGGCTCCATGTTTCAGCATTCCCACAAGACTCATGATTGTACAGAAAGATGAGAATAGGTAGAATGATTGATTGATTCCTATCCACACACCCCCTTTTCTCATTCGCTCCCCCTGGTCTGGCATCACTGCCTCCTCTCCTTCCTTCTTCCTCCGTATCATAAAATAGAAACGACACATGAGGAAACATGGTGTGTAGCCTGACCGCAGCGCGACCTCCCAATCATGGCCCGCCTATTTGTTAGACTGCTTGTGTGTCGCTTCTGCGTGTAGATTCTGCGCTGGATGCATGCGCCGCTGAGGAGCAACATGGGCACATGAGTGCGTATACTGTATGTATGCGTACATGTTCAGGTTCACACAAGTAGATTAACGGCGCTATCTGCGGATCAAAAACGGCGAAGATACTTTGAGGCGACTAGCAGCAGCAGCAGCGCCACCAAGCACAAGACTCAGCTCGCGCGTAGGCAGCAAATATGAAGCCTACAGCACCTACTAGGTAGAAGCAACAGCACAAGCAACAACACAAGCAACATGGACAGCCAGACAGCGTCTCTTGTCTGATACCGCTATCTTATATACACACCCCCCTCCTTTCTTGGCTTGTCAGTCGCTCAGCCAGAAACCCAGCCAGTCACAGGCACTACTCCATCAGGACTAGCATCTCCAAAGGCCCCAAAGCTATTCCTCAGCAAATCCGCCATCCCATGCGACTTATACACCCACCCCCCGATGTTCCCGCTCGCTCTTCTGCTAATGCTGCTCTAAGCTCCTTCCCCTGCGGGGGGGCGTGGGCACTTCCTGTGGTGCCTGCATCTGCATCAGGGTCTCGCCGGCCGCCACATCACGGCTTTTTAATACCAGGACGCTTCCTCCTCGTCGGGTATCAACAGTGATTCACTGCTTCTCTCGCTTCTCCAAGGAAGTAGAAGCGCCGAGTGATTTGGACCTTTTGGCCGTTTGTCTTTTTCCCATTTGACTTGTGGCTTCTGGCTGAATCGCCCCTTGGGTCCCGTGCAAACCAAGAAAAAGTCTACTTGTTCCAGGAGCGAAGTTTAGGAGCAAGAAATACCCCCATAACGTCGAAGAGTGAACAAAAGGCCGCCAAAGAGTCATCAGTCCAGGTGTCGGACCGCCAGGTTTTTTCTTTTCCTCCTTCTATAACTGCTGCCTCCCTCTCTCTGGACGCAAATCAAACACAAAGCAAACACAAACCGCAACGCTGCAGATTTCGTCTTCAGCTTCGCCTCACCTTGTAAACCCTCCTAGCCACCGAGTCTGTACCTGCAGCTTCTGCCGGGGACAGATCCATTTGATCTTCCGCAGTCAATCTTGCCAATTGCATCGTCCGCAACGCTCAATCTACCCAGGACCAGAGCAATCGGAGCCATCTGCCGATCCATTCGGCGCACATCACCACCATCCTTCTTCCTTCTTCAGCCAGCGCATCTTTCCAATCCCTTGAGTGAGGGCCTGGATTATCGTTTGACGAAGCGAAACCTGCCACTAGAGGTGAAAAGGTGAATTCTATCCCCCAACGCCACAGCACGCTTTGCTTGAATGGAACCTGCCTGTTCCATTCATTCATCCACTGCTTTCCGCTCAATTCGCCTTCCCAATCTTTACTAACTTGCCGTCGCCAGAGTGACAGCAGATATAACCCCCAAAGAGCCTCTCAATCTGGCTTTTTCTCTTCCTCTTCTTCCTCCTTTGCTCGCCGTCACCATCATCAATCAACTTCTACACACACACATCCCCACACTAGCTGTCAGAGGCGGACTTTGACAAACCACAAAGCCAATCTCAACGGCCTTCTATCTCCGGCTCAACGCTAAATTCCGAAAGGGCTGTGTGAACTGATTTCACATCAAATCCAATCTGTCCAGCCGACCCACTGTGTTGCCTGCGTCGATACGGCCTTTGCCACCGGCCCAAACCACGTCAGACGGGTCATCGCCATCTAGGAATGGCTGACAAACCCGCCGCAAGCCACGCACGTTTCCGCGCCGCCCAGCAAGCTTCCACTCAATTCGACCATATCCTGTCTCAGAAGTCGATTTCTTCTGATTCTCTGCATCTTCACTCTTCTCTCTCTTCTCAATCACAATCTCAATCTCAATCGCAGTCCAGAGTTCAATCCTCCACCCTGGCCCCTTCTCCTATTCCCGGCTTGTTCAATAATAACCGCCAATCGGCCATTGAATCTCGCACAATGGCCGCCAATTTCCCCCACAGCGACTCGTCCGCTGTCGCTCAGCCAGCACAAATGGCTGCCCCGGCGCCACCCAAGGCCAGCAGCAGGCTGGACATTAGCAATCTCATGTCTCCCCCTGAGAACCTGCTCGAGACTTTTAACCAGGTCAAGGCCCGTCGTCAAGATTCAAAGACGCTCAATGAAATGACTTCAGTCCTCGCCACCATGTCGGCAAACAGCGGCCGCTCTGCCTCGGTGTCTGACAAGCTGCCGCTGCCCATGTCGCCGCCCATCTCGCCTTACACCAAGTATGCCTCCAGCAGTGCCAGCAACGCCGACAACACTCCAAGCACGCCGCAGAGCTCGACGATCCAGGATCCGGTACTCTATCCCATTGATGAGTCGTCGCCATCGGGCCTGCCACAGCCGCCATTGTTTGCACCTGTCGAGGATGAAGACACTCATATGCAAATCGTCGACGACCATGTCCGAGCTCTCAAGTCCACTGCCAACATCTTTACTGTTGTTCCGCCTCCACGCCGTGAGGACTACAACCTGATGATCTCCATCAAGTCACAGGTCTTGAAGAACTTCAACAACAACCCCAGAGCATGGCTGAAGAATGAGCGAGCCTATCTCAAGGCCGATCGCGAAGCCGCCATTGGAGCTCGTCGTCTGCCTGCTATCCAGCCAGCCAAGCCCATTGCAGCCAAGCCAGCCCGATCTCAGCGCGCTGATCGAGTGCTTGATCGAGTCACCAGCCGGGTCTCCAAGCCACAGGCCCCGCGGCCGATTCGCTCCAGCGGTGGTCCCAATCCTGCTGCAGCTGTTGCTTCCAACGTTTTGGTTTCGACTCTTGCTGTTGCTCGAACTACTGCTGGTCGACGTCGTCCCAGTGCTACGCCGGAGCCATCTCGACGCATTGTTGCCCCCAGCCGCGAGGACAAGAACTTCCAGATGCTCCAGGACTTCTGCCCGCCTCTTGCTTCTCTCTCTGACCGTGCTGCTGCCCAGCTCAAGCCAGACTGGAAGGGCCAGCCCATCGACCTCAGCAACGACCCCAACCGCAAGCTGCTGCACCCTGCTGAGCTCAACCTCGCCAGCGGTCTTCGTCTGGACTGTGCCACGTACCTCACCAGCAAGCGACGCATGTTTATGCGGCGTCTCGAGCGCTTCCAGAACGGCAAAGAGTTCCGCAAGACTGATGCCCAGCAGGCCTGCAAGATCGATGTCAACAAGGCTTCTAGACTCTGGACTGTCTTCAACAATGCTGGCTGGCTCGAGCCTCACTGGATGGTCCCATTCAAGGACTTCAAGATCGAATCAACCACCCGATAAATCGTTTATTGCTCAGCCGCCTGATTCTCGTCTTCTACTCATCCAAATCTCATGTCCTTGTTAACGCCAATTATTCCGCTCTTATCCCGCTACATGACTTTTTACGACGTCTATCGAAATGATTTCAATGGAACGAACAGTTTGACTGCTTTAGTAAGAGCTACGACTGCTTCCAATCTCGCACTCGCATTTTTCTTCCCCATCCCCCAATTACCCTTCTTACTGTTTCCTTCTTGCTCAAATTCGTTTGCTCTGGCTGCTCTGTATTTGTTGACCGTAAGAATTCTTTGTCTCAGACGATGAATTTGCAGGTCGCCGTATACAACGCAGCCCATGCACATTTGAAGCTACTCTTTTTTCACCCCTATCAACCTTTTTATGTTTTCCTTTACTTTACACGATACACTGGTATCCTACTGGATTAGGGAATTGGTTTTGCATTGTTTTCTAGCACAAGGATCGTACACATACACCAAGCATTCGGGGGATTTTTTTCCATGATACCCAGTGGGCGAATGCGCCAGCCTGTTGGCGCCGCCCCATACACGATTTCTTTTGTCGTTTGAGTATTTATTTCTTGATTCACTAGGTATGGGAGGCTACTGCTTGTTTATTTAGCCCTGATTTCATTAAATTCCTTGAATTCTTCTTTACAGAAATTTCCTCTACTCCTTTGATACGACAATGAGTTTGGTCTTTTTTTATTTTTGTTTCTTTCTTAAAGCCCCGCTTAGGGACATGGATTTAGGATGAGATTCAGGGACGAGAGTCCTATGCATACGTGCACGGCGTCGAATATTTTTTCCTCCCCACTTTGAATCTTTTTCTTTGTTTCCTGCATTCAACTATACCACTCGGTGTGCGGAAGATTGGAAGACGATGGGGGTTGCCTTGATGGTAAAACCCGTGGACCGAGCACAGCCGAATCGATTTAGCTGGAGGGACGGAGGGAGGCATACATTTGCTGTTTTTGTACAGGGTTTCTTTTTTTCTCTTGAGGCAGATCATGGCATGATGGACTGCCTCGTCTGACTTTATGAAAGGCTCTATTGGAGGTTTTGTAGCGAAACCACACAGGTTACGGGATGCTTTTTTCGCTGAGGAGATCATCTAGCTGTGGTCTACGCCTATTCCTCAGAGCTGAAGTATCATGTTAGTTTAGGGTTATGTTTATCTCGAATCAAGACAATCAGTATCAACTGCAATCAGAACTAATATGTGATTTGTGATACAGCCTCCACCATCCTTCCACAGCGTAGTAATAGACGTTAAGCTGCTTGAAGATTCTTGCCGCCTTGGGAGTGGCTCTCAGCCCTACCACACAAGAAGATCCGATCTTGCCAGATCTGAATCGCAATCTCCAGAGCTGCAGCGCGATCTCAAAACGGGTCCTGCAAGATCAAGAGGGGCGCATCTAGTAGCATCCAAGTTTTAAAAAAAGAAACAAGGTCAAGGTTCATCTCGGGAGTCGGGTGAAGAAAAAAAATTTCATCACTCTTACAATCAATCGTGTGTGTGTATCGGGCTGCAGCAAGATCGGACAAGGATTGGGGGTCGACGACGAGTTCTGAGTGGACAGAAGGACGGCATATTTTTATTTTTAAATTTTTAAATTTTTGCTAGCTATTTTTATATTTTTGGCATGGTATGGTGGAGATGACGAGAAGAGGACCAGAGGCGTAATTCCGCGTTTGTACTAGGTCTAGGGGACGGGCCGAGGATGGAGACTGAGAAAGAAATCTCTTTTTTTTTTTTTCTTTTCGAGGCTAGTTTATTTTTGAGGTTTGATGGACACGATCTGTCTATCGATAGATAAGGGTAGATTGGCGTTTTTGACGAAGGATCGTTGGATGTAGCGGTTCAATTTATCAATAATCTGTAAACTATCGCACTATTTCGATACTAGCAAATGTAGTGTACCGCATGGATCTATTGTCCTCATTGTCATCAGAAATCACATAATACCACCGTCTGCCTTCCTTCAATTTTCCCTTTCGATCATCCATTAAAACAATCCATCTAAGGCTGCCTGACAGATAGAAAATACACACGAGGAATGGTATCTTCTAACTGTGCCTGACTATATACCTGGTAAAAGCAATATTGGTACAATCCGAAGTTTATTAAAACGACAATATGCATCCTTCTTGGAATTTCCACACTCCTCTTATCGTACACGCTCAAATGGCTGTTTTCTAACGAACTTCGATATGTTGCACCGCAGCGAGCCACTTCTTCTCATCAGCCCTATAAGAACATTAGTTAGCCAAGAGATACGTAAGTAAAGAATATTCACATTGCAACTTACTTGTCGAACTTGAGGAGCTTGCCCAAGACAGGCACCAGCTGCGCCCTCAGCCTGTTATCCTTTTGCTCCAGGAACTGCAGCAGAATAGTCTTGAGGTACAGCACTTCAGACAGTTCGCCGCCGACTGACGAGGTGCGAGCCGAATCTATCGGCGTTCGAGACGTCGTGCCGCTCGTTGGTGTAGCCGTGGCCGTGGCCTTGGCCTGGATCGCCTTGAGCTCCTTGGACATCTTATCATACATGAGCTGCAGCGATTCGTAATCCTTGCGCAGGGAGGTCTTTAGTTTCTCTCCGTCTCGGACCTGCTGCTCAGAGGCGTCCAAGGCAGATCTTAGCGACGAAATGGTGTTTCGCAAATCTGCAGCCTCGGTCTCGCTTCTGCTCTCAACTGATTCAAGCTCCTGATTGCGGCGGCGCAGGATACGCTCTCGCTCCTCGACTCCCTCACGCTCGCTGCGAAGATCCTTAACCTCCACCTCGAGCTCTCGCACTCGAGACTTGAGCTCTCCGACCGTCTTGACGTTCTTGCGCATCGTGGTGCTGGACTCGTCCTCAAGACGCTCTCGCTCGGCAATTGCCGCCTCCATTCGGTTGCGCATATCCCGGATCTTGGTCTCGGCCTGCTGATCCACGTCTGCAAGGAGCCGCCGCATTGTCTCACCCTCTCGAGTGCGCTCCTGCAACAGATGCTGCACCTCGCTAAGCTCCTCTTCCAAGGATCGAGCCTGGGACTGAGACTCTTTGAGCTGCACCGTCATCTCGGACACCTGATCACGCATGCTGCTTAGCAGACCCTGAGCCGTGGTGTACTGCTTGGCCTTGAACTCAGTCTCCTCCTGGGCTGCCGCCTTCTCGCGCTTCAGCTTATGCACCTGGTCCTCAAGATCGGTCACCCGCGGTCTAAGCTTGGAGATCTCCTCTTGGACCTTGTGCAACTCGCGCTCCACCTTCTCCGACTTGGCACTCAGCTCAATCTTCTCGGCATCGGCCTTTCTAAGGTCTCGTCCTGACACGCGCTGGGCATTCTCCAGCTGGCTCTTTGCTTCAGTCTCTGCTGCCAGCTTGTCCTTAAGAGTCTTGGTCTCTGAGACGTGGTTGGCTGCCTCTTGTCGAGAAGTGGCTAGGTTCCGCTCAAGCTCCTTTGCCTTCTTCTCCAAGTCCTTGACTTCTTTGACCTTGGCCGCAAGCTCCTCTTTGGCTTTCTTGAGCTCGGCAGAGTCCTGGCGTAAACTCTTGACCTCAGGCTGCAACTTCTGCATTACTTCGCGCAGTTCTGTCATTTCCTTGAAGCGGCTTTGCGCTAGCTGCTGCGACGCCTCAAGGTCAGAGGTGACAGTACCAAATTTCTCCTTCAAGTCGTGATAATCCTTGACCAGAGTTTTCAGTTCATCTTGAACCTTGGAGCTGGCATCGGCTGTGGAGCCCATGGCAGCAACTTGCTCCTCCAAAGCGGCAATTTCTGCCGTCAACTTCTTCTTCTCGTTTTGGAACTCCTTGATGCGTTCCTTGTCTTCGACGTGATCTTGGCCGATGTTGATCAGGTTCTCCTGCAGATTTTCAATCTCCTCGCGAAGATCTTCCTCGGTCTTGCGTCGTTTGGATAGTCGCTCGATCTCTTTGTCTTTGGCCTCAATTTCCTGATTCAGCTGGGCAATTTGAGCCATTAAGGCAGCGGTATCTTGGCCTTGGGCAGCCGTGGCAGCTTCAGGGGCGTCAGAAGCTGGAGGAGCGGGAGGGGCAGGAGTGTTAACCGGCGTGCCTTCTCCAGCCTCACCTGCAACTACAGAGGGAGTAGCAGAAGGAGTAGCAGAGGGAGCGGGACTAGCAGCTCTGCCACCGCGGCCCTTCTTTTTCTTATTCTTCTTTTTGTTTTTGCCGCCGCCCGTCGTCGGCTGCGTAGCTTCAGATGGAACTTCCAGAGAATCGGAAGCTTGTGGTGGAGCCTCTACAAAATCAGAAGTTTGTGGTGGAGGAGATCCTGGGGGTGGTGGAGGCGCAGGGGGATCTTGGTCTCGGGCCTCAATCACATCAGCGAGCTTATCAACCGTGGCTTGGAGCTCGGCCTTGTCCTTCTTCAACGAGTCAATTCTTATTTTGAGCTCGTCAATCACGGCGGTAGAGATCGTCTTGGCCGCGTCTGCTTTGCTAAGTTGATTGGCCATGTCAGTAGCTTGGATCTCCAGCTCTTTGTAGGCGCTGTCTCCTTTGGCAAGTCTGTCGACCAAGGTGGCCATTTCACCGCCTCGGGCATATAGTTGATCCTGGAGAGCTTCGTTTGCTTCATAGGCTCCACGAAACTTGTTCATGTCTTCGGTATAATGCTCCATGCTCTTCATCAAGTCTGCCTTTTCTTCGCGAGCAGTGGAGAGCTTTTGCGCCAGATTTTCCACCTCAGCTTTGAGCGTCTCAATCTGTTCATCTTGCTTGGCAGAAGGGACATCCCCCTTCGAGCTGTCAACTTCAGCTTCAGGTGCTTCAGCTTGCTCTTCTTTCTTGACGTTGGAGAGCTCTTGCTGCAGGTTTTCCACTTGCGTTCTGAGAGACTCAGCTTTGAGAGATTCGGCTTCTTTGTCTTGCTTGGCAGTAGAGAGCTCTTCCTTCAGACTGTCCACCTCAGCTTTGAGCGTCTCAATCTGTTCATCTTGCTTGGCAAAAGAGGCATCCTGCTTCGAGCTATCAACTTCAGCTTTAAGTGCTTCAACTTGCTCTTCTTTCTTGACGTTGGAGAGCTCTTGCTTCAGGCTATCTACTTCAGCCTTGAGCGCTTCGATTTCTTCCGTCTTTGTGGAAATCTCAGCTTGGAGCTTGGGAACCTCGTCATCATAGGAAAAGAAATCTCCATCATCTCCTTCAGATTTGTTGTTGTCCCTCTTGCCTGGCTTTTCAGCTTTGAGTGTATCAACTTCGGCCTGAAGCTGCTTTATCTTCTCCTCGTGCTCCTCGTTCTTCTTCATCAGCTCTTCTTTCTCGACAGAAACTCGCTTGTGCTCCTCCATTATCATGCTTTCCTTGAGTTTCAGCTGGTTGAGATACTCGAGAAAAGACTCTGGGTCGCCAATAGTGGCCAGAGGTGTATTCTCGCGAAGCGCTTTCTCGAAAGGCTCGATGGCAGTAGCGCGGCGATGCGCAACCCGGTAGGATCGTAAAAGTTCTATAGCATGGTGCTGTTAGCTCTTTTGCCTTTCTTGCTCTCTTTTGGTGAATATCTGTCTTTCAAATTTCAAAGACCACATACCAGGATACGTGGCTTCAAGCTTTTCCAGCTTGCGAAGCTTCTGCTTGAGCTCCAGAGTCAACACCGGCTTGGTCGTATGGGCAGCTCCTTCGCCTGCAGCATGGCCCTCGCGCGACGAGCCTTCCTTGCCATCGCCACCAGAGTTTAATTTTTGTCCAGCTTCAGCGTGGACAGTAGATTCTCCGTTCGGCGTGTCCTTCTCAGGAGGCACAGGAGGCTTGGGAGTTCCTGCTCGACTGGGCTCGTCGCCATCGTCGATAACGAAAGCTGCTTCGAAAAAGGCAGGGTCAGGGTTTGGGGCAGAGCCTCCAGCATCAGAGTCTGGGTTCTTAGATCGAGACCGTCTGCCTGCGCCACCCTCATTTGTTCGCGATGTCGACGAGGCAGATCTGGACATGGGGGAGCTCGCCTCAAGCGCCTTTTGCTGGCGGGCTTGCTCCTCCGCGATGGTGCGGTCGATGGCTCCTTTGATTCGCTGCAATTGGGCAAGTCACGGCCAGTTAGCGAGATATGCTCTTCTTCGGGTGCTTCTCTCCCTTTTCAGGGTGCACACGAGCTGAGGAAGCCACTTACTTGGAACATCGCTGCGTTGGGGCCACCTTGCCAGATGATGGTGAAGCTAAAAAGCGTAGATCGTCGAGGCTTCGTATCAAGGCAAGGCACAAGGCTGGAGTGGGATGGGAAAGTGACATCCAGTTCGGTCTAGCTGCATTGGGTAATTTTTGGACCTTGAAAAGGGCTTAGAGAAAAGCTAAAGCGCTGAACTACAGCGGCTAGGCCACTGAAAGTATAGCGAGATGTCACAGAGTTATAGGGCAGTATATCGCTATAACATACCGCCCTGATATTAAGTGCTGCCCTGATATGATTTATCGTGCGCAGACGCTGCATATTGCTTTTACTACACCAAACGGTTGCTGTACAATCGGTTACAATCATGCATCTAATCAAGCAATGTATCTATTTGATTTTCTCTTCCTCTATACGAGCAGTATCATTTTAGGTCTAATTTATGGTCCTTGAGATGCGAACGCAGTACGTAATTGGCGTTTCACAAGATCCTACAGAAACCTAGATCACTAGTGGACGCCCTGTTCTTTCCCTGGTAGAGGGCAGGAGCAACGCACCTCAACAAATGAGCTTCTCACTTCTTCATTACTTCTGCTTGCATGAATAATGAAACAGGGAAGAGCAAAAACTTGTTCGTTCCAAGTTCTTTCTCTCCAAACTCTCCAAACTCTTCTCTTTTTTTCCTTGAACCTCAAATCATCCATCCTCTCTCCTGCTGCCATACCAAACTCAGCTGCCTATGAGGAGTCCTCAGCAAACTTCAAATCCAGTATTGCTAGTGAGTAATTCTCCTTTACTGACGACGTTTATCTTGTTCTCATCTCTTGTCATCATAGTCATCTTCAGCGGCGCCGGCTTGGTTCAGACTCGCCACGCGGATTCAGCCGAGGACCTCTTCAACACACCCATAATGGAACCACAAAGGGACTCCTCTCGGCCACAAGGCCCAAACGAGCCCTGTATCAGTATTTATCGTCACTACCTCTCCATTCTGCAAAGGAGACACCAACCCAGTTGCTACATCCGATCGATGTGATAGCTGTTTCTCAGGCTCCTTTCCCAGCCCTAACCCTCCATTATTTGGGAGGTTCTTTGTGGTGTTTCATTTGTAGGTATTCTGTGTTGAAGTTCAAGAGATATCTAGTTATCTCAGTGATATTAGTTGCATCCTGGTTAGTGGTTTCCCATAAGATGTCAAGATGCCGCTTACATCCGCTCCCTGATCGAGAGGGGTTAGGGCGCGAATATAGGCGGTTGAATACCGTGTGCTAGTGGCAGTAAGTTGATTCCATTTTCCTCAATCTTGCATATTGCTAATCATAAGACTAGGCCTTGACTTTCTCGCACAAGCGGCAGGAATGTCGGACTGAACAATTGCTCAGCCAGGATATGACAAACCATACTTGCCTGCAATACTGCCTCTCGCGTGGAAAATCACAATACCAATCACGGTATCTCGTCATTCAAATCTGGAATGTTCACAGGTGGCCAAACAATAGGTTTGAGCGCATCATTCACCAGACCTGTTTTTCAACGAGAATCCAGCCTTATCGATGATATTTGGATGTGATCAAAGGCCCTCAAAGGCGAAGTATGGGTGAGCCCCCTTCAAGTTCAAACAGTTTTGCAACAAGACGGAATGTCCAACCAGATCTCCCAGAACGACAACACCGCCGCCAACTCCCGTTCCTTCAAGCCCCGAAGAGCGTGCGCTCTACTGCTACAACCTTTTTTCCTTACTGCCCCCCTTGATTCACCGTATAGACATAGTAGTCGAATTCGAAAGGAGCTGGATAATACTCTGTTAGCAATCAGTACAACAAGCATCGAAGAATAGACAGAAGAGATAAGGTGCATATATACGACTTACTATCTATCGACTATACTAGCCCTGAAAAAGATTGATGTTCTAAACTCTGAGCCAAACAGAGGGCGAAACGCAAGACCATTGTCATTCCGATGGCTATCGTATGGATGAAGCCGGAAAACAATTGATGGCGAAGGATGAGGATGCCGCATCTTGGGAGTTTCTTCAGGCTAAGAACCTCACCTGCTCGGTGGCTCTTACATACGACAATGAGCAGTAAGAGTAATTCAATATCAAAAGATAATGATCAACTTGAAACACGAAATGGGTAGTCGTGATCACTTCTATTGCTTCTCTGTGAAAAGTCTATCGTGGGCTGCAATAAACTCCCGCCCAGTCTTCAGCCATGTCCATCTTTAGTAGTTCACTAACTTGTAGTAGATATCTGCCCCATCTTAGCTAGGTTACAGCTTTCGATGTTACAACCTAGCAAATAGCTTGAGATGACAATTGCCACTCAGGTTTAGGCACCACGCTGATCAATTTGATTTTCCGGCAGTCACGGTACAGGCCACGATCAAACGACGATCAATTTCATCAAGGACAGTCCCAGCGCAGATCGACAGGCTTGCAGCCGGTTAGCTTCAGCGCCATAATCGAACCAGATTCCCCCACAACGGGCCGACCCGCTGTGGCAGCCTGCCAAATCCTACCCTAAATGTTGCAAACATTCCGAAGTAGCCTCTGCTAGATTTTTGTTCTCCATCGACGATCCATGACTATAGTGGCCTATCTTAGCTGACAGTTGCTCTTTGTGTACGGTTTGCTTTGCTTGTGGTTCCCTGGCGGGGGCATGTCAGTGTAGGCTGCGGTTTCAATCGATAACATGGCTTCGGAAAAAATGCTCGTGGCGTTGGCTCACCTAACATAAGTATCAGCTTTACAATGCTTATATCCGACAAACAATTGCGATTCTTTCGGGATCCAGCACCCGATAAACAAGAAGTGCTATCAACTTGATCAACCAACGACCCACAGGGAAGCCCAGCGTTGCTATAAACGCTGCCTAAGACAAATGGCGAAGGAAGCCAAGAAACCCTCTTCTCGATGAGTACTGCTTTCAAATATCGCCCATTGCGCCTCTGGCATGGAGTCTTCACATGGACGTTCTGGTATTGTGGGCATCTATTGATTTCCTCAAAATCATGCTATCCTACGACGGATGATATGCTAATTAAAACTGACTTTTGTAGATCAATACTCCATGCTCAAATATCAGCGTTCTACAAAACTATTTGCCATTTATCGAAGCTTCAGTCTCCATACGGAACAAGCCGAGCCTGCTAAACCATAAGCAACATTTTCTACAACAATCTGCCACCTCTCCCTTTCCTGTCAGCCGGCTAACCAATTCGATTCCATCACGATAATCATTTCTGCTGCCTGGCATATCTAGAGAGCATCAGTAGTAAGACTCTGTGGGCTTGCGCCAGCCTCTAGAATATCCGCCACAAGATTCTTCCGAAAAACTGGGTTCTGCTTACCAGATTTTTGACACGGCTACGGGCCTTGGCGAGACAAAATGTCCCTTACGTTCTGTCTCTGGCTCTAGTAAGCTCTAGTAAACCTCTCTCTGGATATTCAAGCATGCTACTACAGTGTCAGTTCGTTTTTTGCTAGATTGAGGTGCAATGTGGGAACGGGGCTGAGGATAGCAAAGCAAATCTATCGGCTGTGCTGGATGGGTAAGCCATGCCAAAATCCAAACAATTATTGAATCTGCTCCACCTGGAATGGAATATGATATATTGCATAATCGATCAAAGAAAAGCAGTGGGCGCTTTATTTCTAAAGCTTATTGCACCCAGAACGAGAGTCAGCAGGGCATCACGGCATGATGTTTGTTTGCCTGCCGGTACGATCCTACAGGGATTTTGCTCATAGCCGGGCAATCTATTGATTTGATATTGCATTAGTGCTGCAAGGCTGGAGGGGCTATCTGAAGACGCCCTGAGAACGTTTTTCAATTAGAGAAAGAAGTTACTTCTCGTTGATCCTATGTATCTACGAGTCGATTACTGACTCACCGTGCAGTACCCTGAGTCATGATCAACAGTACAGTACGGTGCATGACATTGACAAGTGGATATCAGGCTTCAACCGAGACCAGCCAAGACAAAAGAGGGCAAGAACTACAAGAGCACAAGGAGCTTTCTCTCCAGACCGGTGAGGGGCACCGGATGGCAACGAAACGCCATTGCACAGCAATTTAAGTTGCCGGCAAAGCGAGACAATCAGTCGGGCCAATCGAATCGATCAACACGAAAATCGCATCATTGGTACAGGGATCACCAGCCTCAGCGGAAGCAGGTGGATCATGGTTGGTCGCCGACCAAGCTCACCGGTCGACTTGCAGGACGCTCGGCTTAAGCGACTGCTACATGGGCATGGATAGAGAGCAAACAAGCCACCGATTGGATCAAATGGCTCCGAGGAGAGCCTCTCAAGCCAATTTGACTCGTGATACTGCTTGGGCTGAATTGGGAGGCGCGTTCGCTGGATATCTTTTATTTTGTCGTCTCCGTTATTACATGCACAGCGAAAAGGAAGAGAGGACGAGCAGCATGCAAGAAGGAGTTTGTAAATGCATTGCATGCTGCTTGATATGCTGTTCGAGTATCAGAGGACAGAAAGCGCAAATCCTTGATGCAGAGGAGCCTGAAAAGCCCCCCAAGGTTGGGCATCTATCTGCACAGCATGTTCGGAATAGTCCGGGTCTAATCAGACAAACTGGGGAAATCCTAGACCAGGAGAGAGTCAGCTGGTCCAGACTTTCACCGGCTGCCTTTGCGTGGGTGGGATGTCGTACAAACTGACCAGAAAGAGAGTGGCTTGATGTACAAAGGCAGGGAGGGAGGGTACATTACACCCAGTGTCTGACCGAGAACGGAGAGGAGAACCAGGCAGCGTAAAAGCCAATGATACCAGCAGAACAAGGTCCTTGCTGTTTCGAAATTCTTGAGGATGTTTGTGTTTGTCCTCGTCAGCAGGTTGGGATATTGTATTCGAGGGATATGCGGGCAGCCGTTGAGCTTGGACGGTGCTAATCCAAGATGGACTTGATGGAAGACGCTTTTGTTCTACTTCTTATAGTATCCAGTGTCTCTACGGCTAATATCGACCTAGTTCAGGTACATCGAGATCTGGAGATTGGCTTATTGGGTACATGAGGTTACAGCTGAGAGGCATACAGTGTCAGTACAGTGAGAGATGTGCCTGCGGTGGTGATGTTCATACCGTGCGTCGCTCCTCCCCAGCAACCTCCGTCGCATCGTTGCCCCGCTTTTATGCGCTTGCCGTCCTACGGAACCGGGGTATCGTATCCGAAGCTGGATCTGCCCAATAAGAGCATTTAGAAATATGGAGTCCTGACATAGTGCCCCACCTACCCGAGACTTTGCTTTTTCAGTTGCGTACTTTGTACTCCATTCATTGGGCCGTATACGTATACGCCATGTGTTGTATTACTTCTGATGAGTTGTATTACTATTAAGAAGCGTCTCCGGCGTCGGGCACGTTCATAAGATGCGTTATATTAGTAGAGATGCATAGGCAGGGGCAGTATTGGTAGCAGTATCGGGACCGCTTTGGGAGTCAAATGCTACAACGCAGGTCAAATCTCGCTGCAATTTATGCCTACATCCTGCCCTGGTTCAAATGCTCTTCCAGGTGTTTCTTGGCAGGTAACCGTAAGCCGGGCATCTTGACATCTCTCTGCCATACTACCCAGTAGACTACTAGTAGTATATATATTACCCGAGTATTCGCTGATCTATACAGCAACATGTAATAGGAAGCACTCGTTTCTGGTAGCTGTTTCAAACCTCAACACGGCGATGACTGCCCAGCACGCCCATCACTCAGTCTCCCACCCTTTGGGCAAATACGCACGTAATACTAGTCCTCGCAAACAACGTCTCCCACGCGGCCACCCCCTCTTTCAGACGCGGCTAGGACCTGCTGTGTCTCCCTACCTATCCAGGTATCAATGCACGATGGCAGCGAATGATACAGGCTCAACAGCCTGGGGACACCGTCTGGCTTGGCGCTGAGGCTGAAGTTCAAGTGTTTGTATGCAGCTGCAGCCAGCCACTTGTTGACCGACAGCCTTGTCCCAGTTGATTGCTTTACTTTTCTTTTCCAGTCCCTACCTACGTTCTTACTCATGGGCATACAGCTTTTTGTGGGAGAGGGGCATCTCTGTCTTCCCTTGCTCCCATCCTTATACTAGTAATATTTTCTACCGCTCCTCCCGCTTCTTCCTTTTCTTTGGGATTTTTCCTCTTCCATTATTTTATGCCGTTGTTATAGAAGCCAGTCTTCTACATCACAAGCATTACTGTATTTGATTTCGTTCCTCTTATCTGACGCTTTTGGGCTCAGACCATCGCCATCATGGAAGTGGACGGGACCAAACCGGGGCTACTCGACATGCCCAACGAGATCCTCATCCAGATTGGAACTCTGCTGGTCCGCCCTGGAGACATCGCAGCTCTCGTGAGGGCCTGTCGACGCCTCAGCAACCTGTTCGGCGACTACTTGTACCGGGATAACGAAAAGAATGGCAAAGGCTCTTGCCTGATGTGGGCTGCCAACCTGGACAAGATTGAGACTTTCAAAAGAGCCATCAGAGCCGGCATCCGTCTCCAAGACCACAACTATCTCGTCTTTGTCGTCTCGTGCAGTGGAAGCAGCCGGGTGGCCGAGGTGGTGCTGGCGTCTCCTGGCGCCGATCCAATGGCTGAAGACACCGACGGATGGACGCCCATGACTCTTGCGGCCAGCTACGGGCACCCGCACATTGTCCAGCAGTTGGTGGAACGCGGTGCCAATATCTCGTCGCTCACCAGAGGCGGCTGGTCACCGGTGAACCTGGCCTGTTGCCACGGGAGATTTGGTGTTGCGAAGCTCCTGTTGGACGGCTACGGGGCTTCGATGGAGTGCGAAAACGAGACTGGCTGGTCGGCACTGCGATCTGCCGCTGCCTATGGTCACACAGAGATACTCAACTACCTCCTTGGGAGGGGAGCCAATATCAAAGTCAGGAATAACGTCGGCTGGACCTGTCTGCACTCGGCGGCTGATGAGGGACACACGAGCGCAGTTCGAGCTCTCCTCGACCATGGGGCGAACCCGGAAGACACTGCTAACCAGGGGTGGACTGCCCTGACTCTTGCTGCCGACAAGGGCCATCACGATACGGTCGGGCTCCTTCTTGAAAGGGGGGTTGACGTTGAGCAGTCGTGCACCAATCAGTGGACTGCTCTTTGCATGGCTGCCGACCATGGCGATGTCTTCATAATCAAGCTATTGCTTGACTATGGGGCAAACGTTGCGGTGAGAGCAGCGGGTGGACTGTTTCCACTCTCTCTGGCTGCGACAAATGGCCATTATCCTGCTGCCAACATCTTGATTCGCTACGGGGCTGATATCCATATGACCACCAACGCAGGCTGGACTCCTCTCATGATGGCCTCGGACAATGGGCATGCCGAAATTGCAAAGCTCTTAATCGACCAGGGCGCCAATCTAGAGGCCAAGAGCGAAACCGGATGGACAGCTCTTGTCTGTGCCGCCGACGGCCGTCACTTATACGCCTGCAAGGTTCTCTTGGGCCACGGCGCCAATGTCATGGCTACGACTCTTGCCGGATGGACCCCGAGCATCAGAGCCGCTCATTCTGGCGGACTTCGGCTTCTGAATCTTTTTATGCGGGTTCCCGGGCTTGACATGGATCATCTCGACAACTGTGGCCGCTCGGCATTCTTCCACGCCGCTATGCGAGGGCATGTCGGCATTGTGAAGAAGCTTCTCCCCCTGACGCAGACAGCCAACCAGAGAGATCGTTTTGGGACAACTCCAATCTTTGCCGCTGCAAGAAACGGCCACCGCCGCGTAGTAGAGCTTTTAATCCAAGCAGGATTAGCAGACTTTGAAGAGAGAGATTTCCTAGGCGCCACGCTCCTTGCCTCGGCCCAGAGATCGAAGAAGAAGCAGTTTGTCAAGTTCCTCAAGCGATATACGCAGCAAGCGGGAATTCCAATCTGGCTGGACGATCCAGCGGGCCAGCGTACGCGATACAAGTATGACTATTCGGCATGTCAGTGTGGCATCTGCGGCCGATCCAGCGTGCATGAGGAGCAGGCGTATGTCTGCGATACGTGCGCTGGCGGGCTCATTATCTGCGCGGAATGCATCGGCTTGGGCCAGATGTGCGAGGATAGCACCCATGTGTGGAGAGCGCACAAGTGTTGTTGGAACCAGCACTTTGGAACGGCGCCCGAGTATCGTCCTGCAAATACGAATATGGATGCAGATGCAGATGCAGATGCTGATGCTGATGAGGCCGTTGGAGTTGATGACAGTGATGGTTTCGGTGCTAATGGCAATGGTGAAGCCATTGATGCTGCCGGTGGCGAGCATGAAATTGGGGATTTTGATATCAGTGAGGATATCGATGATGCTGATGATGTCGATGGGAATGACGTTGGGGGAAATCAAATGGTCACCAATGTTGGTAATGTCTGATGCTAGTGCTTATGCTGGTGGTGACGGTTTTTGATGACAACGAATAGGTACTTTTCTTTGGCTCAATCTCGACGAGGTTCAAATACTTGGAATATACGGGAAATGGGACACGGGATATGGGATACAGAATATGGGATACGAGGAATTAGATTTGGACTTTGGACTTTGGGCGATACATATACAGGCTGGACAGAATGCCTTCTCACGATCAATTCCTATGTCCAGAACCAACAGATCTGGCTTTGTAACAGAAACGGAGCTTTACTAACTAGGAAGTTTGGAGATTGTTATGGCAGCAGATCTTGACTTATTAATTGATTTACACTTTCTTCCCTGTTACAAGATACGATGCCCCCAGTGACATGCCAGATCGTGCATTGCACCAGCGAACAACACGTAAGTAATATGCAAGATCTACCTATTCTGACGCGGTCAGGGTCCCTGAATTTTTAGCGTTGATGGTGGGCAAAGATGCCGATCGGCCAACGGGCGGTGCCTGGCATGGGGAGTTGATTGAAACAAGGATGGCGTTTCAAGGGTTGTATTTTGGTAATATCGCCGGCAGAATGCGGATATGTATTGACTTTAATGGAAAGGAAAATTTAAAGAGCGCAGCTTTTGCTTGATGCCATCTCGTTGCATATGAAGCACAAATGCTACCAAATTCATATGGAGACAAGATCTAGTGGAATTCTCAGGCATTAATACTGAAAACGAACTACCTGCTACTGCCTTGGTACCCAAATCCGATGCTGATGCTGCTGCCGATGACGACGGCCAACAAACAGACACGGCAATTCCTGTTTGGCTGTGGCCACAACTCCCGGCTTCCGGGGTGTCGCTTTTCTGCAGGTGCGCGATGCAGCCGCTGTGGCGCAGCCTCACTAAAACGCCAAACCACAGCGCCTCGTCCCCTATAAACGCGCCTAGCCAAAACAACTGACGTTTGCTACAGGCAAAAAGCCAGTTGAGGTCCTACAGGGGGGCAAGGGCAGCTTCCAGCTTTCTCAATTTACCCCTCCCCACCCCCTTCCACCTGCCCAATGAAGTCACCACAAGCTCATGCCCACCCCAGGAGCTAAGGCTGCAAAGTAGCATCACCTGTCTTTCTGGCCTGTCTCGTGCTTTGCTTCGTGCTAAACGCCAACTTGCTTCTCTCCTCTGGCAACGTCAAGCGCTTCTCTTTGGGCGAGGCTGGCGACACAGAAGGAAGAAGAAGAAGAAGCAAAAGCAGCAGCAAACAACCTTGAGATCTGGCATCACAAACTTGCGTTGCACTGCGGCTGCGCCGTCATAGAACGCCGGGCTTTTTTTCTGTTTCCTCTTGACGCAACTCATTTCGTGTCCTTCTTTTTTTGCGTCACCTGCATTTTCGTTCCTTTTCAAAGTTGACAGCTACGCACAATTTCATACGACGTAATCCGCCTACTCTCATTACCTTTCATTTGTTCATTTTACTGTGTTTTTGACTCTCCTTCACAACAAACAAGATGCCCATCATGAGCTGGCTTTGGCCCTGGAAGGTAAACACATCCTGACCTCGACTCTGAACATCTGGCTAACCTGGCAACCTCTCCGGTGCGCGCTGTGCAGAGAAGCGATCCTTCTCCAGCTTCCTTCGAAAAGGCCCTCTCCGGCCTCTCCAAGAAGATTGCCACCACGCAGTCTCGCCTTGAGTGGACTCGTTTGCGATTCCGCAAGATCAAGGTGCTGGGAACGCTGTATACGTCCTTTGCCTATCTGGTTGCCGTCATTGTCCTGTTGCTGGTTGTTGGATATCCAAACCTGGGGCCCATGGACTGGACTGGCATGGCCGGAGGTCCTGTATTGTGAGTTGCTGACCTTTCAGTGTCTCCCTGCTTGCTCTCCCTGCGCTTCATCTTTCTCTCATTCTGTTTGCGCTCTCTTCTCTTCCCTCTACACTTCCCTTTCACATGTCTCACTCTTACCTCGCTTTCTTCTGTACCTCCCCTGATTCGATCCTTACAACTGCAAGACTTGATGTACTCACCTTCATTACCTATACAACAGTATAGGGGTTGGTGAATGCAGGTTGAATGGACAACACCTTCCCATATTTGCACGTCACTTAAGCTAACAAGATATATAGCATCTACACTACGCGCGTGGTAATCACAAGCTACTACAACTTTCGGATTGAGAGTCTCGAAGCAAAGCTAAAAGCCCTCCAAGAAGAGCGGCAAGACACCATCCAGAAGCTTAAAGAGGCAACCAAGTATGACTCTACTCTTGAGCTCCTCGAAAAGTATGGTGGTGCGGAAGGCAAAGATGGCAAACCCCAGATTAAGATCAAGGAAGACGCTCCGCAACAACAGCAACAGCAACAGCAACAGCCTGGATTCTCGCTCCCTGAAAGAACTCATATCCCACCCCCAGCAACTGCAAACATCCCTCGTCGTGATCTTTCACCGGCTTCCTTTGCCAGCAGCAGGCCGGTTACCCCCCAGACCCAAAGCGTCACTTCAAACGACGAACCGAGCGCCATTGGCCAGCACCTGCTTCGCCCTCAGTCCGCCCAGAGCCAGCATCACGGCTTCCCGCCGCCGCCGCCCCAGGCCGCCGCAGAGCCTCACTGGTACGACCGCATCTTCGACGTCCTCCTCGGCGAGGACGAAACCGCCGCCAAGAACCGCATCGTCCTGATATGCCAAGTCTGTCGCCTGGTCAACGGACAGGCCCCACCCGGCACCAAGAGCCTCAGCGAGCTCGGCATGTGGAAGTGCATGGCCTGTGGATCGCGTAACGGCGAGATGGATGAGGGAAAGCGCATAGTAAGAGAAGTTCTTAAATCGCATGGAAAGAAGGGGGGCAAAGCAGCTTCTGCCAACAAGGAGCCAACTACAGCTACTATCACAACTGACCTTGGTGACGATCAAGCCGAGCCTGAAACCAGCACGGAGAGCCAGCCTACGACGCCCCTTTCCGCTACTTCGCAGACCCCTAGCCCCTTGGAGGGCGACCATTCCGCAACACTCAAACCCAGGCGCTCTGCTAGAAACAAGAGGTCGTAGTAGGGGGCTGAGGAGGGTCTTTCAGGGGTATCTTGGAGGGTAATATGGGCCATGGATGGATGGAGTAGGGATGGTGGGTAAAGGAGGGTTTTCTCTTTTGTTTTCTTTTGTTTTCTTTTTGAGTTTTAAAAAAGGGCTATCTAGTTTTAAAAAAAATGAAGAAAACTATCTAATCTCTTTATTCGACAAAAACTGCGTTCAATAATCTTTAGAGAGCCTCCCAAAGATATCAAGCCGCGAAAATGAGGTCTTGTCGATGGTGGTCCGTGCATGGAGTGACATGTCCTCTCTGAAAGGCCAGAATCACCCACTGTTGCGTTTGCAACAACCTGTATATTGATACAGATGATACTATCACCAACATATGTAAAGTCATAGACGAGATTATCAACTTAAAAGGCCCTGATGCCTCGGGCAGCAACTGGCTTCTTTCTTGTCACCAGTGTCCAAGGCAATCTTGTCGGCAGCTGGCAACTTTGCAATATCACACGTATAGTGGCGTTGGCGGAACTTTAGCAGGAAAAGAAGAAAACAGGGAAGCAATGAACTGCAAGGTACCGCAAGGCTGGCTGCAAGGCTAGGGCTGGGGCTGGGGCCGGCGACAAAGGTGGCTTAAGCATGGCTGCCATGCAAAGCAAGTTGAAACTCTATCTTTATTTTCAGTTGCCATGATGGGCGGGGGTACACGAACTAGGTCTGGTTGAATACATGTAAGTGGGTGGGCTCTGCCTCACTCCAGCTAGAGAAAATCATCAATCATCAATGCCGGCAGCAGTCGCCATCTCTGGGTGATGAGCGCGCTCAAAATTTGTATTACTGCATGAAAATGACACACACACAACGCCTGACGATAGGAATCTCTATGCGCGATCGCGGTTTTTGACGCATCAAGTCTACACGGCTCCCCCGTTCATCGCCTCCGCACCTCCGTCGCCCAGCCGTCGATGCCCTCGCCGCGGCCCCCAACCTCCAGCCCCTCAATCTTGACGCCCTTCATGCCGGGGGTATCGTCCAGCCATGGATGACCGGCCATGCCGCCGGCGTTTGCTCGCTTCTCGGGCACGAGCTCCAGCATCGGAGTCAGGAAAGCGGAGATGCGCTTCGCCTCGTCCTCTTTGAAATGGTATTTCTCCTTCAGGACGTCGGGCAGCGCCCAGTGCCTCAGTCTGTGAATGTGCCTCAGCTCGCCTTTGCGGTTGAAGATCTCCTGGCTCCACTTGCCGCTAAGACAGAGAGAGCGCGGGAAGGGGCCAAGCAGTTCGATGATTTGCGCAATGTGGTCGTCGTCCTTGCCGTATTTTGTGCCCGATTGAGGATCGAAGAGGTAGTCGCCCGTAATCAGCTCAAAGACCTGTTTGCGAGCATGAATGGTTAGCAGAGACGCGATGACATGATGATGAGAAGAGGGAGGGCAAGATGAGAGACACAGGTCTTGCGACACGCGGCGGGGTAGTAGTTGAGAGAGACAAAAGACTCACCATGGCAGACATGCTCCACACGTCCGTACTTGCTCCCCATTTCGCTCCTAAAATCACCTCCGGGGACCGATATTGTCGCGTCTGGATATCATTGGTGAAGTGGTGGTTAACCCAGCACGCGTTACCCAGATCTGCAATCTTGACGCTGATCACGTCATGGCCATCCTCGGTCGTCGGGGTGTTGAGAGAGATTCCTGAGACTTCGCGAGACAACAGGTCACTGGCAGCGGTGCTTGACGTTAGATACATGACAACAAAGGAAAGGCCAACAGCGGCAAAGCTGATGGCGAGAGAAACTCAAAGCAGACATGAGAAAGGGGAGAAAGGTAGTCGAGACTTACGCAGACTTTTCTCTCTTGTTGTGAGCGTCATCGGCCTTAAGAGAATCATCTTTTTGCTTACCCGCTGCCGATGCTAGGTTAGAGACATGTAACCAGAAAGTGTCAAGTCAGTGGCAGACATACCTTCCGTCTTACCAGAGGCTCGATCCATGCTCGAGTATGGGGCGTGCAAATAGGATTCAAAGTTGCCGTGGAGGGGAGACGGCAGCGGCTGGCTGCCTGTGATGAGAGTCCTGCGCCTTCTGCGGCCGTTGCGGTTGTTTTCCTTTTCGTCCTTGTCGGCACCCTGGGGCAGGACCCTCTTGACAATCTGCTTGACGTCGCCAATCTCGATGAGGACGTTCTCGGGCTTGAGGTCGGTGTGGATGATGCCGCATTCGCGGTGCAGGTAGTCCAGGCCCAGCAGCACCTGCTTGGTGATCTGCTTGACCAGCGCCATGGGGATGCCGCGGTGGTTCCAGCGCTTGATGAGGCCCAGCAGGTTCTCGCCCAGCACCTCGAAGACCATGCACATGTGGGTGCCGTTGGGGCCCTTGTGCTCAAACGAGTCCAGCAGGCTGACGACGTGCTTGCGGCCGGGGTGGTCGGGATTGGCCTGGACAATCTTATTGAGCAGCTTGATCTCGTCGACGGCCGTCTCGGTGTAGTGCGTGGCGGACCGCACCACCTTGAGCGCAACGTGTTTGCCGTTGTTGTTGTCGCGCGACAGCCACACGGTCGAGAAGTGGCCCCATCCCAGCTTGCGCACCACCGTGTACCGGCCGTCCTTGAAGTTCTCGCCGATCTGGACGGGATGGTAGCCGCCCTTGCAGTAATCTTCGGAATCCTCCTCGTCGGCCGTGTTCTCGGCGGGGTCGTCGGCCGTGGACGCTGAGGACTGTGAGCGAGTCATGGAGGAGCTCGGCAATTGCTGGGTTCTGCGGCGCGTGAGAGAGAGACGAGAGGCGCGGTCAGCCGGCGATTGCGCAAAGAAGCAGAGGCAGAAACGAGATGGAGAGTAGAGGAGAGTCTGATGGGCTTGAGATAAAAGGGTTGGAGTTTGGTTTGGCCTGGTTTGGAGAGACTGGCGGGCGCAAGGGATGGCGGCACATGATTGGGCGGTCAGCGCGCGAAGAGGGGGCAGAATGAGGCTAGTGGTGGAAGAGGCCAAAAGCACGCTTTGCGGGGTGACGGCATCACCAAAATCCGGCATCAGCGCCCAGCAACGGCCTCAGAAGCGCCAAGTCAATGATTAACTGCTGTTATTATGTGCCCGCAGCTACTAATGGCAAGCAGATGGCAATAGAGGACAGCGGCAAGCGGCAAGCAACAAGCGGTAGGCAGAGGCCCGGAAGCGCAAAGGCGGGCCGCCCACTTGGGCACGATAGATAAGGCACATATGTATGTGGTATATATGTAGGTGATGTATGTGATGTAGTAGCAGGTAGGCAAGAATTAAAACCCTTGCAACGGGGGTTTGAAGGGGGGCAAGTCCCTGTTGCCGGGGAAAGGGGGGGTTTTTAAGAGAAGATTGTATAAAAAAAAAAAGAAGTATGAAAAGAAAATTAAGGCAACAATAAGACGGAAAGGAACAATAGCAAACAAAACAGAAGCCCAAGCTGGCCGAGTGAAAACCACCACATACCTAGTCTTAAGGAAGCTCATGTTGCCGTTGACATTATGCGGCGTCGCTGCGGCAAGTGGTTGGGCGGTGATATCAGGCGGCCGGATCTAAATCTCCCAAGGCCGCATAAATAGGCAGAATGAGTACGATTAAGAGGAGGCGTCTATTTCGGTTAGGCGAGCAGAGAGCGAAATATTGGAGCAAATGTATTGCAAAAGAATGAGGATAAAAAGCGAATGCAAGCAGCAAGGACGGCGGAACGTGAGACGGAGTGGCGAGTCAGAGGCGCGGGCTTTTCTTTCTGGGCAGCAAAATGGATGAGACGTGACGGGTGAGGGTGAGGGTTTATCGGTATCGTGACAAAGTGGCAGATTGAGAGGAGAGAGGAAGAATGAGAAACGGAGGAACCAAGAGGTACAGTAGCATTGGCGTGAGACTCGCTCGCTGAGCACGCTCATACACGCCCTCATACACGCACAGAGAGGGCCACTCGAGTTCTAGCGTTCAGGCTTCATTGGCTGGGCACGCCATGATGACGGCGACCAGCAGCTGAAAGCGGCGCCAACCAGCTTCAAGGCTGGGGCGTTGTCCATGCTCCAAAACCTCCAGTGGGGCCATCACAGGCGCTCTGCAAGCGGCAAAGCGCCCTGAAGCACTGCCTTGCGGGACAAAGCATTTGGAGGCAACAAAATGACTAGCAGTAGCACACGATGTAGAAGGACAAGATATGAGATGAGGACAGAGACAACACGGCTCTGTGCTTTGTCATGTCATGGGCAAGTACTGTATCATACATGTAGGCACGATGTAGGTATACGCCTGAGACGGACAAGCAAACGGGGGATGCCGAGCAGCACAGGTGGGATCGGCACGGCATTCATAACATGGGGGAAGCAAACAGAATGAACGGCAAACGACTCAGTAAATCTACATCACAGTAATAAACCGATGCCCCTAAGAAGAAGAGGCGATGAAGGAAAAATCAAATCCCTTCGAAAGAGGAGGAGAGATATGGAATTCCAAATCAAAAGTTGACCAAGCTCGTCACTTGACAAAGCTGGCTGAGGTACCTGGGCAATCAAAACAGAAACCATGTGGTCTTTTCTTGGGCTGAACAACGCCCAAATGCCGTGCTGGAAAGGCACCAAAATCGTGGTGGAGCCAGCCATGTCATAAAGCGGGCACAAGCCATTGAAAGAATGAGGGGCAGGGCAGTGGCTTGTGGTTGTCGGCACGCCTATCAAGCAAATCGAGCAGCTTTGCGCCATGCTAAAAGGCTAATGTAAGACGGCGGGCAGGGGAAGCAAACAGGAACTCGGCATGATGCGTGATGTGACGGTGGAGTTGGGCAAACTCGGTCAGGCACCCGGCCAGGCGTTTTGCCAATCAGCTCTCGAGCGCATACTTGCGCAGCTTTGCACAGCTTTGCGCGCAGCTCGGATTCTCCTATGACGACGGGCTGCAGATTGGCGAAGAGGGAGAGAGATGGGGCACGAAAGAGGGAGTTGGTTGTAGAGGCGAACAAAAAGAGCAGATATGAACAGATGCTCAGCAGGTGGAAATTTCATAGAGAATTTGATGACATACCAGAGTCTCACCTGCAGGATGACGTTGTTCGTATAAGAGAAAAAGACGAGGAAAAGGCGGCCGAAACTCAAACAGGAGGAGGAGGAGGAAGCAATAAGCAAAGCAACAGGGGGTAAAGGGTAAAAGCAAACGAGGATAACAACGGAGGAAGAAGAAAAACTGATGGATGACAGATTGTGAAAACTGATCATGGCCGGCTGGAAGAAAATGGTGGGAAGTGGCAGAATAAAGGTGGTGAAGCTCAATCATCCATTGCAACCGGCGCTCTTTCTCTTTCTGCGCACTTCGTAGCAAAAAGCACTCGGCGAATACCTGCCCTCAAACATAATTTGGCGATGCTAGCAGGTACCTACACAGAACCGTGCAGTACGCGATGCTCGACCGACTTTTGAGCGAGAATGTTTCAGATGACGAAATTTCAAAGCAAAATCAGAGGCAAGAGGCATGAGGCAAGAAGAAGTCGAGAGGCAAGAAGAAGTCGAGGTGTGCGATTGGCCACCGCAAGAGATGCGCAAATGCTGGCTGGGGCTGCCTCTGGATTTCGAGATCTCGAGCTGCTAGGCAGATGCGCTATTCGGTAAGCAGATTATGCGGTGGAATCGGAACCAAACCCAATGAAAGGAATAGGCTAGAAAAAGAAATAAAAAAAAATAATTTTGCCTATATGGATGAAAGACTAATACCGTCGGGTACTGCGCTTCGATTTTCAAATCTGGGCCATGACCAGCAAAAAAAGTTCAAAAACGGCAAAGGAAAACAGCCGGGTTGACCGTGCGAAAGAAAGATCTCCTGTTGTAAGACGACTGCGTCAGCCGAGATCGACCCACGAAGGCAGCGGCCAGCTAAGATGGGTGGCATCACTTTACGCTTCAGGTAATGTGCTTTTTCACGTCGTCTTTTTGGGCCAGTTGATCACTTGCTAAACAGTTTCATCTGGGCAGAGAAAGAACCTCAAACTTGTACCACCACGAAGCTTTAATCAACAAGCAGTGTCGTTGCAGGGGACGCAACCCCACGAGAGACCAAGCCAAAGATGCTGTAGCGATCCTTGGTATGCCCTCCTCTGAGCTGACTTGCGTTCAAGAGGCCCGGACCGATCCGGTCTAGGCCTAACGACAGGAAAAAGTCAATTGGGACTAATTCCGCGCTCGTGGCTCTCTATACACGTGCAGCTGAAAAATGTGGCTGGCAACAATGGCGATCAACACATGCTCGATGCGTTGGGGGCGCCAACACGCCCTGAAGATGGGTCTGTTATGACGCTGCTGCTAGCACTAAAGAATACATGAACATCCACACCATCCTCGGTCGAGATATGTGTTAATGGCCCAGCTGAAGAGCGCAAAAAGACCGACTCCACCTATGGAATTCTTCTCTCCTTCTTTTTTTGCCTCTTCTCCCATTTGATTTCGGCTGAGGTGCTGAAGATGGGGTTCTTTGGGATTGTCTCTCCACATTCCAAGCTGGAGCTCGACTCCATTGCGGGATCTTGACTATCCGAGGGATATACTGTAGAGAGTAGGTACGCGAATGTTCTGCAGTCTTGCATCTACTTGGCCGGGGAGTTACTGCGATCCCGAGTTCTCCCATTGGTGCTGTCGCATGTGACATATCATACCAATAGTTCTCCTTTCCTCTCGTCTAATTTGGAGGCGGCGTTGAAGTGTACAGACCGGAGCGGAAGGCAGCACGGACGCCGCGAGTATTTTTAGAGTCTGGTTGAATTTCTTCGAACCATACAGTACAATCAAATACTGGTAGGTGTTGAGTCTTACAGCCCTTTTCCTTCTACTTTCTCCTGTCTCAGCATCCCGAAGAGCTATGCGCATTAACAATCATCGAAACGGCAGGGAGCACGACATCACCGCCTCGTACGATTCTACATCCATGGCCGGAGCGCGGAATGCGACAATACCAAGGTGCCAGAGTCATAGGGTTTGACGTCTAGAAAATCGCCGAATGCTACCACGAGCTGGCAAGCTGGTACCAGGTAGGCCTAGGGGGTATTGCTGGTGGATCAAGCATGTAGCAGCTGACGAGTCTCAAAGGGGGAAACGGCCTGTAACTTCACAAATAAGCACCACACGCCACACACATACCGTATCTTATACGACTGGCTCCCCTGTGGGAAGATTATGGGGGCTACAAGGAGCTGTTCCATTATCTCCAAAGCGTTGCAAGCGTAAACCGCTGCCCGTACGTGTAAGGGTTTGATATCCAGACACATCGCGATGCTGCTCATGCAAAGAAGCACGGGAGACGGGCTTCTCCGTAGCGCGGCCATGCGGTCTATTCCATGTTGTCCCTGCCGAGGTGCTACTATTACTGCTGCTGCCACTGGTAGCTACCTCAATACCAATCGGGACTAATATGCATATGCGGACTCTTAGTCTCACCGTCTGTCATCCGCCAAAGTGCGGCCCGTGTTGGTGGCAGAAGAGTAGCGGCATCAAACCATGTGGATAGGGCTGGAGCCTCAGTCCCGGATACTACCATGCAGTGCTCTTATTAGGTACTACGACCTAGTATCTGTCTGGATTTCCTATACAGGTATCTACTACCACTGTTACAACACTTCTTGTACGGGTGAAGCCACCAATTGTAAACCAGACAAAGCCCAATCCATCTGATAACATCAAAGGGGCATTGACCCGGAGAAGCTTTGGGCATCTCCTCGTGGCTGCTATTTCCTCTTCTTCCAGGCCGAGCTCAAGTGTCTTCCAAAAGAATCACAACAGCTGCTACTGCCGAACCCTGACAAAAGGGTAGAACCCCTTGGTATTTCCCGCGGCTTGATTGGCCCCCAATTCCCGGTTCTCGGCAAGTGACCCTGCACATTGCCCGCACAGCATACCAGGAACCAACACGGCTCAAATAACCGGAACCGGGTGTCGTTATTACACATTGGAAGAGAATTTTCTTTCCTTTTGTTATATCCCTCTGATGGCGTGTTGTTGACGGCAAGCCCCCATATTTAGTCGTTCGATTTTTCGGTCGCCCCAGAAGGCTAGGGTGCCAATCTACAAAGACCCTGATGCAATAGTTTAATTTGGGAGTGACAGCATCCCGACGGAAAAAAACCATTTGCTCGCGTGCTTACCGGCCATTGTCCACTTTTTTCTTCCTTTTTTCTTTTCTTTTTGTCTTGCCATTCGATGCTTTTACTCTTTTCCCAGGTTCCGACTCGCCAGGGCTCTGTCTCCATGGGTCCAAGGAAATAATGCGGGATGAGTGTACTTGTCAGTATTCTAGAACGGGTGGCGCCCTTAGATTGGTGCTTTGTGAGCCGTTCCCACGGAGTCAAGCCCCCCTGGTCTCGAATCATACGATTCACTCGGTTTTCGAAGCCTCCATCGACGCAAGTGTGATGCAGAAAACGCGGTGACGTTTTGTATAGCGAAAGGATCAGATGGAATTCAGACTTTTTTTTCTCTTTCCTTTTCTCCCTCTAGTTGCCGCCGGAATTGCGCTGTGAAATGCGGCACGAGTGCGGCTTCCGGCCGGATCATTACGGGGAGAAGACGAGACAAAGTCGTGCCATGATCTTTGCTTCTTTTCTCCCCAGTTGAAAGTGTGGACCTTTTTGAAAAGCTTTTTTTTTTTTCTTTATAGATAAACGGTTGTGTGCTTGTCTGTCCCCGGAATCTTGAATCTTTCTTTCTCCGCATATAACCATTAACCATATAACCTTGATCTCCCATTGCCGTTTGTGTCCTCCGGAGTATTACTATTACTTTTTTTTTTTTTCCATTTCCCAAGTTCCTGTCGTGCATAGTGCTTGATACTGTTTGAAAGTGTTCTATTATATCTTTTTGTACTATACCATCCATCCTTGACTTCACTTAGAGCAGCTAGTCTCTTCAACCACACCAGCTCAGACAATGGCCTTGACTGCCCAACAGGTCAAGCTAGTCAGGGACACCATCCCAGCTCTGACCGAGCATGGAGAGCTCATCGCCAGCACCTTTTACGGCAACATGCTCCGAGCCCATCCCGAGCTCAACGACTACTTCAACACGGTCAACATGGCCAACGGCCGCCAGCCGCGCGCCCTCATCGCCATCATCCTCAGCTTCGCCAACAACATCACGCACATCACCGAGCTGATCCCCAAAATGGAGCGCATGTGCCAGAAGCATTGCTCGCTGGGCATCTTGCCCGAACACTACGACATTGTGGGCAAGTATCTCATTGCCGCCTTTGGAGAGATCCTCGGCCCGGCTATGACTCCTGCGGTGCAGATTGCCTGGAATAAGGCATACTGGGTGCTCGCAAAGATGCTCATCGGGCGAGAGGCCCAGCTGTATCACGACTGGCAGCACTGGCAAGGCTGGCGGCGCTTCCGCGTCCAGCAACGGGTGGAGGAGTCCGACGACGTCTTCTCGTACTATCTGGTTCCCGAGGACGGCAAGCTGCTGCCGTCGTTCATGCCGGGCCAGTACGTCTCGGTGCGTGTCATGGTGCCGGAGATTGGATACTGGCAGAACCGGCAGTATTCCCTGAGCGAGCAGCCCAAACAAGAATACTACCGCATCACCATCAAGCGTGATCGAGGCGCTCAGACGGTCCGCCAGCCAAGCTATCTGTGGTCTTCGTACGGCACGCATCCCGGCGTCGTGTCCAACATGATCATCGACCAGAAGAACGTCGGCGACATCCTCGAGCTCACACACCCCGCGGGCGAATTCTTCCTCGACACCTTCAGCACGGCCAACGCGCCACTCGTGCTGCTCTCCGCCGGCGTGGGCGTCACGCCCATGGTGTCCATCCTCAACGCCGTCATCGAGAAGCAACCCAGCCGACCGATATCCTGGATCCAAGGCTCACGCGACTCTGTCCCCTTTTACCTGCACGTCCGCAAAATCGCCCGCGACAGGCCCAGCATGAAGGTCAACATCTTCAAGACGCAGCTTGCGGACTCGGACCTGGCGGGCATCACGTACGACCACGATGCCAAAATTGATCTTGAAAAGGTGCACAGGCAGGATCTCTGGCTGGAAAACTCGGCCACGGAGTATTTTGTCTGCGGGCCGGAGCAGTTCATGATGGAGATGGCGAGGCGGCTGAGGGAGTTTGGCGTGAGTGGCGATAGGATCAAGCTGGAGCTGTTTAGCACTGGCGATACAGAGTTCCAGGTTGATGCTCTGAGTATTGCTTCGGGACGGTCGTTGGGAGCGCCGAGATCTGGAGTGGCTTCTGGAGCGGCATCTACGAACAGCGGCGGCGATTAGAGAACGATGGACGACGACAAGAGACGATGATGATTATGGGGTGTTTTGCTGTTTCAAGGCGGCAACACAACGCAGATTGCATAGACGTAAAGATATTTCTACACAACAATTAACGCAAGTCAAGGAATGGAACGTAATAGGTCAAATTGGTTGGAGCATAGAGGGTAGATAACTCAGGCAACATGGAAAGGAATCTTGATTGGGATGGATGGATGAATGGATGGATGAATGGATGGTATTGCTTTTTGGAAGAAACTTTTGGAAGTCTGCATTGTTTTACAAGAATGATGGTTAGGCAAAGATGAGCATAAAGACTTGTTTTCATACACGCCATTTCTCCTCCTTTGAAGCATATACGTATTAGAATTGGATAAAACCGACAAGAGACATGGTACATCACTCTTCTGTACCTTATCAGACCATCATGGCCAAGCCTATCTGTGCCAAGCTCCTGCAGTCCCTCTTTGAGAATTCCTCGCAGAATCGCTTATCTAGTCCCACCGCGCGTGGATATAGTCCACAGAGGAGCCGTCACATGCAGCTTGTCCATGTGCCTTGCTTTGCTGCATAGTACACGAGATGTTATACTCAAGCACTGTTGGCTGCTGACCTGTGTAGCTCCTTGTGGCGGTCTAGCTTCTGTCCTCTTTTTCTTCTTCTAGGGCAGCTTTCATGACGAATTCTTCATCCTTGACGGTGGATCTCTGCCGCCGTCCTTAATCAAGCTTGTTCTGGGAGGAGCCGTCACCGTGTCGTCGGGGAAGACTCCCTAGCTGTCGATCTTCCATGAATGGCGCTTCTTTTGGTCCCCTTCGAAATGAGCCCGGCTGGATGGTATCTATCGTTGAGGGGAGTCCCTATGTTCACTCAGCAAGATAAAGCGTGCATAAGCTCTCTGAACGCTTTGAGCACCTGACTTTCTTTTGTAATTTCGTTTCAGTCAGTTATCCGCAACGCAAACCCAGCCATTCTGCACCCACAACCGAGGCAAAGTGTGCTCCTTCGACCATCTCTTCTCCACTTTTGCTCCCCCTAGAGTAGAGTAGCGCAGCATGAGAAAGCCATAGCAATAACAGTTAGAAGCTGAATAGCTCCTGCGTACGCTGGCCAATTACCGCTCCTCCGCCATCACAGTGTGATTCTTCTCGCATCTTGTCTGCACTGCAACTATGCACAACAAGCGAGAAAGAGAATATCAGTCAGCAGGCAAATCCTTCATCGCTCAACGCTGCAGGGGCATTCCATGTTAGTCATTTTGAACCATTGCATTATACGACAAGCGGCGGCTGTAACAGTAGTGGCACAGAAGCCCTACACCATCGATTGGCTCTTAACACCGAGCCATGGCTTGCTTGGCCTTGGCTTTAATCATGAATGGGTGGTGTGTTGCCTCCAAGCTAATTCTGGATCAAACAAGGGTTGCGTTCCGTTCCCCTTCCCACCTCGCATGAATATGACTTGTGATAGTTTGCTTTTCTCCTGCTTTCGTGCATGCGGGCTGGCTCCCAAGCAAAATTTACCGAGCAGACAAGTATGCTATCCTATTGCAGGCATTTGTCTGGGTAGTCGAGTTGCTCTTTTGGGCAATAAGTAGCGCGCTTCGGGCTCTTCGGTTATTAGCTGTTGCTAGGCGTATGTATAAACGGCTCCGAGTCGGAGGAGAAGAGATGCGTGCGGACTTTGCTTTACGCGAGTCGGATGCCTCAGTGCGATGTGTGAAGATGGGCATTGATCTCTTATGCATATCGGCTGGAGGGAGAAGTGAAGCACAGAATGACTCGTAGCAGTACTAGTACGAGCAGAAACGTGAAGCTGTGCGCAGCGACTGAGGCGTGATTCCTCCGGCAGCCACAGCTTAAATCGAGCCGTCAAACACCCAAGACGTTTAGGCTCATACCCGCCCCGAGTAGTCTTGTCGGTAGGGCGAATCTTGGCGCCTTTCGCGGACGCCTCCCGTCAGCACTTTCAGCGCGTCCATCAGCAGCCTAATCACTTCAACTCCATAACGGGTATCGGCAAATCGCTCTGTGCGTTTGAAACCGTCACGATTCGTGCCTAGCAGCAGATTCTAGACTGTCTGTGGGCTGTTCCATGATACGCATCCCTAGCCGGAGATCTACTCCGTGGAAGCCCTGCGAGAAGCACCTTGGCGAAGAGGCAGACGGCGGACGGATAGCTCGCCTCGAGGATGCTAATCATAGGCAGTGCTGCTAGTTTTGGAATACCGCCATCGTAGAAATCTGACGAGTCCCTTTTATCGACTCACGTTGTTGTTGCTATGGTCTTGACAAGGCCGCTGACAGCAAAACGACTACGAGCTTTGCCTGCCTAGCACAAATCCAAGGGCATCCATCCGTTGAAGATTTGCTGCGATTCGCCTTGACCCCTTTTTTTTCCACCTCTTAGAACCTCGTGTCTCTCGCACGCTCTTGCTTTCTCTCTTCTCTCAGTAAACCCGGTCTTGTGTGAATTTCTCTCTTCTTTTCCAATCATACCATGCCTCTCGCCCCTTTGCCTTTGTTTGCTCCCAGCAGGAATGGCTAATTGGACTGGCAAGCAATCGGCAAACTTACCCCGCGTCGCTGTCTCTAATCCTGTCGTCGCATTTTCTTCGCTGGCTTTTCTCGCTTTCATAATTTTTGGGGGGGCCCCAGCCAGGTCCAGGCCTTGGTGCTGATCTGGAAGAAAGCTTTCCAATCCTTGCGCGCGGCCTGAGCGTCGACTGCTTCTCTTTTCCGCCATTTCGCAGGACACCAACCCCGGCCGGTTTTCTCCTCAATTCATCCAAGGACACTTTTTTTCTTTACCGCCACAGTACGTAGCATTTCATCTTCTTTAGCAAGCGATATTGAAAATCTGCCTTTGATATTGGCCTTTTCTTCCTTTTTATAATTTTTAGCATGTCTTGAAATCCGTTTCGTCTTCCTTTTTTTTTTTTTAACCGATTTTTATTTTTCTTTCCTTCTTTTGAGGCTCAACCGTTGTTTTGTAATTCGAAACCGCAGCCACACAAGGCTTGACGGAAGACCAGACGGATTGCCTGCATGGAAGAGCCGGTGAACAACTTGTCTGCCAGCCAGTTTGTCCGCGACTCGCCATGCCACGCAGAGTCAGGAAGACGCCGTGGAGTCGCACAGGGTGCAGCACTTGCAAGCGCCGGAGAAAGAAGTGTGAGTTTTTCGCCCGTTTATTTTAGTTCCAACTCCAAGCTCCAGCCCCCGATCCAAGCTCCAGGCTTAAACTCCGAGCCGACGGGTCTCTTTGGCGAAGGCGTCGACGGCTCTCGCGGGATCTCGTCGGTGTGTATGCCAGACACCAAACAAAGACAGAGAGATGTAGGGACGGAACAATAGACAAAATGACTGACTTTGACCTTTTGAAACTGCAGGTGATGGCCAGAAACCAAAGTAAGTCAATATGCTGTGTCGGAACAGTTGCCAACGGCTCTAGAAAGATTCTAGCCGACTTTGCCGCCCCTACTACGATGATTCTTACGGTTTTGGGCATTTATAAATAGATTTTTTTTTAACCAGGGAAATCCACTAACGACACGGCCTTTGTAGATGTCAGACTTGTCTTCGACTGGGCCTGGAGTGCGTGCAGTTCGACATCTTCTGTCCCATCAACGTCGTCACGCCGACTCGCGATTCTCGGCCGACCAGAGCAGTGACCGACGGCGAGGACCAAGAGGAGTCGAGTCCATCCTCGTCGGGCTCGGCTGATGATGCGGACGTCTCTAGCAATGCGGCGGAGTCGTCGCCATCGTCATCTTCGTCTGTGGCGTTGATCCCGGCATCGACAGCATCAACAACAGTATGGCGGCACTCTGAGCTGATGCTGTTGGACTCCTCCCCGTCATCTTCATCTTCTTCTTCATCACTATCACCGTCATTCGGCCAACAGCAGATCGTCTTCCGCACTCGCGGCAGCGCATCGGCCATGCGGCACGGGCCGTCGATGGCTGGACCTGTGCCATCGCTGTCTGCCTTTTCTTACCTGTCTACGAACCAATACTTTTTCCTGCAGTACTACCTGGAGCGGCTGAGCAACGTGCTGGTCAACGCCAACAGCGATTCCAACCCGCTCAAGTCGCTCATCTTACCGCGCATCGCCTCGTCGAATCTGCTGCTGGACGCCATCTGCGCTACGGCGTCGTTGCACCGGTCCAGCGCATCTGATGCGGATCGATCGGCGTATTCCAATGCGGCGACAAGATACTACGTCCGAGTGCTGTCGGCCGTGCGCGATTTGATCCCCCAAGTGACCAACTCGAGCTCAAAGCTGTTGAAACCGGGCAGCAGCAGCGGTATAATGATGATATCCGAAGGAGAGACAAGTCCTGGGACCAGCAAAGGCAGTAGAAGCAGCAAGAATGGCAACAAAAACAGCAAGAGGAACAGCAACAAAAACTTTAACAAGAATAGCAAGAGCAAGAGCAAGAGCAAGGCGGGCGTCGAGGATGTTGAAATGGCCGAGATGGCCATCTTGGCGTCCATCTTCCTCTGCAAGTATGAGATCATCAAAGACGGCGTGGAGAGCTGGCGCCTCCATTTGAAAGGCATCGAATCGCTTTGCCGGTCACTGAGTGCCGACCAGACGTCTTCCATGGCCCCCACGCTGGCTTATGTTCGCAGTTTGTATGCTACCATGGAACTCTGATAACGATGAATATCAACAGGACTAACAAGGATTTGCAGCATGTCGTATCATAAAAACATTGCGCGCGTTACCGAATATGCGCCGCATTCAATAGACGACGAGTTTGAGCACGAGCCGTTCGAACTTGGCAAGCTTTTTCCCGTAGATCCGTACATGGGTTTCTCCCAGAGTCTCATCATTCTGCTGGGCCGTGTCAGCGATCTGTTGGTGATTAACACGAGAGACGGGCCACACGAGCTGAGGCGAGAAATAGAGACAATGTATGTGAAAACCAAAGCCTCCCACCCTTCTCCTTAACTCTCTGCTTCCCGACTTTTAGAGGTTGTTACTTCCTGGCTGACTTCCTACGTTTCATAGATTAGAGTTGCTTTCCAGGAGAAGCTGGGACGCGGACCGCTTCGCTATCCCCGAAGGCATGGGCATGTCGACGATTGAAAACTCAACCACCATCGCTGAGGCGTATTATTGTGCCGTCATCGCCTGCATCCACGCCGTACTCGAAGTTGTAGCCGAGAGAGAAGCCGCAGCCGCCGTTTCCCCCATGACCATGACTGAGGAACAGTTCCAGTTTGGGTCTCCTCAGTATCAGCCTTCATCACAGGCCTTTATCGACTGGCCATCTCTGCACGCCCTTCTCCCTATGCCTAAAGCCGATGCTCTGACTGAATGCCTTGCCGGCATAGCACGAGTACCGCTTGGAGCCCCGGAAGAAGCCGGTCTTTTGCCACTGCTCTTCATCGTGGCAGTCGAGACGACACGAGAAGATCAGGCACAGGAGGCTCTCGTGAGGGTCGAGGCTCTGGGGTGCCACATTGGATTAGGAAACGTGCAATGTGCGAGCGATTTGCTAAAGCAGGTGTGGTTGAGGCGGTCGACACAGCCGAATTTTCATGATTGGCGAGGGCTATTAGCGCAGCTGCAGTGGGATCTCATCATCACTTGAAAAACTCTTCGGGGTACGTGGAGTTAGTTTCTGTGAAGTGGTCCCCTGATCATCGACTCCATCTCATTGTTTATGACCGGCATGAAAGAGACATGGAATGAACCGGGAGAAGAGACATGTCGCATTTCAATCTAAAATGATGTCTTTTGTTGCTCCTCTTGTGCGTGCTCAATATCTTCGTTTCGGCTTTGTTAGCTCGTTTCTCCTCGGTCTGGGCGTTGACTTCTTCCGCCATCGTTATTTGTTCTAGAGCTGTTTCTGGAGCTCCGTGCTTAATCAGTTTGTGATATCAGCATAGTTTCTCATGGGGCGCAACAGAAACGGAGGATATGGCGTTATGTCGTAGCTGTTGATTGATAGCAAAAATGAAGAAACATTAGCCAAAACCGGCAAATTCCTGAGAATTCCATCACCAAAGGGCGACAAAAACCGGGGTCCTGTCACTGAGCTTTCTCTTAGCTCGACACACTTGGTTGAATGGAGTTTGGTCCACAGAGTTGATCATGGGGAACGGTTAGTGCTGTCTCCACGTGTGATGCCGAGAAAAAGTAGCGCCATTCTGCTTGTTTGTTGACTTCGACAAGTCGTGCAACTGCAAAGACGAACCTAACCAGCAGCAGTAGAAAAAGAACAACCCAAATATATGAAAGAGAAAAGCTGAAAAGGAGATGAATAAGAAGAAAAAGAGTCAGGAAGCCCCCCACAGCGGGATGTTTAGTGCGCGTATCTTTGGCCCAAACGGGTCATAGAAAAGGATGGCGGAGCGCGGCACAGTACAGGTATTTTGGGGAAGCAAAACCTCCGCATTTGTTCGCTGTTGGTTTCTTATTATGGGCGACTGGACAATCAGCTGTGGCTGCTGGCGTGTTATTTCCGGTTTGGGAAGCTCAGGCGTAACTTGTACCTTAGCTGGTGAAGATATGACAGTTGATCTGACTGTGCTATCAGCAGGATATACTTTTTTTCAACCTGTAGCACTGGCTAGTGCCAAGACTAGGACCGCATAGTACGAACAATGGAGCAATGCACCGACTTACGTACTTTGTGTCACAACCGCTGGTGCAGATAAGGCCATGGTTTGTATAAGATGGCGGCTGGCCCCCTTCGCGATCCATTAAGCCCTGGGCACCTGTCACCTTCGGAGGGTTTCTGACCAGTCATATTGGATCTCGGCTTCGTTACAGGCTGGAGCGGCATATGAGACATCCTTGCTGAACAATACCTGAACGCCTTAGTCTAAGCACAGGGGGTAGAGTAAGTATTAGGCATTATTCATAACCACATCTCATACACCATTGATCATGCATCATGCTGAGGGTACAAGGATAGAGAGAAGTAAAGGGAAAAAGAATGGGAGAGAACATACCTCGAGAGAATCCCGTCACAATGCCTCACCACCATCCCTTCGATCCCATCCGCCCAGACGAAATCTCTCTCGCCACAGCCATCCTCAAAGCCTCCCTCCCCGGCATCAACCTCCGCTTCAAAGTCATCGATGTCAAGGAACCCATCAAGAAGGATGTCATCCCCTATATTGAGGCCGAGCGGACAGGCCAGCCACTCCCCCCACCACCGCCACGCCTGCTGTACAGCTACTTGCACCGGCTGGACACCCATGCCTTCCTCAAGGCCGTCATCAACGTAGACACCAAGGCCGTCATCTCCCTCAAGGAGCTGCCAAGCCATATCCAGGGCCCGGTTGACATCGACGAGATGATTGGCCTGGAGACGGTCTGCCTGCAGCACCCCCGAGTCATTGAGGAGATCGCCAAGCTGCAACTGCCGGAGGGAGTTACCGTCTGCACGGACCCGTGGATCTACGGCACCGACGACGAGAACGAGCACCGCCGCCTGGTGCAGTTCTACATGTTTATCGTGCCCGTGGACCATCCACAGTCGAACCACTATTCGCTGCCGTGTGCCTTTTCTCCGGTGCTGGACGCCAACACCAGCGAGCTCGTCCGCATTGACTATCTGCCCACGGGGGGCGACCACAGCACCACTGAGACGCAGCCGTGGAAGCCGGTCAAAGCCGTTGAATACGCTCACGACCTCATTGAAACTCCGTTGCGACAGGATCTCAAGCCATTGATTGTGCAGCAGCCCGAGGGTCCTTCATTTTCTCTGGATGGCCAGCTCGTCCAGTGGCAGAAATGGCGGTTCCGCGTCGGCTTCAACTACCGCGAAGGCCTGGTGCTGTACAACCTGACCTTTGACGGCCGGAATGTCTTCTACCGCCTGTCACTGTCCGAGATGACGGTGCCGTACGGTGATCCACGACGGCCTTTCCACCGTAAGCAGGCCTTTGACGTGGGGGACGTTGGTTTGGGCATCACCTGCAACCAGCTCAGCCTGGGCTGCGACTGTCTGGGCCACATCAAGTACTTTGACGGCTTCCGCATCGACTCCCAGGGCCGACCGGTGCATCTTCAGAATGTCATCTGCCTCCACGAGCAAGATGCCGGCATCCTGCACAAGCACACCAACTATCGCAACGGCCAAGCCACCGTTGTGCGAAACCGACAGCTGGTGGTGCAAATGATCTGCACCGTGTCCAACTACGAGTACATCTTTGCCTGGGTGCTGGACCAAGTAGGTGGCGTCGAGTTCGAGATTCGTGCCACGGGCATCTTGTCTACCATCCCCATTGACGACGACAAAGGTCTGGATCTGCCCTTTTCGACCCCCGTGGGCCCTGGCGTCTCAGCGCCATTTCACCAGCACATCTTCAACCTGCGAATCGACCCGGCCATTGACGGCTTCAACAACACGGTGTTGTACGAGGACAGCGTGCCGCTGGTGCCTGAGGAGCATGGCATAGACGATCCCTACGGCGTTGGATACGTGGCCAGAACAACAGTGCTCGACCGCGCAGGCTTTGCCGACACGGATGTTGAGCTCGGACGAGTCTTCAAGATCCGCAACGACAGCGTCATCAACGGCATCAGCCGCAAGCCCGTCGCCTACAAGGTGCAGACGGTGGCCAGTCAGCGCATGATCATGTCGTCCCGCTCGTTCAACGCCCGCCGTGCGCGCTTCCACGAGCACCCCGTCTGGGTGACTCGCTACCAGGACGACGAGCTCTTTGCCGCTGGCGAGTTCACCAACCAGAGCCGTGAGAGCACCGGTGTGGACAAGTGGGCGGCACGAGGCGATGATATTCTGGACAAAGACGTGGTGTTTTGGCACACGTTTGCGCTGACGCATAACCCGAGGACTGAAGACTTTCCCGTGATGCCTGTCGAGAAGCTGAGCGTGCACTTTAAGCCAAGTGGGTTTCACGAGAAGAATCCGGCCTTGGATGTGCCAAGTTCGCAGCAGGCAGTGAACAAGTCGACATTGGTGGAGGAGACGGCAAAAGCCGCGTGCTGTAATTAGACGGCGAGCAGGTCTCTTGTTTACAGTAACACGAAAAATCAGTAACACGTAAAATTGATTGGCTAAGAATCTCAAGCTTTGAATGCGTGACCGTGGTAGTGGGATGATCTTGGATGACACTGACAGCCTTTTACTTTTCTGCCTTTGACTCAGCTGCCATCTTTGTTTAGCTGGCGCCGCACCGTAAGAGCAATGATGTTGATGGGAAATCACGACAAATATACCACAACGTGTCTGAAGAGATCAGTCTCCTGATTACCAGATGGAAAGTGCCTATCAAGTCAGTAGCCTACCATGCACAGAGACAGTAAATGAGCAAACCATTGAATATGCTATATTACCCTAAGGCGCCCGATGGCATTGTCATAGAGGCAAAATTGTACGACAAGTTTTCAACCAGAATCTCTTCCTTCGTCTTGGCAAGACAAACTTCCCAAATGGTATTCATACCATGGCAGTGAAAGTGCCAAGCTGGTCGTTCTTTGTCGACCACAAACGCTATGGGGTCTACCGCTGATTGTGTATAGGTGGTCTGACGGATGCTGTTACCATTAGCACGCAGTATGCCAATGGAGTGTAAGAGTAGACCGACTTACCGCGTAATGAACACATGTATATGCCCCATCGACATAATAAGCGGCTGAAGCAGAACTAGAATTGGGAGGAGGCTCTACTGTAATCGGGTTAAGACGAGAATGATTTATCAAAAGAGTCAGTCCTTAAAAAAGGTGGACGCTGTGCTGCCACTGCTGGTCTCGTGTTCTCCGTTACGAATGAACCAGCTCAGTTATGGTAGGGCCGGCCTTAGTCGTAGGCGCAGCATCTCTTGTTACAACTGGGCTGCCCGTTTCAGAAATGCTAATCTGTCTCGAAAGTTCCTTTCTCTTGGGCTGAGCACGCTTGATGGGGGATTTTTCGAGCTCGTCATCACTAAATTTGTAGATTGTGAGTGGCCTTGTATGAAGATGCTCGTATTGGGCGGTACAAAAGGTAAATACAGAGAAAGAATAGGACATGGGAAAAGAGAAATGGTGGGACATACCTTCGTGCGCCGCCCCGTTTTCTGGTGACGTTTCTCCCTCAAACAGAATGCAAGAGGCTCACCAGAGCAGTCACTAGAGGCAATCCCTTGCAGAAACTGTTACCAGAAAATACCTTGGCGCGCGAAAAGTATAGAAAACAGAATATGTACGGAGGAGAGGAAAGAGGAGTGAGGAGCAGGAAGCCTGAAATGAAGGTTCGATATCACAATGTCACGTGGCGTTTCTTCAGTTTGCCAACGCCACTGTCGACTTCACAGAGAAATCTGTCTTTGAGATAGCCCAGACGGTACGCAAGGCTTGAGTTGAGATGAGGTTGGTATGAAGGGCGTTGGAAGGAACCACACAAGGTCTCCTAGGTTATCTAATCACATTCATGTAGCAATCTAGCCTACAACACATCTGTAGTTTAGTTCTCTACATTCTGCATGTTCCCCTTAATAGCAGATAGCTGATAATACGACTATATTCCACTCTGTCGTTCTATTCATCTCTCAACAGGTTATGAGCCTATGTGCTCTCACGATCTGACGAGACAGCGCCTAAGCAATTGTTAGCCAGCGCTCAATTGCTCCTAATTCCTCGATGTCATTCTTCGACCTCCTCGACCAACGATAACTTGTTCAACCTCACCTTAACACATCTCAAGCTCAATACAGTCGGCAGAATGAGAAAGAAAAAAAATTCCTATCTCTCCAAGGCCGATCCGTCGAGTTTGCAGATGTTTGGAACATTGTCGCTGCTGACGTCAAGAAGCCGACGGAGGCAGACCGTATCACTCCAGGATACATGACTGCATTTTGAAAAAGGAAGAAATTGAACGAGTGGAGCCTAGAATGGTTACCGGTGGATTCTTTTTCAGAGAGTATGCTTTTTCTGGGATACTATTTGAGCATTTTGTTGGTACTACGATACAGCCCATGTCATCCGCAAGGCCTGGGAAGTTGTTGGGGTCAGATCCTAGAAACATCCACGTAGTCAGTGGATTGATTTATGGGATATTCTGGTAGCGATATACTTAGATACTACGCGTTTTGGTAACACAACAGCATCCTACTGAGACACTTCATTGTACTACTACTATTGCCACCATTGGTCAAGATTATCGTAACTTTCTTCTATTCACTTTCGAGAAAAGCAACGGTGGAGATGCTCTGGGCCTACGAGACCAAAGGGTCGCCTACCATCGCCGTAAGTCATTCCACCTGAATCTTGAGGCAACCATTAGCTAATATCGCCTCAAATAAACGTTAAGATGGTAGTAGTTGATCCAAGAAAGGGCCTTTGGTCGTTCTAGTCAATACTGAATTAGCCACATGCCACTAGTACCGTAGTGATAGGCTGGTAGCATGTATAAAAGAAGGATCAAAGATTGGAATTCTCTTTGAAGGTTTCTATGAGAGGAGTATTAGAAGAGCCAGTTGAAGGGATCTAGCTACATGTACTCTGGGGCTCTAGATGATGCTGCACGCTCGGTTTGGGTAATGCGATTGCTCAGCTCGCGTCGAAAACCTAAGCTGATGCACTGTTTCTCATTATCTTGGGGAATAAATTTGAGTTGGGTGAGTTCTAGATAATATAACCGAGATCAGCTGGTATTTCCATTGACACTACTAATTTATCCTTGAGCAAATATGTCCATCACATCCAATATCCTCTACTTGGCAAGCAAAGCTTTCTCAATCGTCTTTGACGCCTGCAGCACCATTCTCTCATGGTACCGCTTTCCGACAACCTGAATTCCAATCGGCAATCCCTCCGCGTCCTCCGCGCTGTAAATCTCCCAGTAGTGTTTCTCCAAATCGTTCTTGGGCGTGTACTCGCCCCTGAGCTCGGCAGTACTCACGCCTCCTACAAGCTTGGCCGCTGGCATCGCCACAGCCGGATACTGCAGCAAATTCCAGATGGACGTGTAGCCCCAGTATCGTGTAGCTCCGTGAGGACCAGCCACGCTCGGGTATATCGGCGCCAGCACGACATCGACGTCGAACTGGTTCCAGTGGTCGCTATAGGCCTGGCGGTAGGCGTCGCGCGCTTCCTTGAGGCCCTCTGGCGACGAGGCAACAGACTTTCGGCCCTTTTGGCACTCGTTGATGATCCATTCCGTCAGGGGCAGCACAGCCTCGCCGCCCTTTTCGCAAATGGCGCGGATATTGGCACCGCCGTCTTCAAAGTAGTTTGCCGCAATGATTTCCCAGCCCTTAGCATGGTCCATGGGCGAAAACGTCGTGACCTGGACATCGATTGCCTGTCGCAGTTTGTCGGCAACTTTTTGCAGAACGGCTCGCACAGGGGGCAGGGGAGACACTACGCCGTCGTCGAGCAGGAGGCCGACCTTGAGCGGGCGAGTCTCGTCCAGTTGGCGACCCATGGAGGACGAGAAGATGCTGCCCGGGATGAGGGAGACGTCTTCGATCCAGGGGAGGGTGGACGAGTAGGCCTTGCAGAAGAGCTCGATATCACGAAGTGAGCGGGCAAAGGGGCCAAGAGTGCCGGCGATGGAGTCGTGGCCAGGGGTTGGGACGGTGACGCCAATGCCGCTGAAGCGATCTGGACTTGGCACAAAGCCGTAGAGCTATCATTTGCCTTGTTAGCATACTGTACCGTATCTTTATGGTATTCATGAAGCCTCCTTCAACTTACACCGTTATGGGCGGCTGGTTGGCGAATCGAGCCTCCAATATCGCCTCCAATGCCCAGCACCGACGCATTCATGCCCATCAGCGCCGCCTCTCCGCCCGTGCTTCCTCCCGCCGTCAACTGGCGATTTCTGGGATTCACCGTCGTGCCGTAGATGTTGTTAGACGTCTCTAGGTGCATGCCGGCCTGGGGCTGGTTTGTGCGCGCAAAGACTACAGCGCCCAGCTTGCGAAAGGTCTTGACAATGGCGGCATCGTCCTTGCTGGTGTTGTTAATCCAGGTGACGAAGCCCGCGTTTGTCAGGTGCGATTTGACGCCGATCTGGTTCTTGAGCGAGAGGGGGATGCCGTGCAGGGGGCCCATGAGGCGGCCGGTCATGGCGAGATGCTGGTCACAGGCTTCGGCATCGTAGATGGCTTCGGGGAGGAGCTCAGTGAGGCAGTTTGTCTTGATTTTTAAAACTAAAGGTCAGCCTTTGATTTACTTGTTGCTGGCAAAAGAAAAGAAATGATGGTCAAAGACAGAAAATGGGTGTGATATGACATGCAAAAAAGCAAAAAAAAAACAGCACCAAAGTTCAAGACGTACACATTGCTGCGCAATTGTTGCCCGCTTTCGAAACGCCGACAGCAGCTCAGCCGCGGTGATCTTCTTCGCCGCCAGCATCTCCAGCAGCGCCGTGGCATCGTAGTCCTCTGTCAGCTGCAGCTCCGCGTCCGTCATCAAGTCGCTGGACCGCGGCACAGACGTGACATCTTGCGGCAGCGACGTGATCTGCGAGAGCGAAAACAGCACGCTCTTCTCGAGGGAGCCATCGCGCAGCGAAATGGCGAGGCGGATGTTGTCCTGAGATCCAGTCATGGCGAGGCTGAACGAGAATGACGATGTTGGGTTAGCATTACTGTTGGCTGTTTACAAATAAATAAGGAAAGGTAGAGAAAAAAAAGAAAAGGGAAAGGGAAAGGAAGTGGGAAAAAGAAAAGGCCGTACCTTGCATGGACTGTCAACTGCAATGTTATGCTGCTGTCAGTTGCCCCTCAGCTCTTCTGCTTTGACAGCGACAGTATCATCACCACCCTCGTTCTACATCCCACTTCACCCCTCAGTCCCCCAAAAATGGCAGCAAAACAGCTACCTAATCAAAGTGGATCGATGCCCAACATGCCTATACCAGAAACACCTTACGGGGCAGCGAAGGAAAAGTAGCATCGCATATCGAATATCTAATGGGGAAACTTGCTTCAATCCCCTAGCACGTTATGTTGCCTCGTTGGGCATAGATCATCCTGCCGGTACTTCAAGCCGGTAGCCTAGCTCAAG